TGGTAGTAAAGGTATAATCAAAAATAGATGATATTTTAGCTTTCACTCTAGATAAAATGTGCAGATTTGAAGAAGCTTTGGAAAATTATGATTTAGCAATATAAAGAAATCCAGAGGATTCAAAATTGTTTTATTCTAAAGGTAAAGTAAACAATGGATGATATTTTAGCTAAGACTTTAGTTAAGATTTACAGATTCGAAGAAGCTTTAGAAATTGTATTCAGCAATCCATAACTAACAAGAAGTTTCTTACAATCTTTATGACAAAGGCGCTAAAGCTCATCTATCATTTTTATGAAACACATATACACTATATAAATTATAAAACATAGTTGCGTACGATTTTATAATTGCATCCATATAACCTCTACATTAATTAACTACTAATTTATAATATGGATAAAACATTAAATTAATTAACTCATTTTTATTAATTAGAAAACTTAATTTATGATAATAAACTCTTAATCTCTTTATTAAAAATGAAATCATTTCATTTCTTTTGAGCAATACTCGCTTGTTGTTATATCCTTTATCTTAAAACCTTAGACAAGTTTTAATTTTCGAATACTAGACTATTGTTTTTGGCTCTTGTTTTTGACCCTTCTCCAAGCACATAAATACTATAATTTTCTTATATGTTTGGATTTGAAAACCTGTATAATTTATAGAAAAATTACACTTTTTATAATATAAATTATCAAAAATAGAGAATAATTAGAAAACCTAAATAACTAAATATCATAATTATTTTAAAGAACTCATTGTCTTTGGCTCAAGTAGGATTTCATATGGGATTAACGTCAAACTTAACCTCATAAGCTTCATTCTAGCACTGACATACTTCAACCAAAAATATGAGATAAAACTTAGAATAATTAGCAAACCTAGTCCTGTGATGTAAATGTATAATTGCATAATCGTTGTGGCTTATTATAACTTTGATTAATTTTATTCGAATAAATTGTCTCCAATGATTTGCAACAATTTTCCAGAGTCAAGAAAATATTCTACAAATTGATTTATATGAATTTGTGTTTTTAGAAACGATACTGCTTCTGAGATTGTTTTCACTTGCAACTATTTTGATGAAATTTCTTTTGAGAAATACAAATTTAAAGTCTTCATAAACTCTTACACACATCCTGTTATACCTCCAGACAAGTAATCAAAATTATTATCTTCCAGCCATGGATTGCCGTAAGTTGCTTTAAAGGAATCAGGAACAGAAAAATTTTGATTCGATACCCTTATAGTACAAAATGGTATTTCCTCACTCATATAATTACAGAGACTATCCTCAAAATACATTAGTAGCTCTTTCTTTTGAGATTCTAAGAGTCCAGATTAACTAGCAAGGGAATCATATATGCCTCTCATTGCATCCTAAAATCCATTAGTTTACTCACTAAATAGATCTAATATCAGTTAAGTATTCATATCGATGTTAAAATTGTCAAATTTCGCCTTAAATTAATCACTAATAACTTATTGAGTTTTTAGACCTTCTCCCAATACTATCAGCGTGTCAAATCTAAGTTTAAAGCGAATCAATTATAAATTAAGATTTAGGGTTGGCTTAATATCTGAAACTTGACTGATTGTGACTAGAATTCCACCAATAATAAATAAAATCGCTAGAAACCATAGAAAAAATAGAAAAATAAGATTTGAAGGGTAACTTAAGGTTAAATCATAAATTCTCTAAGCCAAAGAATTACTCTAGAATGACCTTTTAGATTTTATTTTTGACTTTTATCCAGATAACTCATTTGATTTCGTAACCGATTACGTTTTAACTGATTTTGCAAATAAAAGGCTTACTACCTATTGATTTTATTGGACTTGCTCATAATTAACTTCAAAATAATTCACTCTTTTCCACAATAGCTATGAAGGCTCAATCAAAATGGTTTTCACATCACTTAGTTTTGACATGATTTCCTCAGCTGTTTTATGGGACACTCTAGTAATCAGCATCAAAATCTATCTCTCATATTAGGTCAATAAAAATGTATTATAAAGTATATACAATATAATACAACTATTCACAGAAATAAAAGTCATGGTCAAAATTACTACATCATTGATGATTCTATCTTCATAGTAAATCAAATTTTCATTTAGCAGGGTGATATATTTATAAGCAAATTTGTAAACATATGGAATATTTAATCTAAAGAATAGACTGTCAGAGAATATGACACCTTCTTCAGCATTATCTATAAAATTAAACGAATGCAGCTGAATTTGTTAAATCAATTAAGTAAGATCTAGTTATTATTCTGAAAAAGATAAGTCATTAATGCTTACTAGCTTAAGTTCATCATTTATAATTTATTCCTCAAATTATATAATTCCTTAGTACAATTCATTTAATTTTACATCTATGATTGCTCTAGTAGCTTTCAGTTCTTCTAATTGTTATTTTTTAATGAACTCACTGTATTTTATTAAATCAAGTCTTTCCTCTAGACTAATCCAAGCAAAAAAGGCTATTTTTTAGAAATAGAAATTTAAAGTTTCAGGATAAGTTACATAATTAATATTGGTTTAAAGTATGTCATAATTATCTAAACTATACATGAAAATTACTTTGAATGATGCTTAATTTCACAAACACGAGACAGAATTGCAAAACAAGATACAATAATATGGCAAATATGACGGACTTAATTCCTCCTCCAAATGTACTTACTTAATACAAGGAGCGAACAAGTAAGGAAGGAGACTTTGATGTGCTAGTTCTTGATGAGCTTGCAATAGACCTTTTTTTCTTCTCCTCCTCTTCATTATCATTTTAATTCCTAAAAAAATAAAGAGGTTTAGTTACTCTTATTACAGTTTTTTATTCTCAACTAATAATTAAATAAAGTTTTTTTTATTAATATTTTAGTTTGATGAATGTCTCTCAAGGTTATCTTCTATTTCTTACTATGATTCATCTTTATCTTTAAAATCATCACTTGATTTTTCTCTTTAAAATTATTTCTCTTCAACTTTGAACGATTTTTCCTAAAATTACATGATAAATTATTACATCAAATTACTTGTGAAGTTGAAAAAATTCATCAGAATCATTATCCTAATCTACTTGAATAGGTATACCACTAAAATGTGGTCTATACGGATTTTATGGTAACAAAATTTCTGAGGGTGGTGCTGAAACGTCCTAAACATCAATTGCACTTGGTTTATCAAATAATCTAATTTAAGAATGATCATTTCCAAATAAGATGTTACTATCATCTTACTAAATTAATTATTTAATTTTATCATCATTCACTTTTGTAGTTTTGTTTATCCATTTATTGTTTTATTATTCAACTACAACTGCATCAGGTTAAAAACTAATTGGTTTGGTATCATAAATTGATTTTTCTGCACTAGATGGTACTGTTTCATTTAAAGATTTATGGTTTAAGGCAGAAGTGAACATTGTTGTGCAAGCCTCGAAATTTTATCCCATGGTTGGATATCTGTTGAAAAACTTATGCTAAGTGTTAATCTCATTCATATGTTCCAATTCAATAATGAAGTAAGGATAGGAATATCTCTTTACTTTCATCAACTAATAAGACATCTTTATTTTGGATCTTATTATTGTGTACTACAAATTTAGATGAAAATAGAATACCTTCTCTAATTGATCTTTGTGTTAATTCATAAATTGAAAATGAAAATTTATGTTAGATTTATCTGCAATTGGAACCTTCTCTCCTAATATTGTTGTATTGCCTCTTTCAAGCCCAATGGAATGATCGCTTTTCATTGATCTTTATACAGATTTCCAGGATCTCCAAGAACTTAGATTTTAACTTTCCAATCCTTCTTATAATGTGTTCCCTATCTTTTCATAAGATTCTCTAACAAATAAAGAATTGAGTTCAATAAGATTTGAAGGTATATAGAATAGATGTTCTTCATCTTCAATAAATTAGTGATCTAGTTCACTAATTTTATTAAGATTTTGGTTCAAAATAGACAAGAATGATGGGAAAATAAGAAAGAAATGGCAGAATTCTTTGAAAAACTCAACATTTAATCCAGGAACCTTTGCGCTAATTGTTTTATATAGTTCTTCAGTGATCCCTATGATTTTTCCTTCTGCATCAACCATGATGATTTAATTAGATATATTGCATTTGAGTATTGATGCTGTAATAACGTAATCATCCAATTCCTCAAACAAATTCCCTAATTTCACATAACATTTCTCAATAAATCCTTTCTTATTTTCATAATATCCAGAAATCTTTCGAATAAAATATTCACTATGTCCTTTCTAGATGAAGGAATCTATAAGATATTCATGGCCTTTCATCATAGTTTTTGGGAGTAGATTATGTACTTATGAGACTGATTCTTTGAAGTCATTTGCATCAACGTAATGAAAGAAATTGGCTAGAGCTAATTGGTTTTTGTTAACTATCTTTCCTTTGTTCTTGACAATGCTGACCAAGATAATAGTGGTGGAATCATTGTATAGAGATATGTTGTCTATTATATCTATTTCTTTTTATCTATCATTGGATGTTAAGTCCTTAACGTACTGTTCGACGTACACCGACTAATTTAGATCGCATTATTACTCTGTCGAAATCATTCATTACTAAGGAATAAAACAGCGAATATAATTTTAATGTTATTACATTAATATTTAGTTGAGCATGACTCAGTTTTTTTACAGAAATACCTTTAGTTGTGGTTGTTTTCATATCAAACCACTCCTAAGGTACGCCTATATATTTATCCAATGAAATTCTAAGCTAATCATATGTCCATACATTACATTCATGATTTTTTCACATAATTTTTATGTATTATATTAAAATGGATTCAAACTAGGATATCCATTTATTAAATTTTACCAGTGTTCTATTTTTTCATCTACCAATTTTATAAATGTTTATAATAAATTTTCATACAGATTTTGAGTTTACCATTGTTGAGTTAGTGAAATTTCAATTAGTTATGTTCTTTGTTCATGAACCAAAACAGCCTTTGAGTTTTATCTCACCTAATTATCTGTGATTTGTTTTTTTAATTGATCTGCCAATTTATTAGTGATCTCAACGAAATACGTTGAATTGTTATTCAATTTATTGTTCTGATATTGTCTCAATTCCAAATATCCCAGTAATGGCTTTTGAGCAATTTCTGAAACGAAACTAATATACTATAATTACAACTGCTCGAATTATAAATCTGCATTGAGATTGTGACTATTTTATTAATATAAAGAGTACATAGAAAACAGCCAGTTCTGGGCTGCCTTAAATATACATTTGATGATGCTCAGAGTGAGTATGTTAAGATCCTTCTTCTAATCCACATTCAAGGTCTAAAAGCGTTTGACTTTGGAGTAGCACTTACTGTTTTTGCAATACAAGCGATGGATCATTAAAAACTGAAAATATTGTAATTGAGCATGAGGGTCCTAAACTCAATTACTAATATCTATACTTTTAAATAGTCAATGTGGTATTTATAGAATTTAATCAACTGCAATAATAATGTGTTTTTCTTCTATCTGAATGCTAGAGTTATAATTCAAAATTGCGTGATTCTGAAATAAAGAGGATAAAGTCTCGCCAACAATAGCTAATCCTGGCAACGGCAAGACAATGAAGAAAAAGAGATTTTCTTCGGCAAGAAGGCCAAATTTGAAGGCAGTGACACATAAAACTATCCAAGCATATACAAAGGCCAATCTAATGGATGGGATTCTGATAGGATCTCTGTAAGGGAAGCTTGTCAATTGATCTACAATTTAATTTATGGCAAATAGGTTAGCCATTGAGTACTTCAAAATATGAGCTATTTCAAACTATTAATTCAATGATATCATTTTACATCATAGATATAATGTGAAAAAATCTCTATCAGAATTACTGTGTTATTTACTAATAATAAGGAGGAGTATCTTCTTTTTAAGGAATTGGGTTCGTGAAATCTATGATTCCTCATTATGTAGATCAATATCTATCCATTGATGTAAGAAATAACTAAAGGAGCAATGGCTAGTATCTGAGTTCCTATTCCTATGTCGCATTCTGATTTTGGAAAAATGCTTACAGAGTTGCAGGTAAGGGAACTGAAGGAAATTACTGCAATTTGGAGATAAATTACAGGATAGAGGACAAAAAACCAATGAAGAGTTTCATTAAAACTCATGACCCATTACTAAATTTGGGAATTCATGTTATCACTTCCTGTGACGTCTCTTCTAATAAGGTTGGCTGTCCATATTCTAATGAATGTGGAAAATATCAAAAATAAAATGAGGATCAATTGGGAGGCAAATGAGATCGCTATTAGAACAAATGCCAGATTTGATGTCATTGAAGACTTCAAGGTGTTATTTAAAATGAAAAACTCTAAAAAGCTTTGTGAATATGCTAATTTAAAGTCGCTATAAGGTTTATTCTAATTTGCATTGACGATGATAGACAAATATTGAAAATGATTGATTAGATGCAAAATAAAGTAAAATGTACCGTCCATCTAATTTGATAAATTCTGTATGATACTTTAAACTTAGGTCTTTCTTCAACTCCATATAGCATTGTTTACATATAGCCTCTTGCAAATTTTCGAAAGGTATGCATGTTGTTCTACTGAGATAAATTATAAAATATTAAATAATAATATAAATTATATAAGACTTTATGCTCAATCTTGAGAAACTTATGAAGAATCCACTACTACATTTCTGACTTCGAATTTAATTCAAAAAAGTAGTAGAAGAGAAAATAAAAGGAATGATTTAAATTTAATTAATATATAAACCACAAAATTAGCTATGTTTAAAAATATCCTGATATAATGAATTTAAGAAAATAATGGAAAGAAAAAAGGAAGGCAATTTAAACTTGCCAAATATCTGTTATTTATTTTATTAAACTCATTTTCTACGCAGATGACTCATTGTCATTTTCTCTATTTTGGTTGGTTCGTGCAACAAGATGGAGAAATCTAGACTGTAGATCAGAGTGCCATTCACTCTTAATAGAAAAGTACTCCATACATGGACCAAAGTTCATTTCATAATTATCATCGAATACATGATACTTATCCAAGCTCATAGAAATAAGTTCACTTTCTGTGCTATTTGCCTCAAATCCTCTCAGTCCTTGACTTAGAATATTATCTTAAGGTGCCGTTAAAAAAGTATCTGGGACAGTTTATTTGTAATCGATTCTTCTGATTCCTGTGGTGCTTTATTCCTTGGGGAAACAATGGAATAATTACTTCAAAGTAGTTGAAACCTCTTGAGTCGACACCACCTTATTTGGTTATGGCTTTTGATCCTGTTCCAACTAGAATCAAAGCAACTTTGACATATCTTACATGAGTAGTGTCTTTGGTTTTGAGATTTAAATTGACGTTTTGCATTTCTGGATCTAGAGCACAATTTATTTAAAGAGCGTATGGTCCGTTTTCTGGATTCATTTTGAACCCCACAAGAAAAGCGCTAACTTTTGGAGATTGTATGTTGGCGTTAACAGGATGAGTGAATGCGTCTTCTCTTATACCAGACCCTAGTGATGTAGGAGGGGGAAGCGAATACCTTGACGAAGTTCTCTCAATTGCATGAAATTGAATTCACGATAGGTAAGTTGTACTTTATTATCCACAAATGCTACCCATCGGACTTTAAGTTATTGGACTCGTGAAGGACCTCCCAAGCGATACCTTAATTCGAAACCTAAAAGGAGAGCGTACATATTCTACCAGATTTGGTCACTTGTCCCAATGAAAGATTAATATCGACATCCAACATTGATTCGAAGGTTACTTGTTCAAACATGAGCAATACTTCAGGCACTCTTTTAAGAGAGAGATACATACTCTGAGAATTGCTTATCAAATAGGATTTCGACTTGGGTGTGGATTGGATAATTGCTTGTGAGTGTTAATTAAGGCTGGTTTTTGATCACATTGTCTAAACCTGTTTGCCATTCAGCTCCCAAAGTTAAAACTATGAAGAGTACTAAATGAAAGGTTTTGTGCATAATATATTAATAAAATGTAATTAATTGATGCCATTTTTGAGGATCAATTCAGGCCAGCTCTGATTGAACACTATAAACAAAATAAGATAGTTAGAAGAGCTGATTACCTTTTAAAGGCATTACAATCTGTCGATTAACTGTCTTTAGAAGATTAATAGCAATTTTACGATCATTTAGAGAAATAATTATTACAATGCACCCCATTGTAAGCATTAACATTAATACACAATTAAAATGAGCAGATTGTAGATTTGCTATTGGAATTGTGTTTGACAAATGAACATGTATTACCTTTACTATATTTTCAGCATACACAATAATTATTTAGGATCATCAATTGGTTTTTGAGATCTATAACATTGACAAGGCGGAATTTCAAAGGCATGTTTATCTACATCAAAAATCAAATGTACAATTCCTAACTAACAAATGAAAAAGTTTAGAGATTCATATCACTATTATAAGTACAAACTGATTTTCATTTTATAGAAAGTTTTCGCAGAATTTCGTTATGAATCTCCATATGCCTCATTCTACTTCAATTACATCAACAGTGGACTAGTTGTAGACACTAGAGAAATGAAATGGCTCTTTGGTAAAGGCATTTCCCTATAAACTTGGCTCTATCCAATACCAATAAAATCAGAAGTTGAAACTAAAATTATGTACTTAATGTCTGATAAAAAAAAAGGGTGTCAGTTTATTTTAAATGGCAACAAATTGGTTTATCAATATGTGGATCTGAATTGTATTTTTATTACTAATTATAAAACAGCCCCAAATCACGAAGTTCCAATAAGTTTGATTGAAATTCCCTATCAAGAATGGTCATCGCTGAGCATCCAGATTTAATCCAAAAAGTTCTTTATGCAGGAATCGTATTACTTATATTTGACTTGTGGCAATCAATAACTTCGGGAAATCAAAATCGATTTTCCTCAAATCTCAAACGATTCTCTTGTCATTGAGTTCCAATTTTTTACTAATTTTTATGGTTATGTCACTTCTGTGTTAATTTACAATGATGGATTTGATGGAAAGTATTAACTACTATTATGCCTATAGTGATTTAACTTGCGGTGACAAAGACCTGGGTATTTAATCCAATGATCACCTAAGGAATTTACATAAATGCCATGGGAATAATAAACTAGTTTTATGTTATACTCCACTGAGAGCCAGAGCCAATTTTATCACAGATCCAATAAATAAATTTGATGGGGCATTGCAATAATTCAGCGGTTCCTACTTAAGAATAACTTAAAAATAGCAGTTTTCTTAATTCTGTAGAATTGAAAACTTTGTTCCTCTATTACTATTTATTAAAATCTAACCTTATGATTCATTGCTGAACGAACTATTGACTCTATTCTGTTAAATCATCAAGACCAGACCAGAAACATAGCAAGATGCGATCCGAACTGAATATTTAAGTTTGATAGCCCTTAAACTAAATGATTCTGGACTTGACATGATCAACAATCAAACTATAGAATTGCTCTCACAATTGCACAATTCCATTCAGGATACGAAGTTGAAATAGCAATTCATTTGCAATTTATTGTGGAGAATATAAATTTATAAACTAGAGAACTTTTCAATCATAGAAGACTACTTAAAATTCATTCGAATGATATATAATGATAATCCTGAATTTTGTATATCGATTTTCGGAATCGGTAAAATACTCGAGATTTTGATCTACGACATTGATCCGAAGAATAGATTATGCTGCCAAGAACATGCGAATCAAATGGGTTATACCAACTTCTAATTACCTACCATCCCCTACGCTTAATTGATAGATTCCTACTTAAGTATCAGTTATGTTTACAGTTATTAGATATTATTGACGCCATCCTCCATAATAAATTATTTCAATCACAATCCAAAATTGAGAAATCCAACATCATAGACATTGCGAGAGTCTTCACATTAAAATGCTCTCCTTGTTTTTACCAACTACTACTCAAAAAGCTACAAGGATTATTTCAATACGAGACCAAGAGTAATAATCCCATATCTCAGATTCTAATCCAAGAAGAAGTGATGCAAATGCTATTGAATCTACTAACAACATGTTCCTGTCCAGATGTCAAAACTAGTTGCATCAAGTTGATAGCAGAGAGTATTCGCATCAATTAATCTCCAAATGAAAAAGAAATCGCTAATTGGATTGCACATACTCTAGGTAACAGCGCTGCAGTTGAGGTGCAAGAGGCTTACTCAGACGATGAAGATGATGATTTCCAACCTAGAAAACCATTAGTAAATCAAGCTTTAGTCTTCCATTAATAAGAGGAACAATAGAATTTTGTTGAGGAAAAGAAGAAGCAGCCTGCTATTCAGAACAAAAACATTGTTTAGGCAAATAGAAGGATTATTGATTATGAACCTCTATACGTTGCGATTATGGAATGGATGCTCAAAACTAGAGTTGGAAAGACCAATTCGGATACACTGATTTTAGATGAAAATCTTATCATTAAATCTGATGGTGGATTGTCTCTTTTGATTAGTTATTTCGAATATTGTGTGGATTCAGTCAAGGGTCGCATTATGTAAGATTTATGTATGCTGATTAAATGGAATCAAGCCAGTGCCATTTTTCTATTAAATAATGAGGAGTTTCATTGGTGGATCTTAAAGACTCTCTTGGAAATCTAAAACCAATACAATATTAGAGAGTTGGCTTAGTTTGAATTCTGGGTGTGGGATAGTGGATTGAAACTATATTGCAATGTGATCAAAGCTGGTATTCAGAACGAAAAGAATGGGTTTCAGCGATTGGCTCAATTATAGAGTTATTGCAGAGTTTTGGAAGAGATTAATGGAGAACAGATTAATCAGTAGGCAACCTAATTATTGATGAGATTGATATACAAGCAGTTGCTCTCTAATTTCTCGTAATTATTTTTCATATAATCAATTAGGGATTGTTATAAATTGGATTTATTTTCAACCTTTTGGGTCAACTTATATTCTGTTATTTTTGAAACATTCCGACTAGTGACTGCTGATCCAAGAACTATTGAGAATGAGAGTGAAAATGAGCATTACTATTTATTCCATAAGTTCTCCCCTATTGCATTTTAGTTAACCATTTCGCAATAAGAAATGCCTAAAAGTAAATATTATTCCAATATATCCCTAGAATGGAAGCAATAATTTGGAATTATACAATGGGTGGATCACATTCTTATTGTGAATATCTGTGACATAGTGAATCAATTTTGTGGCAAATTCTCGACACAAATAATTAGTTACTTGGATGATTATCAGATTGTTTAAAAAGGAATTTTAGGTCTTTTGGAGTAGAAGAATCCCACAGAATCATAGAAAACATTCGCTGCAATGATGTTTGAATTCGATATAGGGTTAGAATAAGGTCAATCCCCCATCTTCGTCTAAGTGTGTTAACTCTTTCTGTAATTGAATGCTGAATACTTCGCCTTCAATGTGCAGAGCAGTGAAAACATCAAGCAATTGCAGGTGATATTGAATACACTCGATAAATTAGTTAGAACTTTAATTATAGCATCGGAGACTTTAAGGGACAAAGAGATCGAGGAATCACAAGATAAAGTAGTGTATTCGATTATTGGATCGCATTTCATATTTCTGTATTAAATGGAGGATAAAATAAAAGAGATCAATTACGATAAGGAGATCAAGTAGGAATTACTGCAGATTGTGAAGAATTGCTTGTTCTACTCATTTAAGTTTTTGATTGTGTATGTGGATTGTTTTACTCAGATTTTAAATAAGAATGAGTCTTTCTAAGCTCTCATTTTTGAAGGGTACAAACAACACAAATTGTTTTTAATGAAAATGCTCAATGATTTAATCAGAAAAGACAGTTCACACATCTTTGATGTTGTTGAAACCAAGTCCCTCAAATTAAATAATAAATTGATTATGGAGAAAATGATAGCAGCAAAGCAAGTTTTTGTGGAAAATCAAACGTTATTGTAAAAAATATAGTAATCATTCTTCATGAATGAAGAGTATTACCTAAAAACCAAGTGTGATTTTGAAGAATCCTACAGAATTTTCTCTTAAAAGAAGAAAACCTTAGAGGATAGATTGTAATCATAGCGACAAGGAATTGAGGAAGTCTTGTTTTCATAGATGTAAATTCATTAAAATATATAACATATAGGATATCATCATCGTCAACCTACTCGTATGATTAAAAAATACAGAGGATAGACTCAGAATAAATCTATATGAGACAAGCCAGATACATGTTTAAGAAGTCATTCAACAGAGTCCGTGTATTCAATCAATGGTGGGCTCATCCAGAGTTCAAGGCATAAATCGATAAGCCATTTGCGTCGATAGATATGCATTATGACAACATCGTATAAAATTAGATGTAATACAAAGAATTTAATTTAGATTTACATGGAAGATGTGGAAATATGAAACCAAATAGAAATCCAGACCCTTACTCAAACCTAAGTTGTATGATTATCCCCAAATTGATAACATTATGCAATCTCAATAGTAAAGTACTAGAATAATGAATTTGGCTGACTATGATAAGAAATAACCAGAGAGACAAAGAAAGAAAATACATGAAATCATATTTGACACCATCATCCCATTCTACTCATAATAACATGAACAAGACGAAGTGATTCTTCACAGAGTCCAGTGGATCAAGACATTAACAGTTAGAATAGGATCTTTACGAATAAGTGATACGCATTTGATCTTTTATTTTGAATCCATAACTCAAAAAGAAACCCATTAGAGTCTGATCAAATTTAGAGTACCTGAAGACTCCTAATTGGTGAAGTAGTGGGATCTGGAATAAATCTACGATATTTAATTTAGAAGATACATTGGTAGATGGACATCCTTGGAGTTGACTCTATTGGAAGGTAGTACACTTGTATTCAATTTTTAAAATGGAGATCATCAAAAAGTGATAGAGAAATTGATTTCTCTGAAGAAACAACGAACTATCAATCTAAAGCCCAGAATTTAATCCGGTAAATTAGATCCAGTGAGTGTCATGTTCGAGAGTAAGGCTATGAATAAGTGGTATAATTATAAGATCACGACTTTTGAATACTTGATGAAAGTCAATAAAATTTCTGGAAGGAGTAATAAGGATCTGACCTAATATCCAGTGTTTCCGTGGATCATGAATGATGGCGAGTAATTGCATAAATATCGCGATTTAACTAAAAGCATGGGTGCTTTGGGTACTAAAGATAGGATCGAGGTGTTTGAATAGAGATACAACATGATAGATCATTTTAATAAGGTTCCACAATTTCACTATGGGAGTCATTATTCAAGTCCAGCAATCATATTCCATTATCTCATTAGATTGAAGCCGTTTTCTGATGGAGCCAAGGAATTACAATCAGGCAAGTTTGATTTAGCAGATCGTCTATTCTTCTCATTCATTGAGACATATCGGAATGCAGTCGAAGAATTGAGTGATGTCAGAGAATTGATACCTGAATTCTTCTATTTGCCTGAAATGTTTCTTAATTTAACAAAGTATGACTATGGATTATAGTAAACTGGGGTAGCGAGTAAACAATGTAGAATTGCCTTTTTGGACTTAATAAAACCCCTATTTGTTCATTTGTGCTCACAGAATGGAATTGGAAAGTGATTATGTTTCATAGCATATTTGCAATTGGATTGATTTAATTTTTGGATATAAACAAAAGGGAGAAGAAGCAGTCAAAGCTCTAAATACATTTTATTATTTGACATATGAAAATTCTATAGATTGGGATTCAATCAAGAATGAAAAACAAAAGATATCATTGGAATCTCAAGCAATTCATTTTGGTTAATGTCCTAGTTAAATTTGGGATAGAGCTCACATTGCCAGAGGAAAATAAAAAATTGTTTTTAGAATTGTTGATGAAAAAATAGAAAAGAGAATCCTTCGATAAAAACAAAATAATCCACAACCTTAGTCATCAAATTATTAGAGAAGCAAATCAATTATTAGAATACATTTCTCAAGTGATAACAAAGTTTGGATTATTCGTCGGAATGGAGAATGTGCTACTATTAAATTAGATTTAAAAGATAACAAATTTGATCTTACTAATTAGAAAGAGCAACCCATCAATTTTGGGAAATTTATGGATGAAAACTAAAATCTATTTGATTGGACTTGTAATTATGATGAACTCCCTGTTTTAAATAGAGGAAAATAAGTATTGATCGGAGGCATATGGGATGGAAGACTGCTTATTTATAATAATGGTATCATCTCTGAATAGAGATTCGAATAAGAACACACTATAACAGTAATGAGATTTGATTACAAAATGAGAATATTGGCTACTGGTAGTAAGGATGGCACTCTTATTATATATAAAGTGTTAAATAACTCATACATTCCAATTAGTAAGCATCATCATCACGAATAATCTATTACGGATATATTTATATGTAATGATCTCAAAGTTGTAATAACTTGTTCTAGTGATGGTTGGATTCACATGTATAATTAATGGTCTGGCAAATACTTAAGAAGTTATAGACATCCTAAGGGTTTGCCCATTAGCAAAGTTTGTAGTTATTGTACTCCATTATATGGAATAGCATTTTACGAAAACAAAAATATTTATTCATATAGCATTAATGGGCAATTCTTGGCACATCTTGAATTAAAATAATATATTGTGAATTAAGGACATCTCAAAGTCGTTAAAGATTCAAAGTTAACTGATATTATTGTATGTTTTTTTTATATTTTAATAGGTGTTACCGTTGTGCATGGAAAAGAAAATATTAATGTTGACAACTCCCTTTTTGCAGAAAAGAAATGAAATATAATTGACTGATTGCTAACAATCAATGAACGATATTAGTTCTTTTGCTTTGTCACCAGACAGAACAATTTTAGCATTTGGAACATCAGATGGAGAGTTTGGATTAACAGTTGACTAGCGTATCTTTTCATAAGATTGAGATTTTATCTGTATATCAATATAATAAATGTCATTTTCATTCAACATCTAAGAATTCTTAAGAATAACTTCTTATTTTTCAATTTTATAAGATGGAACATTATTTTTAATATGAAATATTATATGAACAAATTCTCAAAATACACGCAGATCACCTGATTTACAACCATAAATAGAAATTTGTTTTGTTGCCTAAACAAATCTTGTACACATTTGGGACGAGACAATTGACAGTCTATCTAAAAATGGCAGTCTATATTCAAAGACGTTATTGTCAGTGATTACAACCTATCAATTTAATAATAAATGCTATACTAAGGTATTTATAGGTGATTTCTTGATTTAAATGTATTCTATATTTCCTTTGACTTACAGTAATTGTAGCAAGAATCCATTTATTGAATATGCTACAACCCGTTCATCATGGGAACTAAATAAAATACAAGGCAATGGAGAATAACTTAATGCTAGATAATAAATAGGCAGTCTTTTTGGATGATTTATAAATCTGTAAAGAGTGCGATTATACAAATTATATAAGAATATCGTTCCGTCTTGAGTTCCAACACAAAAGATGGTGAGTTATTCTGAAATCGTGATTGAATTGATTTGCGAGGTTGTGTCATAGATCACATATTTGCCCTTTAGTAATTCCTCTTATTTTATATCCTATTTATTTTACAGAATCTTGCTATAATAATAAACCAAACCCTTATTGGTTCCAAGTATCACTATATTTTATTGTTTATTTGACTCTAGAACGGTCACAGTGCAATGATTGTTGATTATCTCACTTTCCAATTCGATCACTCCCTACACCTTCAAATTGTCTAAGTACTAGTATAGAAGTGTTCCATTGTTATTCCCACCGAATAATACGGTTGACTATTCAATCAATACTAATATTGGTGGTAATACATATTTGATCATAGCATCAAAATGAATTCTAGGTAATTACACTTGTTTCTCAATTTAAAACTGTTATTAATTTTTAACAATCTACCATTAGATTAAAGTGAAATCTTCCTGAATGCTAACTACTTTGTTCTTATTACAAATTAAATAGATCAATTTACTTTATGACTTTTTATTCTTTGCCGCCTACCACTAAGTCTTATCAACTACTTCATTTTTTTGAGCATGCGGCTTATAAAACAGTTACTCTGGTGTTTATCCAAAATGAGCAATTTGAGTTTCCATTGCTAATTCATTGATTTCTATACTCCCTTCATCAAAATTAGAGTAAGTTAGTGGATAAAACACATTGAAGGAATCGACAGCAGCATTTCCTTGCTATTTGTATCCCCAAATCAAGTCAATCCATTCATTCAATCTTAATAGCATACTCACTTTCTAATGCTATCATATTCTAGGCGACATAATAAAATGGATTCTTATTGGAGTAGTGTGGCAATTGCACATTGTTTACGACTTAACTACTTTGCAACTTACCAAAATTATGGGCATTGATGTTTATAAAGGCTTCAGGCAAATAAAAGAATTCAGGAGTCAATTCTCTCACGTCAGCCATTTCATTATTGCAATCTATCCATGACTTCATGATCGATCTAAACATTCGATCTGGAATATCGAATTTACCATCCTAGATTGATATTGCAGCCTCTGTAAATGGACTCAATCGTACCAAATATTGAGACACCAATGCCTGACTAGAATAATGTGTTCCGTAATAAAACTACTCATTTTCGAATCTCTTGATGAATTAATCTAATCTGACTTCACTTCCACAAGCTCCTATTGGTAAAGAAAGATCTCTGTAATTGATCTCATTCTGTATTGATGCTATATCATTGTCATCAAAATCTGATGCATTTCCTTTTAAAACCCATGGAAACACTGGATATCTAGTGAAATCGATGTAAGAACGACAAGATAGGAAATTCAGATACATCAAATACTTGAAGTTGCTAACCTTATTAAAATCACATTATTTGGGTTGTATTTTCAACTTCTCAATAATCTCTTCCTTCAATCCCTCGTCCTAAAATATCAAGTACAGGGACTCTCCATCCTTGAAGATGATTTCAATGGCATTTCTATTTCTGATATAAATCCTTTCATGCAGCCACCTAATTTAATCCCTCCTCCACGATTTCTTAAATGGCTTGTGATTTGGTATTGTGTGAGGCAACAAAGTTATATGATTCGCCTTTTAGGTATAGGAGTAATAGGAGAATGTTATTTTTTCATCTCCTATTGTAACGCCCCCTTGCTTTAAGTATAAGCTCTTCAACCAAAAGCATTTGTATTGTTGTTTCTTTTCCAACTGCACTTATGCGTCATTCTCAAACTCAGGGTTCTTCTTAAACTTCACTTTTAAAATGGGACGTGAATAATACTTATTGATGTATTTCTCAATTTTATTGGTGTAATAAGGATTCTCTTTGAATTTGTAATCATGATCGATTTATTCATCTACTTGGAATCTGCAATCTTTTGGTCTATACACGGTGATACGTAGATTATGCCAAAGTTTGCACCATCTCTATCTAATCTTTCGAGTCTTGTTCATTAACTTGTACACTGACACTTGCATCGATGCAGCAGCATAATTAATTTCATCTGTTAATTTTGATAATTGTTCTGATTGTGTCATTTTGATCTATTATTATTCTTGAGTCCACTTAAGCAACAAAGATTCCTGAAAAGCCTAAAAGTCTTACTGAAATTTAATTGAATCAAAGACTTGCACTTGTTGCTCTGAAAGTGATTAGAGAATTAGCACATTTTGAGTGAAGAAATATTCGATAACCTCCTTTATTTACTGATCCTAAGTTTAGGATTGGATTGCTTTAAGCAGTTCAACTATTTGGATCATGAAGAGTTCACTTGTTTCTGTATTCAGATACTGTGTTTATTCAAAAAGCTTGGTGAAATAGAATAACCATTCTTTCAACTTGTCAATTGGGCAACTCAAGTTGATGATCTTTTGAATGCCAAAAGGTAGTTCTTTTTGTTCAACTATTTTTGATAACTCTTGCTCATTTTCTAGATATATTATATACTTAATTAATTTAGTTAAAAATCCTTCAAAATTCTTAAACGATTGCACTGAGAAGTATATTTAGAACATTATCTACTGTACTTGAAATATTTGCTCTTCATTAAACTTCTCAATCACTTCTGTGACAATCACCAAAAGTGTTTGCACATCTTATCGAATTTGTTAATGAATCAAAGTTTGACTCAGATATTGAGGATTCTAATCTAGAAGATGCATAAAAATCTAAAGAAGTCTTTCGTTTTATTCGATCTTCAATTAATCCAAAAACCAAATGGAGTGTTATTAAAGTATGAGTTATTATTATTCAATGCTAATTTTCTTGACGTAATTGAAATAGTAATCCAGAATATTTTGTTATTTAGTCTAAGAGTATAGATGCTACAGAATTTCAACACACAAGCAGTTAATCTTTAGTAATTGAGTTAATGCATTCAATAGATTGTCAAAGTTATTGTTTACACAGATCGCCTTAGAAATATAAGAGATCATGCCTTGACTTAATAGGTCCTTGGTGCCATAGAGCATTTATCCTAACAAGGTGATGGTCGCCACCAAACAATCCATGCTATCAGTCTAGAGTAGAAGAAAGATGTCATTTAGGATCTTATTTTGAATGTTATGATTTCTGAATACAATGAAATTCTCTTGATCATCTCTGAATAAGTCAGAAACCAACCTGGTTGCACTTTAGATGGCTTTGATTTTGAGTTCGATTGATGAGGCTTCGGCGACCTTTAAAAATAGTTTGAATTAGTCCTTCAATGTATTAAAGTTATATTAGCAGGAGTAAATCATAATTTATAGAATTTGATCTTGGATTAGACTCTTCTGATTGACACTCACCAATAACTGAGCCAAATATTAGATGGGAGTGACTTGTAAGTATTTCTGATGATCACTGATATAGAATTGCTGTAATAAAATGCAGTATTACTATTAATCGGTGATTCTTTTGATGAAATTGACATCAATAATTAACAACAATAGTTGATTGAGTATATCTTGATCCTCAACTTTTTGTTTGATCTGCAAAATTTAACTTAGATTGGGGATGTCTACATTGATGATCTATGCTATCTGTTGGAATAGTTTCATTTCGACAATTTAATTCTTGTTGATTTGACTATCCTGTAACAAAGTATAGAGTAAGATTTTAAATAGGTCATCAATTTAAGAATGATCGTAATATTGAATTAGATCAAAAAGTGGAATTAAAATTTTAATACCGCCGTATTCTACAAAATCGTATTTTTATAATGAAGATGTCATCTTGGTGTCTCCCTAAAGTTCATAGATTACGTTCTGAATTCTATCGTTGACTCTCTTCGTCTAGTGAGGATCGTATAGGGGGTAGATTTAATAAAAAGGAGATTTCAAATGCTGGTCGCCAACTTCATTGTAAACTGAGATTTCTTTGACTTTGCATTATATGTTCTGGAAATAGAGCATCTCCAGATTTTGATTCCTGATTTTGGGATACTCAATCTGTATCGTATTTTTAATCTGATTAATTGAATATATAAACTTGGGTCTGGAGTATAGTTTTCCTTATTCATGAGAAATAATTATTTCATTCCATCCATTCATTACGACTTCACCCAACTGATTATTGGAAGAGTAGTCTTCCACAAGAACTCTTTCTAGAGTGAACCTCTGGTAAACATTCTTGTAGAAGACTACACCACCAATTAAGTAACAATGAACTCCATTGGCTATGATTCTCTTGCCATCGATATGAGATGATGAAAATTAGAAGATCGTCCCATCCCCTTGAGGATTGAATGTTAAGCAGATCGAATATTGCTTTTCGAAATGCCATTAAGATTGATTGATAAGTTTTATCCCTCCATTATTGATGACGAATTGATCCTCATTCTTCTCTTGTTTCAAATACTCATACAAACCCTCGATGCACCCAGCCATGGTTTATGGATTGTATGTACTTTTGGAATATTCATCAGATAATTCATGAAAGTACTTTAACATGAGTATATATTAATCATAGAAATTGTTAAATAGTCTTCCGAATTGATCTTTTTTTCATGACATTTTCAGCATCCTTCTAACTGATCTTGGCCAATAGATCAACTCTGGTTAGATTGGCTACATCATCTAGGTTTCCATCATGGGAGACTTGCACTGATTGCAATCTATCCTTCATTTTCACCTCCTCATTCTTCTTCTTCGTGATATTGCTCTCTTCCTCCTCCAATTAGTCTAAATCTCGTATTGGAATCATGGGAGCCTCCTGATTCCTTATGTTATTCCAATCAACTGCATTGAAGAACTTATGAGATTTAACTTCTTCAGCACCTTTCTCTCCAAGTCTCTTATGGTATTAAGGTTCTAATAATGAATTAATTAACTCATATGCCTCCTAACTCATCGAGTCTTCTCCACATCCTATCTCTGGCCATTCGATGCTCCCATTCATTATGTTCTCAAACACCTTCGGAATGCTAGAATCATTGAATGGTGGAATGCCTACTAAAAATTCATATGCTATCACTCCAAAAGCCCACCAATCTATTGAAAAGTTCGATATAGATTATCCACAGATGACTTCAGGGGGAATGTAATCGGGAGTTCCAATTATTCTATTCTATCTTTTTCCTGATTGAGTTCTCTCTTAAATACTTGTCTTAGTAGCAGTCTTTTGTAGATGAAATTCAATATTGCTTTTCATTTTGATGTTCCTCTTTGAAACATTCATAGGTAATGCCTCAGGATCAATGGAACTATTGAATCCGTCTTTCCCTTCCTTAATCTTTTACACTAATGCGATTTCAGATAACCCAAAATCAGCCAACTTTAGATGACCCTGTGCATCCAATAAGATATTTTGTGGTTTCAAATCTCTGTGAATTATTCTTTTCTTGTGTAATGATTCAATTGCTAAGAGCAACTCAGCCAAATAAAATTTAGCCACTGATTCTGAAATACGTCCATATTGATAAAGAACTTAACTGAAATCACCCCCCATCATATATTCTAACAAGAACAATAAACAATTGTCTTAAATAAATGAATAAAATGCTTTTACTACAAAATCACCTTCTAAGATTTCAAATACATTTTTTTCAGCTCTTAAATTCTGAATTTCATTCATATTCTTATTTCTACAATCTATCACCTTCATTGCATAATAATCCTTAGTCTTCTTCTTACAAACCAACCACACTGCTCCAAATGCTCCGACACCCAACACCTGGATAAATTCAAAGTCCTAAAGAGTAACATTCAATCTAAAATATCAATAATGTTATGATTTACAATTATTTATTCTTCACCAATTTAGTAGTCTTGAAATCTCCATCACTGTAATACCCCTTAACCTTCTGTTCCTTCTCATTATCAAACTCACACTGATTATCCACCTGATGTTGATTCAAATCCTTAAATGAAATCATATTGCTTTTTGATTATTTTACATAGTTATCCATTTCAAAAGATTCTTCCAGTGATTTCTTAGTAATATTTTTTTTGATTTCCTTAGACACCACACCCTCTGAATCTGATGCACTGCTACTCTATCCTCCATCTTCAGATTCACTCAGACATTTCTAAAAGATACAATCCTTTCCTACACCTTCAGTGAAGGTTTTCGATTAAGTCTACTTACTGGGTTCAGAATTCGGAACTATGTTTTACTTATTCAACCATTTGGCTCCATTACCACTGTTCTTGAGCATTTCAAAATGTCCTTATAGAGAATTTCCTAATGAAGTCCTACGATTTCCTAATTCTACATTGTTGATCTTGAGACGTGGAGATGTAAGATTTTCTATTTTCTCTTCCTCCGAAATCAGTTTCTGCAATCTCGATATTTTTTAAGTACATTGCACCTTCTCCTAAAATGAGATAATGATTCAATTGTACTTCAATCAGTTTCAAAGTCAGTTTCACTAGATCTTGGACCTCCTTTTAGAGAGTGTGTTTGATGTTGAACAAATCCACTTGTATTTTTAGATCAAATTAAATTGATTGAGTACCATGATTTGTTCTAAGAGTTTCTTCAGTATATTTAGTGATGATGGACAGAGAGTCTAACTGTAGTCTCAAATCTTTCAAAATTTCAGTGTTATCACTATTATATATTCATAATTAAGTACTCAAGAGAAAATGGACTTCCCATACCATTCGATATCGGAGAACTTATTTGTTTGATTTCTGGAGAATAAACAAACTTATTTCCTTGTTTCTATTATTCTATTTTCTTTGATAACTTTATCTATTGTTTCATTATTTGATCGAAATCCTCTCCCGTAATGGACTATTAAACAGTCTAAGTCACACATTCCTACTAAGTCTACTCTTGGGAGGCCTCGTTATTTGCTAAACTTGCTCCTAAGTTCGCAAACCTCGATTTGACTGCGCACTAAAATTATACACAGCTTTGCACTAACCTTGTTTGTTCTTGAACCTGTCTCCTCACTTGCACAATCATCTGGTTGATTCAATTTCAACGGTGCACTGCTCCTCATTCCACGATTATCCTGGTTTGTATATCTAGCCTGCTTGGACTTATGGATTTGATATTTTGTATTTATTGTACGAAAGCTGTTCTGAGCCTACTCTGCTAATTTTTGAATTTGCACATCCAATTGATGCAAATGCTTTCTAGCCTCAAAGATTTGTTAGCAATTCACTAGGTGATTCTCAATCAATGAAGCATCTGTCTACAAATGTTATACCACACTCATACTTATTTCTCACATATCCTACACATTACTAATAGATCTTCACTACTCTAAACTTCAGCAATCATAAAATATAAATTTATTATAAACTCAATGATTCCTCCATTATCAATTAATCATTTTTAATTGACTTTCATTTACTCTTTAAGAAAATGTCAATTGCCCCATTTAATAATATCCTTTAATATTGTTAGTGTTTAATTTTGGATCCTTCAGATGAAGTCTTTTCCGACAAATTCATATTGATATTTTTATTTAATTTCGAAACAATTCATTTTAGAACAACAATTTTCTACATTCCTATGTACATTCTTAGTTCATAAATATTTATAATCCAGCGTTGAACTCATTTTACAGATTAAATAGAACGAACAAATAAGGACTATATCTTTCATATTGAAAGCTTAGCCTATTTCAGAGTCAAAAGTTAATTTTTTCAAGGTATCATTAGGCCATCAAATAAACTTTTATTTTAATATGATGAATGAATAAATTGGCAAACAAAAATATCTATTAAATTATTTAACTTCTATATCTTGTAATTGAATCAGTTTTAATAAAATGATTCCTGTTATTGAATTTGTGATGTCTTCATATTTTTACAGGTTTGAAATTATTTTGCCAATTTTACGCGAGTTTTTGTTCATATGATTTTATCATAATTATTAAAAATATATATAGATTCTTAAATCATTAATTTCTTCAAATTGTAATTCAAAGTTGGGTTGGAAAACGCAATGATAATCTACATTTATAAATAACTAATACCTAATTGGAGCAGTTCGCTTTCTCACTCTGGATGTTAAAATCTAGCCTTCAATGTTCGGAATTTGAGATTCAGACTTAGATTGTACATTAGTCTACAACAAGGAAAGTCGATTTTCAAAAAGTAGTTTGGTTCTTTGAGTGTTGTTCTCATCAAATACCTAAACTAATTTGGGAGATATCATTATGAAAGGTTTTTTCATTATTGATGTTGACTTTTGTTAAGGCTGAATACTTGGCTTATGATTGTGTTTTCTTTATATATTAGAGATGCTATTACCTTGAAGTCTGTAAAGTATTGAGAATGAAGGAAGTACTTGAGGTTGTAGTTTTGTTGCTTGAAATCGACTTTGAAGATTTCATTAAATTAATAAATAAACAATTTAGGCCTGATATTAAAAATAAGAAACTCCTTATTTTTTTCAATTTCTATTTTTAGTCCTATTCTCATTGAAACGAATCAAATATTTGCTGCTTAGCTTTATTGATCAGAAAATACTAATTAATGAATTATGCATACTCAGAATACAATTTTAGGTATTAATTTTAAAACAATTTTAAATAACGTGATTTAATAATTATGGTCTGTTTTTGAGAGAGATTATATATACTTAAGGATTACAAAAAAGATATTTTTTTTAACAAGTTCTTTTACAATATTAATTTCATTGCTTTTTAATAAAAATTAATCATTTCAATACTAAAATTTATTTTTATTGACTTGACATTAAAAATGTAAATTAGTTCTGAAGAATTAGGTCATTCTGTGAAGTCTACATTAAAATTGGCTAAGCAAGTTGATGAAATAATTTATTTGAAAACGATGATTTAAGAACTTTTAAAAAAATAAGTCGACATAAGTTTTCTATTATTATGATAGATTGAAGAAATATTAAAGAAAATAATGTACAATAATATATATATATTGAAGAATGAATCATTTACTAATATGCTAATTCTTAAAAATTGGAAGGAGGAAAACAAAAACCCAGTATTAAATGTTGGCTTAGAAAAATTTAGAAAAGAAACTTCTTCGAGATTCAAATGATCATAAAATCAAGTTTTATAGTTCTAATTTGCTTTATGATTTTCCCATTCAGCTAAGGTCATATTTAAAAGCTATTCTAACGAAAAAAATACAGAAAATTATAAAATAAGATATTTTATCAATATTAGACTATTTACTAATAAACTGTCTAAATGTTTTTGGGAAAATTTAATGCAAATCACTTCTCATCATCCAAACTGGAAACTCTAAAGAGATGAATCTTAATTAATAATAAAATTGATTTTATTTGTGCCTCTAATAGTACATAAAATCCGCACCTATTATCAAATGGAAGCAACAGAGTAATTTTTATGCTAATGAGAAAAAGCTCCAAAAACGAAAATGGAACTAGAGAATTTGAAGTAATGACTGATGAAAACACATAGAAACTCTAAAAAATTACTAAATCCTTTAAAGATATTAAAGAGATGTAATCAATAACATATTTTTAATGCTTAAATTTTATTATTGACACCTAAAGCCAGTTAATTTAAACAGAATTTTTTAATTGGTCCATTACATAATTGCATTATCACAAAATTTTAATCAAATTTTCCTAAATCCGAGCAATTCCTTTTTATTGCGAAACAAATGCAAAATAATTTTGTTCTAATTGTATAAATACACAAAACTTGTGCTATTCTAAAAATTCTTTTTGCAAATTGATTTAAAACATTGATTTAAACAATACATCGTATTTGTACCTAATGCAAATATATCGAGAATGTAACATGGAGAAAGAATTCTCGAATTATGAATAACTTAAATTTCTTTCATAAAATTTCAACAATCTATTTATCGAAAAGAAGTTTATGATGATTAATGTGCAGATGAAAAATGGAAAGTTAAAGATGGCTAAAAAAATAGTCCATAATTATCACTTTAAACTCAGATAAAACTGTAACCATAGAATTCCGATGAAAAGTTAACTTTAATTACTTAATAAATCTAAATTTTGTAATTATTTGATAGCATAATTTGGATTGGTTCCCTCTCAAAAACTATAGAATTTAGAATATCGTTTTCTTAATGTAATTTAAATACCAGACATTTTAATATAAATATTAATTTTTGAATACTCATCTATTGTTATGCTTTTACGTATTACAATAACAGACATTTCGCTGATTATAAGCTAATATATTATAAATTATATAAATTATTTAATCTGAATAAAATGTATGTTTTATTTGAATTATAGTTCTATCTATTCAATTCTCACATTAAATTGTAGCAATAAATTTTATTTTTATTTTGCATTTTTGAAGATACAAAGTGTTTATTTCAGTAGTTTGCTTAGGTATTTATTTGATTCGCAGATTTCTATAAATTTTGAAAGGTTTTTAGAAAAGTATTTGTGGACATATTATTTGTGCTTTTCATGAGAACTAAAATTAGTCATTTTCATTCAATGTCGTTATCATCTAAATCAATATTATTTGCTTTTGATTTAAAAATTTGCATGAAACTATTTTTAATCTTATTAAATCTAAATGGTGAGAACTAATTTATATTGAAAAGATTACTATAGTCTATTATTGGAAAGTTAAATTTTACTAGAAAATAAATTCTATAAAACAAGAAGAGATCAAATAAAGAGAAAATATTTTAAATATGTAAGATAAAATCGAACATTATGCTTTTATGATTAATTGCAATATGCTAATTCAACAGAATTTATGGTGAAGGTAAAATATTATCAATCTAAATCAAATTTGATAATTTAACAGATATATTTTCCAGCTCAATAATAAACTAAGAGTTTAGTATTCAGACTTTTAGTTAGATAATATTATTATTTATTAATTATTATATAATTTTAAATTGAAATTTATAAGTTCTAGAATCATATGCATTCACAAATATCGAGTATATTATAAAAGAAACACTTTATATAATTTAACAATAATGCTGACTATTTTTTGTTTAATCTTAAATGAAGCGTATCAAATAAATGATACTAAAATTATTTTCGCTTTTTAATATTTTAATTAATAATAAATTTGTGCATTAAAATTTAAGGATAAGAGGTATCTTATTTGAATATCAAATAAATGTTAATAGGCTTGATTCATTTAATTAAATATTCATTTATAAATTCACTATTACTTTAAATCATTTAGTGGCTATAATTTTGATTAGACATATTCTAATTATATAAGTAATTTTAAACATGAATTTGTTTTGATAATAATTATTGATGAGGTAAATTCAGTAACTCATCTTGTGAAAAAATAGATGGCTAAAATCGATTCAAATCTAATAACGAATTTCCTAATCAATATCACTAAGAATAACCTTTATAAATGTAATAAATTGCTATTTTCGGATCTATTTAAATTGCTTAATCAAATTCAAAAATTGTTTCTTCTAAATTGTCTATCATGTATAAGGCTTGTCCTATTTAAATACTTCATTGTTAACACCTTTATTAAAATGGGAGTCAGCATCATTTGGATTTAATTTAATTGCTTTATCAAATTCTATAATTGATTCTTCATATTTCTTTAAATTGAATAAGGCTTATCCTAATTAAATTATTTATAGATTTCAACCTTTATTGCAATAGTATTAAGAATAATTTTGATTTAATTCAATAGCTTTATCAAATTCTATAATTGATTCTTCATATTTATAAAACTCTTATAATGCTAATCCTAATTCAATTATTTATATATTTCAACCTTTACTATTATAGTAATCATCATAATTTGGATTTAATTCAATTGCTTTATCATATTCTATAATTGATTCTTCATATTTCTTTAAATTGCATAATGCTTATCCTAATTAAATTATTTATGGATTTCAACCTTTATTGCAATAGTATTAAGAATAATTTTGATTTAATTCAATAGCTTTATCAAATTCTATAATTGATTCTTCATATTTATAAAACTCTTATAATGCTAATCCTAATTCAATTATTTATATAATTTCAACCTTTACTATTATAGTAATCATCATAATTTGGATTTAATTCAATTGCTTTATCATATTCTATAATTGATTCTTCATATTTCTTTAAATTGCATAAAGCATTTCCTAATTTAATTACTTAAATATTTCAACCTTTAATATTATAGTAATCATCATCATTTGGATTTAATTCAATTGCTTTATCATATTCTATAATTGATTCTTCATATTTTTTTAAATTGTATAAGGCATATCCTATTTAAATTATTAATATATTTCAACCTTTACTATTATAGTATTCAGCATAATTTGGATTTAATTCAATTGCTTTATCATATTCTATAATTGATTCTTCATATTTCTTTTAATTGCATAAAGCATTTCCTAATTTAATTACTTAAATATTTCAACCTTTACTATTATAGTAATCATCATAATTTGGATTTAATTCAATTGCTTTATCAAATTCTATAATTGATTCTTCATATTTCTTTAAATTTTATAATGCTTATCCTAATTAAATTATTTATATATTTCAACCTTTACTATTATAGTAATCATCATAATTTGGATTTAATTTAATTGCTTTATCAAATTCTATAATTGATTCTTCATATTTATATAACTCTTATAATGCTAATCCTAATTCAATTATTTATATATTTCAACCTTTACTATTATAGTAATCATCATAATTTGGATTTAATTCAATTGCTTTATCATATTCTATAATTGATTCTTCATATTTCTTTAAATTGCATAAAGCATTTCCTAATTTAATTACTTAAATATTTCAACCTTTATTGCAATAGTATTAAGGAATAATTTTGATTTAATTTAATTGCTTTATCAAATTCTATAATTGATTCTTCATATTTCTTTAAATAGTATAATGCTTATCCTAATTAAATTATTTATATATTTCAACCTTTACGGTTATAGTAAACATCATAGCTTGGTTTTAATTCAATTGCTTTATCATATTCTTTAATTGATTCTTCATATTTCTTTAAATTGTATAATGCTTATCCTAATTAAATTATTTATGGATTTCAACCTTTATTGCAATAGTATTAAGAATAATTATGATTTAATTCAATAGCTTTATCAAATTCTATAATTGATTCTTCATATTTATATAACTCTTATAATGCTAATCCTAATTCAATTATTTATATATTTCAACCTTTACTATTATAGTAATCATCATAATTTGGATTTAATTCAATTGCCTTATCAAATTCTATTATTGATTCTTCATATTTCTTTAAATTTTATAATGCTTATCCTAATTAAATTATTTATATATTTCAACCTTTACTATTATAGTAATCATCATAATTTGGATTTAATTTAATTGCTTTATCAAATTCTATAATTGATTCTTCATATTTCTTTAAATAGTATTAAGGCTTATCCTAATTAAATTATTTATATATTTCAACCTTTACGGTTATAGTAAACATCATAGCTTGGTTTTAATTCAATTGCTTTATCATATTCTTTAATTGATTCTTCATATTTCTTTAAATTGTATAATGCTTATCCTAATTAAATTATTTATATATTTCAACCTTTACAATTATAGTAATCATCATCATTTGGATTTAATTCAATTGCTTTATCAAATTCTATTATTGATTCTTCATATTTCTTTAAATTTTATAATGCTTATCCTAATTAAATTATTTATATATTTCAACCTTTATCTATTATAGTAATCATCATAATTTGGATTTAATTTAATTGCTTTATCAAATTCTATAATTGATTCTTCATATTTCTTTAAATTGTATAATGCTTATCCTAATTCAATTATTTATATATTTCAACCTTTACTATTATAGTAATCATCATAATTTGGATTTAATTCAATTGCTTTATCATATTCTATAATTGATTCTTCATATTTCTTTAAATTGCATTAATGCTTATCCTAATTAAATTATTTATGGATTTCAACCTTTATTGCAATAGTATTAAGAATAAATTTTGATTTAATTCAATAGCTTTATCAAATTCTATAATTGATTCTTCATATTTATAAAACTCTTATAATGCTAATCCTAATTCAATTATTTATATATTTCAACCTTTACAATTATATTAAACATCATCATTTGGATTTAATTCAATAGCTTTATCAAATTCTATAATTGATTCTTCACATTTCTTTAAATAGTATAATGCTTATCCTAATTAAATTATTTATATATTTCAACCTTTACTATTATAGTAAACATCATAGCTTGGTTTTAATTCAATTGCTTTATCATATTCTTTAATTGATTCTTCATATTTTTTTAAATTGTATAAGGCATATCCTATTTAAATTATTAATATATTTCAACCTTTATTATCATAGTATTCAGCATGATATCGATTTAATTCAATTGCTTTATCATATTCTTTAATTGATTCTTCATATTTCTTTAAATTGTATAAGGCTTATCCTAATTAAATTATTTATATATTTCAACCTTTACTATTATAGTAATCATCATAATTTGGATTTAATTTAATTGCTTTATCAAATTCTATAATTGATTCTTCATATTTCTTTAAATAGTATAATGCTTATCCTAATTAAATTATTTATATATTTCAACCTTTACTATTATAGTAATCATCATAATTTGGATTTAATTTAATTGCTTTATCAAATTCTATAATTGATTCTTCATATTTCTTTAAATTGTATAATGCTTATCCTAATTAAATTATTTATATATTTCAACCTTTACTATTATAGTAATCATCATAATTTGGATTTAATTTAATTGCTTTATCAAATTCTATAATTGATTCTTCATATTTCTTTAAATAGTATAATGCTTATCCTAATTAAATTATTTATATATTTCAACCTTTACGGTTATAGTAAACATCATAGCTTGGTTTTAATTCAATTGCTTTATCATATTCTTTAATTGATTCTTCATATTTCTTTAAATTGTATAATGCTTATCCTAATTAAATTATTTATGGATTTCAACCTTTGTTGCAATAGTATTAAGAATAATTATGATTTAATTCAATAGCTTTATCAAATTCTATAATTGATTCTTCATATTTATATAACTCTTATAATGCTAATCCTAATTCAATTATTTATATATTTCAACCTTTACTATTATAGTAATCATCATAATTTGTATTTAATTCAATTGCTTTATCATATTCTATAATTGATTCTTCATATTTCTTTAAATTCCATAAAACATTTCCTAATTAAATTATTTATAGATTTCAACCTTTACTATTATAGTAATCATCATAATTTGGATTTAATTCAATTGCTTTATCATATTCTATAATTGATTCTTCATATTTCTTTTAATTGCATAAAGCATTTCCTAATTTAATTACTTAAATATTTCAACCTTTACTATTATAGTAATCATCATAATTTGGATTTAATTCAATTGCTTTATCAAATTCTATAATTGATTCCTCATATTTATATAACTCATATAAGGCATATCCTATTTAAATTATTAATATATTTCAACCTTTACTATTATAGTATTCAGCATCATTTGGATTTAATTCAATTGCTTTATCATATTCTATAATTGATTCTTCATATTTCTTTGAATTGTATAAAGCATTTCCTAATTAAATTATTTATAGATTTCAACCTTTACTATAATAGTATTTAGCATTATTTGGATTTAATTCAATTGCTTTATCATATTTTATAATTGATTCTTCATTGTTGTTTAAATTATATAAAGGGAAACCTAAATAGTTTGTTTGTATATTTAAACCTTTTTTGTTTAAGTAGTTAGCTTCATTTAGATTTAATTCAATTCCCTTTTCAAATTCAATGATTGATTTATTGCATTTTAGTAATGCTTTACCTAATTTAACCATTAGAAAATAAATACCTTTATGAAAATAGTACGTAGGAGATTTTGGATTTAATTAAATTGCCATATTATATTCTATAATTGATTCTTCATATTTATGTATCTAGCATAGAACATCTCCTAATAATTTATTAATAACTTTATACCTTTTTTATTATAGTACATGGCATTATTTGGATTTATTTCAATTGCCTTTTTAAATTAAATAATTGATTCATCAAACATTTTTAAATCTTATAAGAGTAATCCTATATGATATAATCTTATATTGATGCCTTTATTATAATATGAATTAGCATTAGTTGGATTTTATTCAATTTCCTTGTCAACTTATATTATTGATTGTTCATATTCTTCGTATTTATATAATTAATTTCCTAATTTATTAAATAACGCTTTGATACTAGTAAAAATTTCCTTTTCAGGATTATTTTAAGTCACTTTTAATATCTTATCATGTTCAATAACTTCTTCTTCATAATCTTTTAACTGATGTAATGCTTTTGCTAATGTTTTAATTTAAGATTGATACCTTTATTTTAATGGTAGTTACTATTACTTGAATCTAATTGAATCGCCTTCTCATATTCGGTAATTGATTCTTCATATTTATATAAACTTTATAATGAATTTCCTAATTTTTGTAATAATGCTTTATACCTTTCATATTATAACAGATGGGATCATTTGGATTCAATTAAATTGCCTTATCAATTTCATAAATTGCTTCTTCAAATTTATTTATCTTCATTAAAGCTTTTGCTAATATTTGTAATGATGTTTTAATACCTTTATTGATGTAGTCACAACAATTATTTGGATCAATTTGAATCGCCTTCTCCTGTTCAATATTTGATTCTTCATATTTATTTAAACTTTATAAGGCATTTCCTAATGTTTGTAATTAGGCTTTAATACCAATATGATGATCATAGTTTCCATAATTTGAATTTAATTTAATTGGCTTATCAAATTCTATAATAGATTCTTCATCTTCTTACTTTTGTTTTGTATTACCTAATAGATTTAATTTAATTGTCACCACTTTAATTAGCATATTATTCTTGTTATTGATCCAAGAGTACTTTTTCTGTTTGATTTGTTGAAAATTTTTTGTTTTCTAAACAAGTGTCACATTTAACTTATGCTTCAAAGGAAGAGTAAGGTTCAAATACTTTTCCGCAAGCGCATATTTTGAAGTTAAAATCAGTTTTCTACATTTATGAAATAATTTTCTAATTCTATAAATTAATTAAATTTTGCTTTATTTATAAGATTTTTTTATTTTAGAATAAATCTATTAATAACATGTTTGGATATAATTTAAAATGTTCAATTTTTAATGTAAGAATTTTAATTATTCTCAAGGGACCAGAATCCTATTGTTAAAAGTAGTCAAAGAAACATAAGGTTTAAGTTTTTAATTAAATCTCTATTTTTATGTGAATTTATTGATATATTTATATATATAACTTGATTTTATTTAAGGAGGGGAAAGAGGATGGTGTTTTATGTATAAGCTTGCTTCTTAAATTTTATTAAACTCCTTGCAGGAATTTAGAATTAGTCCTCAGTTAGGTGTGCATTCAGTAATTTCTGGGTAATGTTAGACACATTTCAGAAGGTGTAGTATAATAACATGATAAAGAAATAGTAATTAAAATAAATTAAAACAAATAAAATTTATTTGAATGTGTTTATATACTTTTTTTCTTTGAATGATCAATCTTTGGCTGCCTTATAAATTTTATTTGCTGCATCTTCGAGTAAACCTAATAATGATTCTTGCGATTCTTCTCTTAGTTTTTTCTCCTCTTCTATTTCACTCTTTACTCTTGACACTAGATCCTTGAGCATCTCAAAGATGGCTGTTTCTGATTCCTCTCTAAGAAAGTTCTAAAATAAAGAATTTACCTCAATTTCTTTTGATTAGCCACTCCTTCATTAAGACGACGTATTTCATCTCCAGCTCTTCTCAAGGTACCATTGTCACTATCTTCTCTATCTTATCCTTCTGTTTTCACCATGTCATATAATTTTGGTAGATCGTTCTCTAAGGATGTAGTAATGTTCTCTATTTATTCTTATCTGATTTTGCCTTCAGTCTGGATATCAGATTTCAAGTATACAACCTATAATATTAAGATTTATCTGAAACCTTCTCATCCAAGTATCCTTGTAATTTTAGATTTCCATCTCTTCTCAATGCTATTTCCTATTCCAATTTGGTTGTGATGCGACTTTCAAATGCTGCAATCTCTCTTACTCTTTGTTCAAATTGAGTTTCAAATGCATTGTTTTCTTCTTCAATTTGTTTTTAAAAACGAACTATCTCATCTTTTAATGAGTGCTAATCGATTCATATTTCATCAAACTTACAAGCTTTCTATTGTAAGATGTAATTGTATCTTGAGTTCTCTCTTCAACTGCTGTAATTCTTCCACATATCGTATCAATACGATGAGCCTTTGAGTGATCATGTTGTAATGGGATTGAATTCAATTTCTCTTGAATCTTATGGAAGCGTTCATTGAAAGGTGTATTTGGATTCATTTTAATAACAAATTAATTTAAAAATAATATTTAATCAAGAATTGCTCAAATAGAAGAACAAAAGATTATATTATTTGAAATCAAGTATACTACAGAAATCCTTAAACACATACCCATTGATCTGAATGAAACTATGCTCAAATTCTAGGAGACCCTTCAAGAATTTTTCAGGTTTCCGATTGAAAAATGAAAGAATATGATAAAGGGATCTCTTTTGAAAGCTAACTAAGATCTATCGAAATCGAATCTCAAAAGCCTACTAGGCATTTTAATCTAAGCGGTAATAAATTATGGGCATGTGTGAACAATAAGAGCATCTTTTAAATTTGAAATTGGGCAAACAATATTTGAAGAAGATCTCAGTCCAGAAGAAAAGGAAATACTATCGAAATAGAATGCAGGGGTACTACTATAATCTCTAAAAATTTCAGATTGTTCTACAAATATGATTGTTCAAATTAGGAAATGCATTTTATAAGCATGCCTCAATTTAATTTTCAGGGGAGTCAACTTGTTTAATGAATGAGCAAAGAATAACAAAAAATAGGATAAAATATAAAGTTTTTTATTCATTTAATGATGACTTCTAAAATCTTGAACTCAAGGGTGAAGCATTTCAACCTCTAATTTAATAAGCGCAATCAAATTCCAATTTAATTCTAGACCCAATTTTAGTTATATCTTGAATTAGATTAAAGAGAAAATCAAATGGCAGTCAAATGATATGATGCTAGATGAATGTTTTATAATATACATTAAACAATCTAGCCTTTGACTTCAAATGAGAATGAAGAAGGGCAACAACATAACTTTGTTAAAGATTTGTTTAAATCTAATTGAAATCAACACTTGGGAATTAGGATCTTCCAGACAAGTCAGCATCGATAAGGGAAAAAGTTGAAGTATATAATTGATAATCAGAGCAAACCAGTCAATATCTTATTGGAAGGAATTACAGTGAGTTTGGAAAGATAATTAGAGAAAGCATCTGAGATAGATCAATAAATCCATGCGTATAAAAGACACAACAAAATTGTAAATTGGTAAGATGTATGTATATACATTAAAAAGCCAATTAATTTATTATGTTAAATGGTTAGATTTAATTGGAAATTGAGTGTAAAGGCAAGGAAGGAGGGAAGGTCAAAATATTGTGAAATGTGGCATTCCTTAAAATAATAGATATACATGACTTTTGCGCTTCTGAATTACAAGAATTGTTGCAAGCTGGAAGAGAGTACGAAAAAAGAAACACACTAGTTGGAATATTTTCAAATAAGATTTAGAGGCATCTGGAAAAATGGTGATACCAGAGAAATTTACAAGTAATTTAAGGTGAAAAAATAACAAGTGGATATCAAGAATCATGATGATTAGTTATATTGGAAACATGGAATGGTTTAGATACAAGAGATTACTAGTTGATTGGAGTTCTAAGTAATTATATTTTATAGCTCATACTGGAAGAGAGGCCGACTATGGACAGTATATGGTATGGGTTCATCATTCAGGGAGGATTAGATCTAGTATGATGATGAAAAGACAGCAGAGAGGAAAAATAGAACATATTTTGGAATGGAGAGGAGGTGGGGATTGGCAAATGGGTTATTATCTATTGTATAGAAAATTAGAAATTGAGTGATATTATAAAAATGAATAATTATCATTATTTATTCAAGTTCATTATTGTGGGAGAATCAAGTAATTGCATTACTAAGGTTAGCTGTTGGAAAGAGTTGCTTATTATTGCAATATACAGAAGGCAGATTCCGAGTGGGATATGATACTACCATTGGCGTAGAATATGGATCTAAAGAATTCATCTATGATGATAAACTCATCAAGTTATAATTGTGGGATACGGTATAATTTAATTCTATTCAGGCAGGCTAAGAGTCCTTTCGTTCTATAACTAGGGCATATTACAGGGGGTATTTAAGTGTTATTTATATGTTTAGATCTATTGGTTGTTTCTTGGTCTATGATATCTCGAGGAGAATAACATTCGATAGAATTTAAACATGGGTAAAGGATGTGTAATAAGACACCAATAATCAAATTGAATATTTTTTGGTAGGCAACAAATGTGATTTAAAAGATCGAAAAGTTAGTTATGATGAAGGGAGACAATTGTCAATCCAATTAGGGTGTGAATTCTAGGAGACTTCAGCCAAAACTGGAGAAAATGTAGAATTTATATTTGAAACTTTAACTAAGAAAATTTATGAGAATATTAAATCAAATAAGATTGATCCTCTTGATCCCAATCACGGAATCAAAATAGGAAAGATTCGAGAAAATGAAAGAGTTACAGAAATTCCTAACTAAAAAAAAAGAAGTGTTTGTTGTTGAATATAATCACAAAGTCAATATTTGTTAAATGTATTAAATATTAGAATTAATTAATCTTTATACAGACTTTAATTCATTACTTTTTCTTTTGCTAATTAGGACTTTAACTAGGTTTTCTCTTCTTTGGACTAATAATAGTATAATTTTGTACATAGCCACTCCTTATTACTTAAGCATACTGTATTTTTTAGAAAGAGGAATTTCGTCGAAGTTTTCCTCAAAAATTGAATCTCTCCAACCAACCGTCTCTGCATAAGAATTCTATCTTGCGTTTCTATTGCCTGTTTCAGCTGTCTATTTCATATTCTGACCAACATCCTATGGAGAATTGTCATCACACACTTTGGCATCAAAAGCGATTTGTGAAGGTTAGTATTTTGGCCTTATTGAGTTATAAGTGCTCAACATCACGCTTCCAGAAACCACACTTGGTTATTAGGAATCCTATCTCTTCAATTAGGAAGGTGGAATTAAAAATTAGTTGTTGCTCAACCTAATGATAAATCCTTAAAATTACTATCTTATTAAATTCGATCCTTATTTCTCTATCGATTTCTTCATCTCTGCAGACGCAGGGGGTTATAATTATTGTTGAGTTGTAGATCTTAGTAAATTGTCAGGATTTTCAATGTTTTAGGAGATCTTCATCTATTACTTCTAATCCCAATCATAGATATTATCCAATTTGATTCCTTAACTCTCTGCAGCCTTTTCCAATGTATTGTACACAAAATCATAATTGGGATCACTACTATATTATAACTATCTTAAGTGTCTATAAAATTTATGAATATAGGCTTACTCCAGAATATTAGCAAATTCTGGCGGTACATCTTAGCACAATTCTCGAGGATCCATGTTCATTTTCATTTCACCGACTTTGACAGTTCTTTCTTCATCACTGACATTCTGCATATTTTGCCATGGAAGCTGCCTAGACTTCTGATAATTCAAGATTCCTTTACCCTTTCATGAAATACAATAACACATATATTAATGATTCGATATCATCCTTCCTACTTAATTCATGGCCTTTATGTGCAGCAATCGATGCGTACCTTGTAGTACCTATAAAGGATGCATTATCTCTAAAGGGTCTAACCTAATAGCACTAATGAAATTACAAAATATTTCCCTGAGCATCTCTGTATATTTTGCTGATTCCAAAATCGACAACATAAATTTTAGAGGATTCATCTTCAATACCAAATAAAATATTTTCTGGCTTCAAATCTCTATGCACTACACCTTAATTATGGATCCTCTCTAAGACGCGTACCATCTAAATGCCCAGCTGAATTGTTGTTTTAAAAGAGAACTTCTTCTTTGATTTTATGAAATGGGATAGATCCTTTCCCAACAACTGTAGAATTATTACATTGAATTCATCCTATTGTCCATGCCAAAATAATTTCGGCACTCCATCGGTTCCTTACAATCTTTCCAAAACTTAAACTTCTCTTTCCAATGAACGAACATCTTCATTTTCTTCTTTCTCTATTTTGATTGCCACATCAACATTTTTCTCTTTATCGTGACCTAATAGCACTACTCCAAATGATCCAGAAGATATCTTTTTTTAAACTACGTAGATTCCATTAAAAATTTACGAAGTTTACATAATAATATTTTATAAATATGTTATTTTATTTGTCATTTTCGATTTAATACTTGTGTATTTTCATTAATTGTCTACTTTAAAGGACTTATATTAGATATAAATGATACGAGATATCATGGGAATCTCAAACTCGACCAATGACGGGACAACATTTGAGGAATATACATAGAAAGAAAGATAAAGTTTTTTTATGCACAACAAACCTAATATTAGAAATAATGTTTCTAATTATTTTGAAGTACAGTCGTATAACTGTAAAAGTTTTATTTTAGTCCATTGTTAATTGAGGCTAAAGGCAGTAGTGAGCTTCATTCATACTTAGCAAATGAGAATATTATCTTAGGAGTTAGACATACCTTTCAATGATGAGAAGAGAAAAAACAAAAGAACTAAATAATTTTAGACCAACACTTTAAAATATGATGAATATTAATATTTGCTATTCTATATAGATAGATTTTCACTTGGGGAAGTCCTGCTTTAAAATTGAGAGAATTTCATCAAAATTTCTAATTTTATTAGACTCAAATACTTAACGATTTAATTTTAAGAACCTATAAGAGCTCGATTTTATTTTAAGTATGTTGATAAAATCTACTCTTTTAATCTTACTAACTCAGGGATGAATTAAATTTCCTACTGATTTTCTTCATGGATACTTATGCTGCTCTTTTTGATTAATTTTGAAGAATATTGCTTACTCTTATTGTTCTAATTATTTGCTCCATTCTATTAATTACTGAGTTTGGTTTAATCAATTTGTGATATTTTCATTGGGTTCTGTAGAGACTGTTCTTTAAAAACAAGAGGTGAAGATTTCGCATAGGTTCCTGCATTGATTTTAGTCGTTTATGGTCTTTGGTAATTATAATTATTTTATTTCTTTCCCTTGTTATGTTTCTTCACTTCTTGGCTTTCTTCATTAAAAATTTAATACATTGATCTTTGTAACTCTTGGTAGGAGCAATAAGATGCATAGGAGTCTTGACCTGCTTGGATTTATTGTTTTAAACAAATGGTTCTGTTTCTTCAGTAAACAAGACGTCTTCCTCTATGATGATATGAGGTTTATTGGAATCCTTGTTTTGGATATCCAATTACTGGGCTGAACGCACATCATTAATTAACTTACAAGGTGCATTTACATTTGAACTCGAATGCAAAGATGATGAATTTTTTTGATGCTACCAAGTCGTAATTAAATTTTCAACCTTTTGGTTTTGCGAACTTAAATTCAACTTATAGGATATTTTTCATTCTTTACCTGTTTTTCAACAGAAAATGATTGTGCTTTATTTCTATGTCTTGGATTTTCAATAGAAAACTGCAATTATCTCTAATAGGTTTGCGGCCTTTCATTTGAAAGATTTCTAGAACGTGAGGACTATTGACCTAAAATGGATGCCTTTAAGGTTTCTAATTCCTCTAATTAAGTTGATTAGCGCTAAGATAATAATAGCATTTATTATTACTATAAAATTAAATTATAAAATTGCAATATTTTGATTAAGAATAAAGCAAATCTATGGAGAGCCGATTTCGATTGTTTCATATAATTGAAAAGTAAACCTAGAAGTAATTCTTTAAGTGAGAATAAAAATAATTTTTGAGATTATTTAAATTTTCTTAAATAAGTTGTGCATCTTGATGGATTTACCTCCGCTTTCTGAACTAGAATTGTAGAATATCTACTCTTGGGTAAATAAGAATAAACTAATTTCAGCTCGATAAAATTCCACTCTCAAGACCAAAAAAGAACATCCAAAGAGATTTTGCTGATGGAGCCATGGTGGCTGAAGTTGTTTATCATTATCTCCCAAAATTGGTGGAAAAGCATAATTACCCTCAAGCACATAGCATTTAATAAAAGTAGTATAATTGGAGCACTCTCAATTTGAAAGTATATTTATATGTGCAATCATTAGGTATTCAAAAAACTTGGATTTCAGTTATCAAAAAATGATATTGATAGTGTCATTGCTTGTTCACCTGAAGCTGTTGAAAGGGTGTTAAAGTTGTTACAAATTAAGATTGAAAAATATTTAGAACAATAGAAAGAATTGGAAAGGAGAGCCCTTGAATAATAAAAACAATAGTAATAATAATCGCAACAAAAATAGTAGATGTAGGATGATCCTCTACAAAACTAAGATTTAAGATTGATTTTGGCTGAAAAAAATTAAGCTATAACAGAGTTGAAGGAAACTGTAGAAATTTTATAATTAAAAGTCAAGAAACTTGAATAACTTTTATAAATCAAAGATAATAAAATTTAAGGATTGATCAATCAGCTGCAAGGTAAATAGTGAATTCTTATTATTTTCAATTATTTATAACATACATGTACAGATTTATTTGCATTTTGAATCAAGTGTGTATTTCTATATATAATTTTTAAATTGATATTAAAATAGATTTATGTCTAGTTAAAGCGAGGAGAGCGATGTATAGGATGATATCATCCATGATTACACTAGTAATTACACTAGTGATAAGTCAAGTCAACAGCCTTATTAGGAATCACATGATGATGTTTATGAGAAAGTGCAAGATGATGAAGGTATACTTAAAAGTGTTATTTGATGTTTTCTAGTAAATTATGTTCGTAAGTCAGAAGAAAATGATTCACATTAGCGTTAGGAATCTCCTTCAAGTAAGTAGATTTCTTAAGCAAACCCACCTAAAACTGCGGAAGACGAGGAAACTGTTAAATCCTGCATGGAGTAGGCATCCAGAATAAATGAAAAAATAATGAACTAAAGGAAGTAACTCAAGGATCAATTCAAAGAGTTTTAGAACGTAATGATTTTAAAGATGATTTTTAGACTATGAATGCTGCAAGAAGTAACTTAAAAGATTTTGATATGCCATATCAAACTGCGCACTTTCCCTTATACTTAAAGACCTAAGAAAAATTTGTGATTTTGCCAGCACAAAATCTCAATATCAGGAAAGGGACATTGGAATCATTTATCAAGACGAATTTGGAAAATGAAAACTCTGTGAAGAAAGCAGAACAGGACAAAAGAGTGGCATTTAAATAACGAAGACCGTACTAGAAAAGAAAATTCGACTCTTGATTATGATGATGCATTATATTTTCTTCCTAGTTTACAAAAGTAACATACACATTTATAAAATTATTTATTGTCAAAATCATTATGAAATAGAACCTTTTATAATATTCTAGCCAGTTAAACAACTTTAAGAGTCTACTAATTTCAAGGATGCATTCATATTAAACTTTAATTTTTATAATAATATATCCTTCAATTTAGAAAATAAAAAACATTTTAAATAGATTCGAATAAATCTTTCACATTAAAATTGTTATGGGTGGTTAAGTATAATGACAAGTACATAGGAATCTAATGATTATTCAGAATAAAACTATTGAATGAATGTAGCATCGGAGAAAGATACAAGAATAGTATATGTAATAATTAAAGAAATGAAGTTTAGTTAATGTGTTCTATAATAGTGGAATGTATTTTTGCTTGATACAAAAGTATTTAAGGGGAGCAATATTGCTTGTGAGAATCAACAAAAAAATTCAAAGAATGTTGAATTCAGTTAATTATCATAAAGAAATGGAGATGGAGGGTGCTTTATTAAAAAGATACGTTGAGCATTGTTATGTATTGGTTTATTATTATATAAATAAATATCTTGTTATAAATCACATTATTAAAATAATATTTTCTTTAAATTTAGAATGTGTATTTAATAATTATTTATAATATGGGAGTTTGTATTAGTAAAATTACGGAGCCTCAACCTGAAATTACCATGGATCCCATGCCTATAGTTTAACCTCAAAAGGGAAACCACTTGATGAGCAGTTTGCCAGCTGAAGTATGCCAAATGCAAAAATATCAATTAAGCCAAGAAGAGGGGAAAAGAAACGTTAGGCTAAAATAGAAGTGCTGGAAGAATAGATACATGAGAATGTTGTAAAGCAGCCGAAAGAAAAATCTCCTTTTGATTTTCAGATGATTTTGAATGCCTTTGGAAACCATTTTATGTTTGCTCAACTCGATAATAATGATAAGTAAAGATAAACAGTATGAGTAGAGCTAAATTAATTGATGATATGTATTACGTTACGGCCAAGAATACAGATTACATTTTTAAATAGGGGGATAAAGCTACATTATTTTTTATAATTGGTAGAACTTCATGATTAATAAGTAAGAAAGAGGAGATTGTAAAATTATCATAAATGATGAAGTAAAGAGAGTATTGAAAACTCCGGCGTTTTTTGGAGAATTGGCTTTAATGTATCATGCACCAAGATCTGCATCAGTATAGGCATTAGGTGATTGTGGATTTTGGTCATTGGAAAGAAAGAAATTTAGAAAAGCTGTTGAGGACATTCAATAAAAAGCGTACGAGACAAATAGGAAATTCTTGGATCAAGTTAAATTTTTTGGTATTGTGTTGTGAATTAAGTGTTTAGACTTCATGACTGAGGAATAAAGAGACAGCATAGCAAATGTGTTGATAACATTGAAATTTAAGCAGGGAGAGATAATTGTTAATGAAGGAGACATGGCTAACTCATTCTATATTATACAAAAAGGGATTGTTTCGGTCACAAAGTAGGGATAGTTCTTGAGATACATGAATTAAGGAGATTCTTTTGGAGAATAAGCTCTTTTTGGCAATTGTGTAAGAGGAGCAACTGTGAAAGCCAATGAGGAGGATGTGAATCTGTTATCGTTGAGTAGAGAAGATATTACAACTATTCTGGGAGAGAAGATTCAGGTACCAAAATTGCATTTATTTAGTTGCATAGTTGATCATTTATACAAATATGCAGAAATGGGCATTTGAAAAACACCATTAATTAAGGGATCTGACTAAGATGCAAATTTAAAAGATAGTGTCAAACTTTAAAATTAAGACTTATGAAAGTAAAGAGTACTTATTCTCGAAAAACTAAATGATAGATAAACTTATTATTATTCTTGATGGTTAATTAGAGTTTGATGGGTAACTATATAATAATGGTCAATTATTTGGGGACACATTCCTCCAAGTTGAGGAGTCCAAGAGAAAAATTAGTTCAGATATCTTAACCACTCGTAAAACTACGTTATCTGTACTCCCTTTTAAATAGTTCTTTGAATGTATCGGAGGAGAATTGGAAACTGTCGTTAAGAAAAACAAGGACAGGGCTGGTTCTTCAAGCCTGTTAGAGAAACGTTAGAAAAGCAATTATTCTCTGCTTACCTTAGAAGATTTCATTGGATTGCAACTTTTAGGAGAAGGCACTTTTGGAAATGCTTATTTGGTTAAGGACATCCCTCAACAAAATTTGCATGTCATGAAATGTATTCCAAAAGTAAACATTATTGCAAACAATACTGAAAGACATAGGAAAAATGAGAAACAAGTTTTGGAATTATTGAATCATCCCAGTCTGGTCTGTTTTCATAGATCATTTAAAGATTAAAATTATATATACTTATTGACAGAGTATGTCAAGGGCAAAGAACTATTCGATGTTATCAGAGATCTCGGTTTGCTCAATTCTTACGAGACTCAATTCTATGTTGCTTAGATGATTAATATTTTAGAAAAGCTTCACTCCTATCACATTATATACAGAGATATAAAGCCAGAGAACTTTATCGTAATGGAAAACGGGTACTTAAAACTTATAGATATGGGTACAGCCAAAGTCTTGAAGTCCAGAGCATCTAAGACTTACACTATTGTTGGCACACCTCATTACATGTCTCCTGAAATTCTGAAAGGCAAAGGTTACACATTCTCCACTGATTTGTGGTCTTTGGGAATTTGCTTTTTCGAATTAATGTGCGGAGAGGTTCCCTTTGCAGGCAATGAAGATGATGACCCGTATCAATTATTCTTATTTAGATACATAATCTAAGAAGCCATTCTCAATGGGCGAGTCGAGTATCCTTAGTTTTTGAAAGACTTTAAAGCCATTAAACTGATGGATCAATTGATGAATAGGACACCCGAACTAAGATTAGGTGGATCATATGATGCTCTCAAAGTTCATTCTTGGTTTGATGGATTTTAATGGGTAAATGATTGATTCTATAAATTAAAAGGAAGAATTAGAAATGATGGAAATTAAGCCTCCACACATTCCGAAACTTTAACAACCGAATTATTAAGAAATTCCTTTCCTGGAAATGATAAAAAGAGATACATGTCCAGAAATGATCTGCACAGTGACAGTAGATTGGGATTAGGAATTTTGAAATATTTTTGCTCATTTATTATTGTAAATCTTTTCTTATTATTACCATATTTGATTATATATCAACTCAGATTAATGTATCAACCTTTTTCTTATTCTTATAAAAATAGACTCCTATTCCAACACACAACAGCCCTCCTAAAACGCCCAACAATATCCAAAGCCAAAGGTAAGATTTCTCTGATGGCTTAATATCAATATCCAAATATAACAGTTCCTTACTGAAATGATTTTAAACTGAAAGACATAAGAAATTTTCCTTCATGATTCCGTTGTAAACTATCTTCGGAGAAGGATTAACTTCATACCTTGTCAGTATACTAATGTCATAATTATTAAACAATATATATTCCTATTAATTAGAATGATATGTACCTTATTATTTAATTTATACGATGTCAATTATTTTTCTATTTTATATAATTGAGCAAAAAATTCTAGTGCTCCAAAAAATATAATGGGAACATTTTTCTGATACTTCTATGGAAGGCGATATGCAGCCAAAATTTTACTATTTCCTACAATACTCTGATATAAAATTAATAGCAAGTCATTCTATAAACTTATAGTGGGAGTATTTTTCTCAAACAACCAAAAGCCCTCATAACCTTAGATAACTGCAAAAACTTCTTGATCTTTTACTTGACATCCTAGATCGTTGCAAGTGAAGTTATAATTCATTCCATAATGAGCACCCTCTTAGGCAAAAAACAAATATTTCCCTTGTAATAGCTCACCCTCTAGACTAGTTGATAATACTTCAATTTCAACAAGCTCTTTATTCATAAAATACTCGCGATTTAAATATTCTTCAACATTAATCGCAAATGTATTAAATATAATCAACCTATCATCTTATATCTTCAACTCTTTTACCTTTAATGTCCTAAATGTATTAAATTAATAGAAATGATAATGGTTGGGCTTAATCTTCACTATTGTGTTTGAATAATAATCTGAATCAATCTTTATTTCACCAATAAGTTGAGCTGCTTCGATTTTTAATAACGATTCTTTAACCCAAAAAACGAATAAATTGTATTAACCTACCAAAAACATATTGTTTTCAATATAGAATGCTTTATTCAAAGAATTATCAACTAGAAGGCCTTTACTATTCTAGCAATCTTGATTCTTGCAACTGATTCCAAATACAATTTCTTACCTACCTTTGCTACAAGAAACTATAAAATTTTAATCCTACCCATAAAGAATTGATTTGCACTTTAAATCTTTATCTAAGAATTTGAACTCTTTAATCAGATTTCCATTTGCTTTGTCTACCAAACTATAGTTTTGTTCAAAAAGAATGAAAAATGTAGTATCATCATAGTGCTTAATTGATCTTGAAGCATAATAAAATATATGTTCAGTCTCATTGATAGGTTAAATGATCTATATATTCTCGACAACTTCGTTATTTAGGAAATGGAATAGAACAACTTATCCTGAGTACCAATCAGATCCCATATCTTGAACAAAATTGTCTTAGTACGCCTCATCAAGTTTGGTCACTATTTTGAGTTTTTCAGGGTAAACATCGATTTTGGTATTCATGTTGAGATACTTGAACATCTATTTTATATTCAGTTTGCTTTTATCATTTGAAAATAACACTTGAGTTTGGTTATATTGAACAAATATATCATTGTTCATATTAACCTTATAATTAAAGGAGAACTAGGGATAAATATCATACATTATGACTTCTTAATCTTAAGCAAATAATAAATACCTCCCGATAGTAAATATATCATTCACATCTTTATCAATCCTAATTTCATTAAAAAAAGTATTATGACTAGGATTGTTAATTAGATACATCAACAATCTATCTTTACTTTTAACAAAGACACTTTTTATATATGAACTGAATAAAGTATTCTCAATTATGTTTTCAATAGCAAACGAATATAGGGGTATAGACTTTTCAAAGATTATATTACATTCGTCCTAAAATTGATAGATTGAAATCTCATGATTGGTATTTTTTCTCTCCTAAACAACCACAAATTAATAGTATCCAACGAAAACTGAGATGTTTTCAACATCTTTTAATTAAATCTAATTGACAACATAATGTAAGTTAAAGTTTAAATAAAGAATAACTAATAATTAATCTTATTTATTAAACAAGTAAAGCAAATGAACAACATCCTTTTCAATATCTTACTACTAATAAAATAGCTTACTAGGCTTAATAAATTCATAATCTTTGGATGAAAATGAGTATAAAAAGTTCATCTCCACATTTAGTGAGTAGAAATATACGACCTATTATTTCGATGAGGATAGCACTAAAGTAAATGTAAAATATGCAATTGTATCTATTTCTTGTTCTTTATCCAAAGTATATGAATAAGTTGTAAAATGATTAGGATCCTGATAAATAATGTATTATAATTATTCTGATGATATCAAAGTAGAAATGGAAATTTATTACTTATAGCTTGAGATGCACGTGCTTTCTTTTGTTAATTTATAATCTAGTTAACTTTCTAAAACTTTTGAACATGAATAATAATTATATTCTTTCTATTGACATAATTAGAACGTGAGTTTCATTTTATCATCTTAGGATATCACTATAAATTTCGTATAAAAATTTTAAGTGTAGTCAACCATTTCTAAGAATACATAATTTGTTATAAGTTCGATATCTATCTTAACTTTTTCAGAATGTTGTTAATAAAAATTATCCGACATCATCTCTTTTTCGTCTAAAATAGCAATACTTATGTTTGGTCCCAAAACCGGGCTATTAAAGCGATTGGATTTAAAAAATGTAGAAGCAAAGAATGGATGGTAAAACATAAATTCCTCTTTTCGTACTTATATCAATTATTCGCTATCAGAGGCTATAGTTTAATATTCAATATTCAAAGTGCAACCTTTATATTTTACCCATGCTTAGTAGACATTCAGGTCTGCCTCATCAGTAGGATGGTAGACTAAATCAACCATGTAATTGTTTTTGAAGCGTAAAACTCGATTTCCTTAGATTGAAAATAATTCATTAAGTTTTTTATCAATCAAGACTTATGAAAAATCACCTTGTTTACTAAATGTAATTTCTTCATCAAGCACTTTTTTTAAGGATTCAGAGGAAGCCAGATTGGTACCGTAATCATTAAAATATGGAGTGTATTTACTGATATCAAAGGAGAACTCTTCTTTGGAATCCCAATAAGAATAATAGAGAAATGTTGTTCCAACTCCCATGTATTTGTTAGAGATGAAATCAATATCGTAGGAATGAATTTTATACTTACACTTGTCTACTTTTAATGTCCATTCGTTACTATCACGTTATAGTTATACAATATTTTGCAATTCGTCTAAGAAACTAAGTTAATTTGTGTCGCTGCATTTGAAATCCAAAATTTAAATATTTTAGTAATCTTAATATTATAAAGTGAAATCGTTATCTACAAAAAATTAGCTATTTATTGTTGTAAATTTAGTCAATTCAAGGGTTTGAGAATCATATTGAAACATTTCCACTTAGTTTTAATTGTTATATTCATTCTTCTTTGTAACTCTGTATAAGTAATCACTTTGAATATATAATTTTCTTTCTTAGTTTTTAGAGTATGGATAATCAGTTAGGACTTTTTTCCTTGTAATTTAATCTCCAATTTGAAAAATGTAAAAATAGTTGGTTTCTTCTTCATTTATCATTTCAACGCAATCAATTATTAAAGATGTACTTGTCATCCAAACAAAATCATAGCATACATTCTAATCAGTGGATCCAATATTAATTGATTTATCAAATTTTGGTATTCTGTCTTCGTTGCTGTGCCATTATTTAAAATTATATATTAGTTGATATTAGTTGTTAAGGATTCTTAGTATACCAAATTAGTTCGGATAGTATCTATCTTTCTTTTAAACTCCACCAAATTTGATAATTTTGTAATTCTCTATAAAAATATAATAAAGAATTTACATTGCGTTTCATCAACTATCCCGCTTTCTAATAATTGAATTGGTTAAATTAATTAAAGTTTATTATTGGGATCAATTAATTCATAATCAGAAAAATCTCTCCAATTATCAAAAGCGTAAGCTATTGGGTAGCTTAAATATTCGTTGTTGTGTGCAACTAATTTCAAATAGTCTTCGTTATACTTACTACATTACAAGCAAATAGCTTTAGCAATGAGAAGTAGCAAAAACATAATTTATTATTGATTTAGTATTTTCATTGGGTACTTAAAAATCAAAATAATTCCATGTTGTACAACTTATAATTATTATTAAATGAAACCTTAATTTATATAAAATAATATATAGGTTACACAAAATTGTTGATAAGGCAGTATTAATTTTACAATAGAATACCAAATAATCAATGAATTTCATAACAAATAAATTTAATTTCCTAGTTTCTAATCTAACTAAATCAATAGCTTAAATTAGAAACTTCAATGTAGATTTCTAAGAATGAGAATAAATAAAGGATATTCAATATTATCATTTGATTATTGAATCGCTATGTAATGTATTGATGTATAAATCTACTACGTTTATAATAGCATTTCTAGCTGACAGTATTTCTTATAACATAAGTAGAGTATTTATATATTATTTTAAGAAAAATAAAGAAAAGATATAAGTTACAGGTACTTATAAAGTGTTAAATCCTATTTTTTATTTGGTACGACATGATTGTGACATTAAATTACAGAAATTTCGAAAGGGTATTAAATGATATTCGTGTAGTTTTACATAAATATAGATTAAACAGAAATCCTAATTTATCACATCTAATTCGGCTATCAGATTATCGATAGAAGTTGATGATATGAAATTTTAGAGTCATAGATCCAATTTAAGAATTGTATAAACTTTATTAGATGTAGATATCATCTTATCGAAAGTGTTCAATTTTAGATAAGATGATATAATTTAAGGTGCAATTATAATATACTATTTATCGATTCAAGAAGAACAGGAAGGGGTAATGTGAATTCAATCGCAAAATTATGATCATCTAATGATTGTTAGAAATGAGAATTGATATGATATCCCAAAAAAGGAAGGACCATTGATTCCTCGATCTAATGATAGAGACAACTTATATTCTACTATTGACTTGTAACAAAGTCCCCTCTTTAATTGATTTAATGTTCAATATAGATTGCTTATAATATTTTTGATCTATTAGTTTAAGGGCGTTGAAAGATTAAGTTCATTGAATGTGTTGTGGTTGTTAGGGGAATTTGAGAGAGTAATTTTACATTAAAAATATTAATTTAATTTAATCATGATTTTCAGAATGTTTAACTTTATGAATTCGCGGATAGATGAATTCATTGAGGAGAGAAAAGACATCAAATTAATATTGGATGAGTCTTCGCTATTGTAGGATCTCTTGATGCCCTAATAACAATACAAATTGCTTAATTAGTAATGATGGACATGATTCATAGCGTCAAGGACCATCCCGAGCATTTGGAGACTCTCATCGAGTACATCACAGAAGTCGGAGATGAGACTAACTACCAGAGAGTATAATATAAGTATGAGTCTATTCAAGAACAAACTAGATATCCCTTTTTAGCGAGCGAGATCTTGAGCAAGGAGAATGATTTCTTTCAAGATTTCCTTTTTGAGGGTCAAAATCTCCATTTTTTGAATAGACTGTTTTCCCTTCTGAACGAGGATATCCTCAACATTACATAAGCAGGTTACTTCTCTAAAGTTATCCTCACTTTGTTGAGGAGGAAGCATTTCAAGGTATTCTCATTCAGAATAACTGAAGGTGTTGCAATACTTAAATGACAAGGACATCTCTAATCTTCTTAAACATATTGACATTCCCCATATTGCTGAAATAATTGAAAAGGTCATCATTCCAGACCCTAATGATGAGAATTAATTGCTTGATAAACAGAAATCCATCTTACAGAGAGTAATGAAGATCTCATTGCATCGCTACTATGAAACTGAAGTACATACTTCCACATAGACATTTAGGTTTTTGACAATTGCTTGCTCATCATCAATAATTTAATAAAGAGTCAAATCAATCCGGATTAGGAGGAGTTGATCAAAATTTTATTGAACCCTTATTACTTTCTCACCATTTGTGTAAATATTATTTGCTCATTTCTTTAGTACTAAAGTCAGAGAACTGCAGCCTATGAATTAGTATCGAATCTACTGTAATATATTAATAATTCAGGCAAGACAGATTACTTTCTCTACTTTATCAATGTAGCTAAGCATCTCCCCAATGCATTCACCACTTCCAATTTATATGCCATACCTCATCAGACTTCTTATGGGTAGATCATCACTCCTTTGTCCTCAAACAAACTCACATTACTCCAAATATTTTACTTACTATTACTCAGTGAGAAAGAAGAGATTTTGTTTGAACTGATCAACAATCAATCCTTCTAAGTTGTTACCAATGTCATATTGACTCATGAATTCAACAATCAAGCCCTCATTTGGTTTGATAAGATAGTCATCTTTATATTCCAGAAATTGCCTAAATTTTTTCACGAATCCATCTCAGAGTTCTTGGCCTCAATCATTATTCAATACAATAGGAACGAGAAAAAACAAGTTGGATTATTGCAAAACACCATCAAACCAGGATACCAAGGCATCCTAACCAAAATATCCAACTTATTGGTGGAGAATCATTTCACCAGCGAAGTTTGGGATCAATATGTGAATGACACTCTCAGCAAAATTAATTCAGTAGAGAAAAAATTGTTATGTGGCGTTGATCCTAGACCAAGACAAATTCAGTAATACATACATGAATCAGTCACAATTGAAGCGCCAATGGACAATGACGACAAAGAAGAAGATGAAGAAGTAGAGGAAGAAGACATACCTGAGGATGATAATAATAAGGAAAATGAAAATGATGATTACGAAAAAGAATAAGAGTAAGAATAAGAGTAGGAATAAGAATAAGAGTAAGAATAAGAAAAAGAAAAAGAGCAGGAATAAGAACATGAATAAGAACAAGAACAAGAAGAGAAATTCTATGATTGCAACGAGGAAGGTCGATTACAATAATTACAAGAATTACAGCAAATCCAATAAGAAGAATCTAAAGTAGTATCCAAGTATACAATTCTATTTCATTATTAGACATAAATAAAGTTCTGAGGAGTAAGAATTAATCGATGAATAAATTGAAGAAATGATTTCTGATCCCCAAACCAAACCAGAGTAAGGTATTATACTTGATTCTATAGCTTAGTTGCATAAATTATTTAAAATGAAGAAGCGCTTATTGATGACATTGGACCTTTAGAACTAGAAAACAAACTAGATCATCAAGTCAATGAATATTACAAAAAGCATGATGATCCTAAAAATGAAGAATGATATAGATATATATTTAAGCATTTTCGCTTAAAATAAATATTATAAAAAATAACAAAGATGTATGAATCAACCATTTGTTTTTCAACAAAAAACACTTCATAATCAATTAAGAGGCTTAGATTAATGATGCACATGGAATAAATGATAACTATTGTATTAATCTAAAACGGTTATTGAATATGGTAAGTATGGAAAATTGTCAAAACTACAAATAAGGGAGTTAAGGTTTGTCAAAGTCGTTCCAAAAGATAAAGGCAAAAGCTTGGATCTATTCAAAATCCAGAAAAAAGAGATTCACTAATTATTATTAAATTACAATAACCTTGAGGATAAAAGAACCTTCTATCTAGTTGTAAACTCTTAATATCACAATACTTTTCAAGACGTTATGAGAGTCAGGAATTTATGTTTGATCTCATTATGGGATCAGATATTTTAGTATATGCTCATGAAATATTCTATAGTATATTGTGTTTATATAATATAGCTAATTTGGAGTATTATCATACTAACGGTATTTGTCATTGAAATTGCAAACCTTTTAATGTTTTTATTCTTAAGAAATCTAAAGGATTCCATTTTTAAAGTTAATTATTTTGGATTAATTACTTTACTCAAAGATCCAATAAGAGAGTTAGCCATATAATTCTGTAATAGATCAAATAAATACCAATTAACAATATTATTTTATTACAGAAATATTATCAGAAACAGACTGATTCTAATTAATTTTTGAATTTAAACAATTTAAGATTTCAATTTGAATGTACTCTTTAAGCATTAATATAAGTTGAATTACTGAGAATTTGCTCATTATTTATAGAGTATGTATAATATCATTAAAGTTATTCAAATTTTAAACAAGAACAATTTCTTATAAAATTGCTATTAATGAATTTTGGAGAAGATTATTCAGGTGGAAAAAACGATCTATTTATATGTTCATTTTTGATTGAACCTATGATTTATTTAAAAAATTAAGAATCAACAATATGATAAGAATAATTATAAAAATTGACTAATTTAGTAATTTAATTAATATCTATTATGATGCATTATTACAAACAATTAATTGAATAATTAAATCATCATGAGTATTTAATTTGTATGCAAAATATGAATGATATTTACTCTTTTCCTGTTGAGGAACAACTTAATTACATTTAAGGTAAATTCAACATGTTTGTAGATTGAGGATTACCTTATAAATGTGAGTGCTTTCATCCAGGATATACATGTGAAACCCAAATACTTCGCATGTATAATTACTTTTTATAAAAAGGTTTCCGATCTTATTCTCTCAAAACGCTAAAGTCTATCTTCCAGTTCATTTGCTGCCTTTCTTGATTTATAAGCGGAAAGCTTTTTTTAAAAAGTAATTTTGAGCTTTTCATACTTAAGTCCGATTAGCACGATTGCGAGATCGTTGTATTCATATACAAAGAGTGTGTTGTTTTTAACACTTATGGTTTAAATAATGAGATACAATTGGTGCAAATAGGTAAGATTTCGTAATACGGTTGACCCGTTCATCCCAATATCTGGTGGTTTGATGGGAGCTTTTGCTTTGTTGTTGGAATCGAAAACGAGGTAAGGGGTGCTATGTAATTGAAAGGGCTTAGGAAATAATGCTGAGTATAGTGCCTCGATATTTTGAGACTATCTTGAATCTATTGAAGAGAAAGGGTTGGATGAAAATTATTCCTAAAGGAGATGTGTTGGTATTTGCAATGATATTGGCAATCATTCATTATTATTATTAACATGATGTAAAATACATGCTGATTAGATTAGCCCAAGGCTTTGAAAACGACTTATAGAGGAATGTTTGCTAAATTTTGGGGGAAGAATTGATTGTATATATATATATATAAATATGTTAATGAATGTGACGATTAAAAAGTAAAATTAAATTAAATCTTTAATTCATGTCCATAAAATTACATTCACCATCTGGATAAGGAAGAACACACAAAATATTGGTGGCAGCCAAATTGGCTAATCTCCAATTGGAATTTGTTGACACCTAATTGAACGAGAAGAATTTCTAAGTATTCTAAAACAAGTTTCCATTTGGAAAAGTGCCAGTCTTGGAAACACAAGAGGGCAATCTTTTCGAAAGCAATGCCATCCTCAGATACATAGCAAGACACTCATAAGGATTATATGGGTATTGTAATATTATTAAATTTAGAAAAACACCATATTAATAGGGATTAGTTGATTAATGGTTGGATGTGACAACAAATGAATTGGAAACCGACGTTGTGTCAGCTGCTATTTAAGTATTGGGTCACATCCCTGTGATTCCTGCTGAATACCAGTAATCTTTCGCTTAAATTAATTACACATTGTCTATCGTAAATACTCAATTGGGCAAATCGAAATACATCAGTGGAGACTCTTTGACCGTTGCAGATATTGCCTTGGCTTAAGTTGTCACATTTGCATTCACCCTCTTGGTTGGGGAAACAGAAAGAAACAAATATCAGCATTTATTAATATGGTTGAATGAAATTAACTCACTTCCAGAATGGAGAGCAGTAATGACATTTGTTAATTTTATCATAGGAATTCGGTAGACCAAGATTCCCAAAGACTGCCTTTGTCGTGAATGAAGTAGCTTAGGAGAAAGACAAAAAGGAAAAGAAAGAGAAAAAATAGGAATAACCAAAATAAAAGGAACAATAAGAATAACCTAAATAGAAGGAGTAACCTAAGTAGAAGGAGTAACCCAAATAGTAACCAAAATAAGAAGAAGAAGATGATGCACCTAAAAAGAAGGAAGCAAATCCACTTGATTTATTACCACCTTCAACTTTCAACATCGATGATTATAAGAGAATATTCTTTGCAGAAAAAGATGTTTAAAAAAACATTGAAACTCTCTTTGCAACAATCGATTTGAATGGATGGTCTTTATGGTTGGTCAGATACAATAAATCAGAAAATGAAGGAAAGCAATTGATTCTCACCAACAACTTAATGAAAGGATTCATCAACTAAAGATTAGATCAAAATTTCAGAAAGTATGCCTTTGCCATTCACGGAGTTTATGGTGATGAACCAAATCTCTAATTAAGAGGAGCTTGGCTTTGGAGAGGAACAGAAGTGCCAAAAGAATGGGTATATAAAAATTGCTATATTTTAGAAAGATCATATTGCTTATGATTATCATGAATTCATCAAAGTTGATGTTAATAATGCTGCTTAAAAATAATTGTTTGTTGACTATTGGGTTAAATAAGAGGAAGACGTTTCTGAAGTTGAAGGATTAAAAGCCAGAAGTTTAATGTATTTCAGATGAAATACATATTAAAAATAACAATAATTCGGATATCATTCGCTATTATTCTTTTTATTTTTCATATAATCATGACAATTAACTTAGTTATTGTATAGATTAGTGAATTCTTTAAAAGATTCTTCTGTATAATCAAAATTTGTATTATGACCCTTCAAATGATCTTGACCTTTTAGCCTTGTAATTTAATTTACCTATCTATCTAAGGCCACAAAAAATATCAAATCTATATAGTAGTCGTTCTTCTATCATGTAATCACTTAATTTTTCTTATGTTTTGAGAATTATTTCATTTAATTAACTTCATAAGTATTTTATACCTAAAATAGTTTAGTTTAGAGGATATGTTACAAAAAATGGAAAATCATAAATGAGAAATATACATAACTCTATATCTATCGTTTTAAAAATATATTCATTCTAAATCCATCTCCCTATTAACATTACATATAATAATCTCCCTATATCCATTATGAAATTGTAAATAAAGTTTATGCTCAAATTTGTCATATAGAATCATGATTGTAGAGTTCTTCGAGAATGACTTTAATTTTCTTAAGCGGAATTAGGTGAGATCTCTATGCAGGCGAAATTGTGATGGATGAAAAAAATCCGAATAAAATAATGATGATCAATTCTCATTAACAATATACAAAAATGCAATATCAATTTGATTCTTGTCCATTTTAGAATTTTACCTTTCAATAACTTCTATGCAGATTTATAGTTAAAATTTTCATCATCCTATTTAAAATATCATATACCCTATAATAGGATATAAGACTTAAATTCCACATTATTTAAAATACCAAATTAGGCTATTGTTCTCTCAGTCATTTACACTCACAACCAATATATCGATGAGCTATTGCGATTTATTCATTTTGAAACACATCACGTAATTGACTATCAAACCCTTGGCTACAAATGTTATGATACTATGGAAGAAATCTAAAATGATCTGAGAGATCATCATTGATTGATACAGTATAGTTGATTTTAATAAATAAATGGATTTTGGAAAGAAGAGTAGAATAATTACAGCAAGATAGAGAAAATATTTTGATTTGATTGATGAAAAAGTCATGAAGTTGGCTTATTATGGGTTTGGAGATTTAATGATTTTAGAGGTACTATAAGAGGAAGACTCTTCAAGTGGTAGAAATCAAATTATCACTAATCATCTATTCAAGTGTGTAGCTTAAACTTATTATTACTGTCAACAGAATTTCGGTAACAAAAACATTATTTTTAATTCCTTATAAACTTTGTAATTAACACTTTTCGTTATTTATTTTATTGTATGTTTTGTCATCTATTAAAATTTCTGTAAGATCCTTTCAATGCAACTCAATAATTGTTCAGATGAGGATAGAACTTCGTTTTTCTTTGGAACTAACATGGCAAAGTAGTATTCTTCAGGTTAATGTTTAAGCCAAAAAGTATTAGCTACACTAATGATAGCCCAATAATCCAGGAAATAATGAATAATAACTCAACACCCTGCGCTCATTTCACTCGTTAAAACACAATAATCTCCAAAGACATAACATTATATATATATTAAAATAACCAAAGCTATCTGTTTTTATTATTATAATAACAAATGAACGGATCTGAAGGTGCCTAATCCCTCATGCATTCCCAGAGTACTGTTGACCAGCCATCTGATAAACTAGGAGAAGGCGTCTATCAAAAAGGTAAGAAGATACAATTTACCAAGCAGAAAGCAAAAGCAAAAGGAACGTCATAGATTAAACTGAGATGATACTCTAAAACCAAAAAACTAAGTTGAAGCGAAATAAAATTTGCATCAATAAAAAAGTCAGAAAAACCTGGACTGCCTAAGAGGACTAATAGCTACAGCGTTCTATTTAATAATATGGGTCGAATTGGGTTCAAATTGCCGCATCAATGGTTAATCGAAATCCATCTTAATGCACTCAGAGATGGAAACGAATCAAACCCTAAGCTGTAATCTCTCCTAATAAGTCTAGTTAAGAAAGAGAAAGCCCTTCTCTGTAGAGGAAGATCAACTTATATTGTAATTGGTGACTAAGTACCGACAAAATTGGGGGAAAATTGCCCAAATGTTCCCCGAAAGAACCAACAAATAAATTAGAGAGAGATATATTAATAAACTTAATCCACTAAATAAGTAAGAGCCATTCACTGAAGAAGAAGATCAGATTATCTTAAAGGCTTATCAAGAAATCGGATCAAAGTGGACTAAAATCTAAGACCTTTTGGTTGGTAGGCCTGTAAGTATATTCGCTGATTATTAGGAAAACATGATTAAGAATCGTTTTTACTCCTACCTCAGATAAAGATTTTTGAACATTAAAAACCCTTACTATTCAATTCCGTCCAAAACCGAGAATTTAAGCATCAATCAAAATTTAAAAGTGGAAAAAGATGAAAAACAACTGAAAGAGCCTTAAGTCCAGCCAATAAAAAAGGAACATAATAACCAGAGAAATACTGATATTCAAGAAATGTCAACTTAATTACCACTTCTCTAGTCTGATCCATATAGTTAAATTCCACAACCTCTATTTCTTGGAAACTTCTCTTGTAATTAATCTTCATTTATTCTATAGACCCATAATATTACCTCTATTAGCCTGGAGCCATAGTTTACACACAGTGCTTACAAGTACCCTATACTGGATTTCAAAATAAGATTTATTTGGTTCAACAAGATACTAATTAATTGATGCATTGGTCAAACACTTGATAGAAACTGAATATATATTTTTATAAGGTTAGTAAGATAAATATGAAATTCTCAACTAGTTTTATTTGATCGCTTGACTATTCGCACTAAAATATCAGCTAAATTACTTAGCTCTGATATATAACTAAAATCAATTTCAATTAATACCCTCTAGGAATTTATCCTATCTCTTAAGTTGACAAGGATTAAAAATGAGATGTCATTCTTACAATGTCTGTTAAAGCAATCTTTTCGACGAATCTATTAGAAAGTTCCGGTGAATGGTTTCTTTAAAAGGAATTCGATTTTTAAGCATTGAAGGCATTATCATTGAAAGAGAAGGTTTGCTTTTTGTGATCAAATAAGTTCTTCTTTGGAATTTGATTTATCTATAGACTAGGAGAGCTTTTATCAAAAAGCCCTTTTGATACCTCGTTTATGTATTTATAAAACAGAGGCTTGTCGCCTTATGGGGAAACCCTATTAGAAATGGATTGGTTTTAGAGTTTCAACTAGACTCCTAGTCTATTATCCAAATTCTTAAATCTTTCTAGTTTCTCCAAAGATTTTTAAGGAGAGTCCTTATAACTTGATCCTAAAGTAATATTTTATCGCGCTGGTTTTGGGAATGATGTAAAGGAATTATCATAGTAATCCTTTTATGGGGATCTTTTAAATAATGAGTCTATTTTATTATTATTTTTGGTTTTCAACTAAGGTGCTCTGTTAGTAAAGATTTCATCATAGTTTAATCCACCGAGAAGCTTAGACTTCTTAGGTGATCTTCTGCTGACTTTTTATTCTTCCCTAATTTGTTAAGGACAATAAAATACAGAACAATCCTTTCTGCTTTGCTCCAGGAAGCAAATAAAGTAGAGGATCTTTCTGATTGTGAACTAAAAGGTTCTCTGGATGATACATTGGTAAGAAGGTCTTTTCTAAAATCAGCCAATTATTTAGAATTCATTTGAGTAGTGGTCTAAAATGTTGCAAATCCAGTTGGATTGCTTGACTTCTCAAATCTTGCTTATTTCTATGGTGAGAACAATGATGGTTAACGCATGAGTATAACAGACAAAAATTATTAATAAAATTATTGTATAAATAATTTCACTTATAATTGAACATTTCGCTCTATATAAATGGATGCAGTTCTTAATTGAATTTCAAGATGATAACATTAATAAAAGTGAAATCTATTCAAATTCATTTATATATTTATAAATAAATGATCAGTTGTGTTTGTTTTTATCTCTTTCTGAATATCATACTAATTACTAATTAATATAGAAGAAAATAATATATGAAATGTTCCAATTTATCTTAATTTATAGATAAATTTAAAAATTTAGGTTCTTTTGATGATTCATTTTTATTATACTTTGGAATGAATTTCTATTCTCTACTATTAAAATAATTAAATAATTATAAGTTTTCGATGTGAAATTTCTACTCCTCAAAAGTTTAGACTGGACAGTTTCAGTTTATCAGCAAATATGATTATCAGTGGATTTAGTGGATTTCAGAAATGTCGTGTAGATTATTGAATCTCAAACATTATAGGCGTTTTATAAAATAATAAAGTCATTGAATATAGTTATCATAATCCGCATATTAATATTGTCCCGTTTTGCTACACATGTATTTTAATTTCTAATCCAAGATGTCTCTTTGGTTTTCAATGTCTTCACAATCCTATTGTAAGGAGTGGATCTACTGTTGGAATTGGGTATTTTACTCCTGCTGATCCTGGATCTGATGAAATAAGTGCTTGGAGGAGATATTTATCAAAATTACAGATTTCAATTTGTTGGCATTGACTGTCATTTCGTATTCAGTATTGAGAATGTCTCGCTGTTGAGTGTGTTCAAGATTGCTCAGACTCAACTTCATTTCTTGGATATTCAGATGAAGTCGATTTCTGGTTTCCTTGGTCGATTGAATAATATCCTCTATTTAAATGATGTGCCAATACTCTTATGATTCTGATGTGATCAGTGGCACTTTGAGCCATCAAAATGAAGGCGATTGAATCTTCACAAAGGGAATGAGGCAATCTTGCAGTGGTTGAATCCAAGGCTGAGTCCATCAAACTTGATTCGTGCATTCTGAATGTGCTGGATCCCGAGTGTTTCATTTTCTTATGCATTTTGGTTGAGATCAAATAAATTTATATTAAGATTATTAATTGATTTTTTTAGGGAATTGCTGAAATTGCAATTATTAAATTTATAATGAGATAAGACGATTATTTCAGGGTATTGGAGAAGGAGAAGAAAAAGGAGGACCTAAAACGACAGGAATAGCAGAGATTGGAGGAGGAAGAGGCAAGGAGACAAAAAGAGTAGGAGAAGTTGATTAAAGACAAAGAGGAGATCGACAGTGATTCGAAGGACAAGGACAAATCCGCTAGGGATGACAAAAGCATAAAAATACAGATCGATGAGGAGAGAAATACCAAAGAGAAGGAGTAAAGGAAGAAGATGCTAGATAAGAAAGCGGATAAATATGATAAGCAATTGGAGAGTTTGAGGCCAGAGCAATTGGTGGAGAATGAGATTGGCAAGCCTTATTATATAGTGCCTGACGATACTAAATTGGAAATCAATGTAGCATTATCTATTGATTTTAGAAAGAACTAATAGAGAGGGAGGATAATAAAGTTAGGAGATGGAAGGTTTTTATAAATGAAATAAGGTTAGAGAATCTACAAAAGGAATAATTATCAGTTTTCTTGAATTTCCGAATTGGTTAAATTGGGAAAACGGCTAATAAGTATGCAGATGTGTCAAGTGGTGAAGTTTTTTTTAAATCTGAAATCTGCAAGGATCTAAAAAGAAGTGAGGTCAAGGTTATTAAGGTTATGTTTGAAACAGAAATGCATCTATCTTATTAAATGCTTAAGGAGCGATATTTCGTGATTGAGGTATGGGAATATAGAAGATTTCGCTTGAATTTGTTTTTGGGTAAAATTCAAGTGTCCTTACTAAACATTGCCTCTGGAAATATTAAGAAACAAGATGATATTAAGAAGGCATTTGGAGAAAGAAGGTAGTTTGCTAGGATCTATTACAATGTCTTATTTTAGGAAGTGTGGGATTACAAATTGACATTTGAAGCTTGGAAGGGATCAAACATCATAGCAGATCAAGGGAAAGAGCATGATCCTAAAATACAATTGACTTTGATGACTGATGAACTTATTTAACCATAAGTTGAATCAGAACAAATTAAGAAGACCAAGAACCCAAATTTTAGAAATCTCAAAGGGTACATGCATTTTAGAGGAACTATGGAGGATTTGACATAATAAATGATGAAAGTCACCTTGTTGTTTGATGCTTACTTTAATAAAGCTGAAAAATTGGTTTCACTAAGAGGAATACAAGATACCAATTACTTGAAAGTGCAATTTAGATTGAAACTTAAAATACCTCCACCGAGAGTGAAAATAGCCAAGCAACCAAAGAAGAAAAATAAACAAAAAAAGAAGTGGGATGGGAATGATGAAGATGATGACGAGGATTTAGGAGACGATGAAGATGCCTTAAGAGATGAAGCATATATAGCTATTATTGAAGGAAGAGTAAATCTCAATAAGGTACCACGATATTCTCAAAATGGGGAACTCAATACCTACATTCCAGAATAATATTATCTTGTAGTTACGATTAATAGACTAAACAGTGTATTGAGTCCAGATGATAGAGGAGTCATCAACACATATTTGACTGTGGCCTGGAGAGATCAGGCTAAAACAACCAGAATGATTAAGAATGATCCTAATCCATCTTATAATGAGGAACTGTACTTCAGGATACCTATCCTGAGAAGAGAGAAGACCTTCGAAGATATAATTAATTAAAAAACAGACAAGGATTTACTTATAGATGCTTTACGTGAGGAATTAAAATCAAGACCAGACATCACTATACAATTGTGGTTAGATGGATAAGATATCTTGAGTGATGAATCTTTGGGATACTGCAGAATTTTTCTATCTGAAATTCAAAAGGCAAGCAAATTCAAAAAGACATTGTTGACTGATGACAATAAACGATATTAGTTTGATACTCGTGAAGCTACATTTACTAAGAAGTTTGAGAGTGGACTCTTCAACGTTAGTCACATTTAAATTACCTTTTAGGCCTTCTTTGCTCCTGATTTGCCTGAAGAATTAAATTTGGAGGAATTTTGTGAGGTTCCTGATGATATATATCCTTATCAAATTTCAGATCAACTCTCGGTGAAAAAGGATCATGAAGATAATGAGGAGTATCAATCATGGGACAAATATGTGAGAGGTAATTTTTCATAGTTCGGTTTGGAAAAGACAGCTTACAACATATTTTTTAAGAATATCTTTGTTAGAGATCAATTTAATTATTATCATTTGGTTTGTAAGTATTTGGAGAAGTTCTACATTAAATTTTAGAGTGAAGAGGCCACTAATGAATTGTTTGCCAATCCCAAAGATATTAGGATGAAAAACTTACATGAAATGTGTCATTTTGTTAGAAATATCCCATTTATTTAAGACTCCTTTTCAAGGAATGATGTTTGGAGATCACCTGATTTCTTGTTGAAAATACGAAAAGGGTTTATCCATGATCATGCCATCCTTGGAGCTTGTTTGTTTATGGGATTTGAGAGAGAAGATAAGAAGAGAGAACACGAAAAAGATTTTCATAAATACATTCCATTCGAACATAGAGTTTTTGTTTGTTTAGGCACTCTTAAGCACAATTCCTAATTCCATGCTTGGCTTATGGTTTTTTCACATGATTTATCTGGCATTACCTTTTGGGATGTTTAGGAAGATTTCCATATGCATTTGGATGGAAGAGTGAGAAAGGATAAGAGAGCAGCTTTAAGAAAGTTTTTGTATGCTGAAAAACCAGTGGTCAAGAAGGATGTTGGATTTGGATTGGGAGCTCTAGGTAATTTAGGAAAGGACAAAAAGAAACCATTATCGAAGAGGAAATAACTAATGGAGTAGAAGAAGAAAGAATTAGAAAAAGCGTAAATGGAATAGGCTTAGAAAAAGTAGAAATAAAATGAAATGCTAATGTAATAATAAAAAGAAGCAGAGGAGAAGAGGAGGAAGGCTAGAAATAATGCTACTTTCTAACCTGAAGATGATGGCAGAGGAGATCAGGATGAATAAGTCATAGAAACAATTCAGTTGGAAAAGTTGAATGGAAATATCAAACTTAAAAATCCAAGATAAATGGGAGAAGTGAAATAATCAAAAGAAAGGACGGAGTGAACAAGAAGAGGAGGATGGCAAGAAGTCTACTGTCAAAGGGGCAGGATCAGTTCCACAAAAAAAGACATTTACAAACCCTTTGTTTGTTTATAGAGAGACTGCGAAATAAACTGCTATTGCTAAGAAGTAGGAGGCCGAGGATGAAATCTTAAGAGCCAATCCTATTGCCAAATTTTCAAAGATTGATCGTTTCTTTGATAAAAATGGAAAGGAGTATTTTAATTATCTTATATCATTAGAGTTGCAGATCCTGGACAATTGCCATATGAAACCATTGAGATTATCTTTAATAACAAAAATATGTAATTATTTATTATTGAAATATAGATTTGGTAATATGGCTAATCAGAAACCCTAGGAAATCTTCTATCATTTGCATGACAAAAGGTTATGGTACCCCTTCATTAAGGAGACTGTTCCAAATAAGGAAGAGAGTGAAGAAGAAGAGGATGATGAAGATGATGATACTAATATATAAATTGATGAAGAAGAACTTTAAGATCAAATGAAATAAAAGAGCGAAGAATTCATATAAAAAACTTGGAATCAAAAAGTAGGAGCGTTTTATTCAGCTCAAATTCTCAAAGAACCAATTAAAAAGAATAGAATTAAGAGACTATTAGAGGATATATTCATGGAAGTTAAATAAGGAGTAGAAAAAGCAAGAGGAAAAAGTTCACTTTTTACTAAATGGAAACATGATTTAGATGGGATTAATAAGAAAATGGAATAATATTTGAAAATATTAGAATATAAAACTACTTATAGAACTATTAAGGTAGTGTAATAGAAGCACGATGATGAGGCGGTTGCTAAATGGAATCATATCTATAAGAGTAGAAGTTATGAGGAAATCATTGAGTAATGGAAAAAAGAAGTCAAAGCAATGCTACCTTTAAATACTCATTTGTGTCTATTACCAATGAGATTTAATTATACTGAAGTACTTATCTTAATAATTAGTATAACAGTCTGAAAAAATAAGATCTGTCATTGTTGAAAATATGGATCCTTTTTTTATGAGAAGAGATAATAAGATCATTTTTAATCTAGCAGGAAAGATCTTCAACTATCCAAATAGAGTACACTATCATATTAATATAGATTGTATGTGTTCGATTGGTTCTAGGATATTCATATTGTTAAAATTTAGATGAAATCAAAAAGAAAGAGGAAAGTGAGGATGATGAATAAAATCAAGAAGGTGAAATTGATATTCAAAAACCAATGCTTGATGACCTTGATGCAGATGAGGATGAAAATGCAGATTTATTAAAAAAGAAAAATGTTGATAATTAATAGTGAAATATTAAATTGGCTGATATCCTATTCATAAATATTATTTTAGTTAACAAATTTCCTTTTTTAAAATCTCTTTTTGAAACCTAGTTAATTAATCTTAGTGCTTTTGATAAAATTAAATCTTATATTCAAGCATAATGCAATATTCAGATTTACTATCTGAACTGTTATCTATTGTTACTTTTTCAGGCTACTATGGTTTGGTTACAAAATTGTCAACATTTTGTATATAGCTAAAATAATGGTCTTATTAATCTAGTTAAAATATGTATTTTTTCCAATTTAGAAATGATTTCAAGAGTAATTTTGAAAAGCGAAATGCGTCAGCCATTAAATTCTTTTGTAGGTCTTTTTGATTAGTTAGAGATTTTTATTCTTTTTCATCAATCATTTGTATTTTCTGTAAAAATTCTTATTTACTTTACTTTTCATTTATTCGAAGAGATTTGAATGATTTTCTTAATATTCTATTATTATAATAATTGTCTGCTTTTATCAATTTCCTGCGCTTAGATTATCTCTAGAGAGCATTATCAATAAGTAATTTCAATATTCTATTTTATTGTTTACATCGATATTAATTATTCACATAGTTCTTAATATCCTTCATTCTAACCTTTCTCACGTTAGCAAGTTGCCAATTAAACATATATGTTTTCATTAATCTATAGTTATTTCTCATTGAAATCACTTTTAGTTATCTTTTCTATTACGCATTTACCATAAGAACTTGTAGAAAAAGTTGCTTTACTTTATCGTGTTTTTACTTTAAACTTTAGTCAATTTTCATTTAATTTATTAGTGTTGAAATTTGTGTTAGTCTTTTCCATTACAAAAAAATTTATTTTAGTAGCATTATTCTAAATAATTATATAAATAATTATAATTGCTTGATAAATTTATATAGAATCATCCAAATGATACTAGATTAAGTTTCTTCTAGAGCATTGATTTAGGAGTTATTTATTTTCCATTTTCATAAATCACTTTTTATGAAATTGCGATTCTTCAAAGTGCATTAATATTCAAAGTAATAAAGAATAAAAGTCAAAATGGTTTATAAATTCTATTAAATTTCCATTCAATCAATTCATAATACTCTCTTTATTTTCGTAAACAAAGATATTATAAAATTCCTCAAATAAAACCAGGTTTACGATTTGATTTTTTAACTAGGTTTGTGATCCATTCTGTATTATGTTATTTTTCATTCTCTGAATTAGTTATTATTTAATAGTAATCCAAAAAATCAATTTTAACATAATTTAATAATATATGTAGATTATTGTTACTATATTGTTTTTGTGGTACCATTTTTAATAGGTAAAATAAAACCATTATGAAAAATCTCAATAATTAGTAGACAAGGACATTTTTAAATTAAAAGCAAAAATAAATATATTTAATTTCAATCTTATCCAATTGGCATTCCTTCTTAACTTAACTAATTTTATGGCGTATTCAAAAACTGATTCTTAAATTACTATAGAATGATTTGAATAATTACATCTAAATAGCCAGGAGGGAATTTGATACTAATGTTTAGGTCTGTGATGGTTTCGCCATTCTACTGAGCCTCAATGATCATCTTCTAATGAAAAGAATAGGAGATGTTCTTACAGCAAACTTCTCTCTGTCGGTTTTATTGCCTCCATCGTGTTTCAATTTGATGTGCAGATTCAAAGAAACATCGCTTCCATACTGTTTATTGCATTTTTCGTAAGGACAAATAAAACTCTTCTCAATCTCTTACGAAGTCCTTCTATTTTTCTTTTTATGACGATAACTTAAAGCAATATGCAATTCTTATTATAATTTCTTAATAATATCACTTAGATTACATCAATATCTCCTAACAACTCAAGCAATTTTTAATTTTAAGAATGAAGTTCATTAACTTTTTTTATAGCCATCTCATTTAGAATGTAATATCTCCAAAATTCCTTATAATAATTAACATCGCTATTATACTCTAAATTTGAATTAGATTATGCATACCCTAATTCTAATCCTTATTCTAAAGTAGCTATTCAGTCGATTAGTCATCCAATTATGATTTTATTTCATGTAACTATTTTAATTTTCGATTTAATTCATCATCTACAATATTCCAATCCCTTGACTTGTTCATTAACTGTAATATATATATTAATAATTAAATCAAAACTTAATAAATAATCATCGATTGATTTCAATTCACTTTATCCTCAAAGCAAATGTCAAAGAGATTATCAAATAAGGTAATTTGTGATCTATAATTAATATAAGATAAATTGAATTCATAACAAAGTGCAAATAATTACAGAGTACCCAAAAACATCTCATCAATCCTGCTTATAATCTTTGGCATGTTTCATGTAAGATAAATTAAAATTATTTACTGATTATCTAATAATTAGGAGCCAGCTAACATTTAAAAGAAGATTAATTTTTATAAGGCTATTAAATTAATATCAAAGGTTTTCTTTATGATGCTTATTCAGGTTCTACTTTTGATAAAACACATCAAATTGTAAAATGCAACGCCTTGAATAAAATATGAAACCCTCTTTTAGAAATTAATAAATTTTAATAATTAATATTAATTTATACGCATTTATGATTTTTTGGCTTTTTTCTTAGAATCTCTATAACTTGGGCAGGACATTTAAGAAGAATAGTTAATATGAGGCTTTCTAAAATGATTATTGGATAAAGGCTATTAAGGTTTATAATAATATAAAAAATATGGGAGAAGCAATAATAAAATTGATTTTATCCGAGTAATGATAATTAAAATTTAATTGTTATTCTATCCTAATCAACTTAAAAGATTGAAAATATTGGCAAGACAGTTAAAGGCAAACTGCATTTCTTAGAGATTTTGTTTAAGAGAACACTTGGAGTGTAAAAATGAATTAAACAATAAGAGATAATAGTTTAGAAAAAAATGAAAACGATGATAATCGAATTAATTTAAATAATTTTCAAATTAGCTATTTTCAATCATAAAAGTTTTCATATAAATCTGTGTTTAATTAATCACTTGACATTTAAAAGATTTAACAATGCTATTAACTATTATTAAGAATATATTATTTAGTTTTAAGATTTCAGAATTCTGACAATTCTGAATTACTTGTTAGGATCAAATTTTTAGGTTATATTTTTAATTATTTAACAAAATTGTTAACAATTGGTCAAAATTAATATCAATAATTATATATTGTTGACATCATGCTTTTTTTTCTGGAGAAACAGGTTATGATTTTCTTTGTGAATGATTCTTTTAAGTCTGTTGATGTTAAATATTCTTTAGTTCTATGTCATAATGATATCCTTCAAATAACGCTAATTAAATTAGTCATTTAATATACATTGAACAGTATCTCTTCGTAAGAGTGTTTAATTTTCTAGCTATTATTCATCATTTAATTGTGTTTCTTCTGAAATCTGATTTTAGAAATCAAAGTTATCATCAACGGCCTTTAATTAAAATGAATTAATACTCCAGGTACATAAAGTGCCTAAACTTTCTTCTTTAATAAATCATCCCAGGGGTAACCTTTTAACCAAGGATGATGTAAGATTTCTTCAATTCCATTGCTACCCAATCTTCTCTCTGGTTTTCTGAGAATTAACTATATTATTGTTAAAAGTGAGTACCTAATTCACAAAATCAAGGGAATTCTCACTCCATCCAAGAGGTAATTCCTCCTTTTTGACTTGAACTTGCTTAGCTAATATTTACTCTCTTATATCTTATCGAGTTCTTCCGTTGTATGGTCTCCTTCCAAGCATTAATTCATATGCAATGACACCTAAAGCATAATAGTCAGCCACAACAGAGTGATCCATTCTACACATAACCTCTGGAGCCATGTATCCAGGTGTTCCTGAAGTGTCTCCAGCATTGTTTCCCTTATTCATTCTAGCTATTCCCAAATCTGTTAATCTCATGTAACCATCTTCATCCAATACCAAATTTTCAGGTTTGAGATCTCTGTGAATAATTCCATTTTAATGTAGATAGGTTAAAGCCAATAAAATACAAGCAACGAAAAATTCTTTAATTATTATTATTTGAATATACTTGCTTATGCTTCACTAAATCTTCTCATTTTACCTAGATGAAATCTGAGATCACCTCCAGTTAATAGATCTATGATTAAAAATAGGTTTTCTCTGTCTTAGAATGCATACCACATGTTAACTAAAAAGGGATGATGCAAGTGTTCTAGAAGGTATTTTTCATTCAACACTGAATTGACACTTCTTTTTTAGATGACTTTAGCCTTGGACATTTCTTTTAAGGCGAATAATTTTTTGTTCTTTTTCATTTCTACTCTCCAAACTCTTCCAAAGCCTCCTTTTCCAATTACATAGAGAAATTTAAAATGCAATCTACCAACTTATTCATCTATTTTCAAACCGAGAATTTGAGTTTTTTCTGAGATTTCTCCTGTAGATTTTCTTCTGATTTCACTAGATTTCGAGTCATTTTAATTGATTTTACTTTTCGAGATAGAATCATTTGGAGTGATTTTGCTCTTTGTAGAATTTTCATGATTATTGGGAGAATTTGGAGCTGATTCAACTAATCCTGAATTGATAATCTACTTAATTATGAAATAAAGATACGGCTGAAAATTTGGGTCCTTGTTGATTGAGCTTCAACTTGAAGGATGTTTAAGTGTTGCTAAGGACATGACTTTTTGATTCAATTCTTTTTGGAATGACTTTGGACTTAACATTATAACTGTTCTCATACAACTATGAATTACTGAGATTTCCCTTTTGATAATAGTTATTTAAAAAGTTTTCCATGTTATGATAAAATTATGGCTTTTTACTTTGTTCTTTGGGAGCTTGTCTCGACTAAGGACGAGACTCTTATAATTGTTGTAGATGACTTTGCAATTGCTTTTACAAGAACATTTGTTGCATTTAATACTGTTTCTCACGGTTAGGAGATTGATGAGCAGAAACTGAACTTGTTACCTTAATTTCCCTTCTACTATCTTGATCACAAGCTTGGTTTTTGGTTGCTACCTTGACTTTCAAAAGAGGAGAAGCATTTATCACAACTCTTTTCTTCATGCATATCGTGCAATTCTTCTGATTGCAGGAGCATTGAGATATATCCACTTTTTTATCCCAATTACCAGATTATTTTCTATTTGGTTGTATTTTGTTGACAGGTTCCCCTTTAAATTTGATTTTGCTATTGAGTTGTTGCTTAATCAACAAATCCCTCAAGTTTTTTGCTGTCGATTGACTCATTTCGTTAATTATTTTATTAAAAGATAATATAAATAATTGCAAATAAAACACACACATATACACACAAACACAAATACTCAACCATTCCTTGTTCTTTCCAAACCCATACTCACTCAATTGATATGCTCTGTAATGTATTTATATATTTTCAATAATCATATTGATTAATAATTAATAATAACAAAAATTCTTTAAATTCTTAAAAAACAGACTGTTTATTTTAAGAATCTATCTCTTCAAACTAGTTAGATTAAGCACTTTCTCTAATGATTATATTAAATTTTGGAATAAAACAATTATATTTTCAAAATAATCCTTTTTTTTAAATAAATACTCATCTATTAGGTGTAATAAAATACTCATACATATAAGAAAAAAGAAGATCATTTAACAATTGTTATTAATAAAGGTATAACTTCAATGTCACTCTAAATTACTTAATATTAATATTTTATGATAGATAGTTAAATCATTGCTGTTATTTTAGCTTTTATTTAACTAAGCATTCTTTCAGCACAAATTCGAATTCATTGAATGAAACTGACCCATCTTTATTGTGATCAAAAAAGCTAAAAATGGATTTGCATTCTTCATCCGTCACAGAAGAATCTATACGTTTTAACAATTTGCCCAATTCTAGAACGTCTAGCTCCTGATTTGCTGATTTATCATACTTGAATCAATAAGATAAAATTACCTTCTTAAATAAATCCAAAAGATTGATGTTGTATTTAACAATTGAAGTCTTCAATTTTTCAATAACAATTCTAACTCTGTCATCAAGTGACCCAGCTTAGATATCTTACTAAGGCTTCGTAAGGATAATGACCTTCTTTTTTGTTCGACTAACTTCTGAGGCAGTCATTCTGCACTATAATGTAGTATTAATTGATATTTACATCGTTTTCTTCTAACCATTTTTTAAATTCGTTAAACTCAATTAAATTATTGCCATCATCATCAAATTTATTAAATATATATTCAATTTCTTCTCTTGTTAAATTTTTATCAACTCTTTACAAGAATTTTCCCAGTTCATTGACATTTAATGCTTTGTCTTTAGTCATGTCTAATTCAGCAAACAGTTCTCCAATATCCAATTATTCTTTGATAATCATTTGTCTGATATCATTAATGAGATAAGTAGCTTTATCTTCAAGAATACTCACATTTTTTATGAAGTCTGTGAAATGCCCTTTGAAGAGTGGATGTCTGTAAATATCATCCCATGACAATCTATCTTTTTCCTCTGTTTATAAACACCCAATCAAGAATTCCTGAGCCTCTTTAGAAATTTGTGGTCCTTTGAATTGGAGTGGTTAATTCCTAATATTTTTAAGTAACTCTTGTGGTGATCTAGCAGTCCAGGGAGCTAAAGGATGAGATTAGTATTGAAATACTTTTGCCAAACAATGCTTCATAAAATATAAATGCAATGCTCCATATATCAGTCTTTGAAGTGTATTTCTTGTTATCCAAAATTTAAGGAGACATATAGAGGGGTGTTCCTACTAATGATGCCAACATATCCTTTTTAAAATTGTCAACACATTTTGCGAATCCAAAATCTGCCAATTTGAATGTCTACATGATTTTAATAAGAATACTCCTTTATCTATTAGGATGTTGGCAGGTTTGAGATCTCTGTGAATGATTCCATTTTTAATTAGCTAGATGAATCCATTTAAAATATCAATCATAAATTTGACCGCATCCTTTTCAGGCATAGTCTTTTTTTGTGACACATAACTAGTTTATGGTGTATGGATACTTTTCTATCAATTTATCCAAATCTCCACTATCACAGTATTCTTGAATTATATAATAATTGTTATTGGTTTCCATCACATCCATGAGTTGTACGATGTTGGGACTCTTCAATTTCTGCATGACCTTGATTTCTGAAATCAACCCCTCTCTTAAATAATCGTCACTGAATATTCGTCAAATATTAATACGCGTTGATGACTGATTTGTTCAATACCTTGATGGCCACTTTGACTCCAGTCTTCTCCTCTCGTCCTCTGTACACTTGAGCATAGGAACCTTCTCCGATAAGATCTTTAGGATTGAAGAGATATTTGTCGATTCTTTTCTCCCCCATTAAATAAATTTAAATTCAATCATCTTCATCATAATCATCATCCGATTATTATCTTCGAACTCTTTTCGATTTTCGTCCTCCTGCCTTCTTCTCCACCTTCTCAAACTCATCATTCCCCTTACGCTTCTTCCCCAATTCGTCGCTCTATTCATCCTACTGAAACCCCTTCTTCTTCTTTTTGCTCTCCTCCAAATCAGGCAATTTTTAAGCGTAATCCTTCATAAAATCGTATTGAGACTCCTATAAGACTATCTTCCTTCAATTTAATATCTTTTTTACAATAAACCAGGCGTAGCCTTGTTAAGTTTCCTGTCCTTTAATGTTTCCTTGCATTTTGAGAGGATGTCTGATAAAAACAATTCAAGTGATTTTGCTTGCGATAACACTCAAAGTAATACTTAGAACGTAAGGAACTACATTGTTGATTTTGCCCACATCTTAATTTTCTTACACAATCTTCTTCACTTTGGAAACTGGGAATTTGAGTTGATTCTTTTTTAATTATTGATCTTGTTGTGTGTCCATTTATATATATATATAATTATTTTTTATAAAGTATAATCCATAAATTGATTATTAATATATATATATATTTTAAATGACAGATTTTTTTTACATTCAAGTCCCAGCTGATGTCAAAGTCTTGTTATTAAGTGGAACTGCTCTGAATAGGAATCAATTAGATCAAGTGTATAAATGCACTAACCTACTTAAATTGGATTTGTCGAATTGCAATCTAACACTCATTCCAAATCTCAAAAAATTAACGAATTTGAGGATTCTCTACCTACACCAGAATCAGATCTCTACCCTTTCCGTGGAACCAATCTTAGGGTGCAACCATTTAAATTATCTCACTCTTTTCTTAAATCCAGTTTCAGCTCATTGTTCCCTCAGAAGACAAGTGATATCCTACATGAAATCCCTTTGGGCATTCGACTTCAATGCAATAACCGATGAAGAGAAACACAAGGAATTGAAATTAAAGCCATCCACCGAAAAGAGTCGTCTTCCATGGCCTGTCATAAGCATCCCAAAGGAGTAAAAGGATCAATCCCAAATAGTCATGTTAGTGTGGCAAGAATTGGACGTGATCAGGAAGATTTGGCAAAAGTGTTCTGTCATTCTGACCATCCAACGTTACATCAAAAGTTTCATAACCAGAAGGAAGTTTAAGAACATCGTTTTGAAATAGATGAAAATACAGTAAATAATGATTCATATTTAGAGCATTTATAAAACAAGCAGTTAAACATTGGATAACATTCACCAAAAACAAAAAAGACCTTAACCAACTAATGGCACATCAATACAGCACCCAATTTGAGAAAGTCAAAGTGATGGTTCAAAATTACAGGCAAAGAAAAGGCAAGGCGATTAAAGAATAAAAGAGTGCCAGGATCATCTACAGATCCTTGAACTCCTTCTATAAAAGTCAAAAACATCAGCTAGAATCTATCGGCAATATCCATAGACTCTACTTCTATAAGGAACAGTTAAACCTGTTCAAATAAATATTGCACAGACTTACCAATAAACCTGAAATCAAGGCCATAATAGACTAGGCTCCTCTTTTGTATGAGGATTTCCAAAAACCTAATAAGGTTTATGAATCCGAAGTCTTCACCTATAGACTACCCAGCTAAATCAATTTATATAACAATCCTATATACTTCAAGAATATGCTCACCTACCCTGCTTCTTTGTCTAAGATAAGTTGTTGTTTATAATAGTTGAAATTGAGCATAATAAGGAAATGGACTTAGGTTACTAAATTTACCTAAGAAGTCCATGCCTATTCCTATTTGTAAAAGTATGACGAGTTGATGCCTGCTCGAAAACCGTATTTTATTATGTACAAATTGCCAAAACAAGACAAGATCAAATATGAGAACTGCTTAAAACTAATCAACAAATTCCAACAACGAGAATATAGATAATTATATGTCATAAACTTAAGTAAAGATCTACTTTCTTCTGTAATTAAGTGTATAATACTGCATAATAAAGATGAACCATCTCAAGTGTTTATAACACTCTTCGAGAAACAGTTAAAAGAGGCAGTGGCTGCTTTGAAGATACAAAGATAATTTAGAGCATATCAGGATGTGAAGAAGAATGGCAAAACATTGCAAGCTATAATTAACATTTTAGTAAAAGAGAGATCTCTATTGATATTACAGAAATGGATTAAGGATTTAAAAATGCATCATAGAAATAATTTCTATAAGATCATCGGCTATAGACTTAAACAAATCACACAAAACGTATTATATCTAAATTACTCCATCTATGTACAATTAAGAAAATGTTCTTCAAAGTTGCAGTTTCTAGAATAAAAATCAAATTTGAGTTTGACTAATTATAAATTCCAAGCTATTCTCTAATAGTTTCCCAAGAAGAACATTATTCCTATTTGGTTAAGGAAACAGATTATTCAATAAGAAGAAGATGGCTAAGAAGTTTTTGCTATTATTGAAAATTGCGATGTCTATCACCTACTGCATTTTGAGACTCAAAGTGAAATCAAAACATTATTCAATCAAAAATGGATGAAAATTACATTCCCAATTAATGATTAATTAAAATTGAGACTATTGTTATTGGCTCTATATACATATTCTTTTAAACACTAATGTTTTGTGTAATTGTACTAAGAAAATGAATTGTTAGAATAAACTCAAATAATAAGACAAAACGATGAATTGTTAATCAAAACTTATCAAATTGATTAGCAAACTCAACCAATTGATAATTGTGATATCCCTTGCAAACCATCGATATGGCTATCAACATATTTATCTGATAAAACAACCAATGAAGTTGAAGTTAGATTTTACAAAAATGGAATTGATCAAAAAACAAAGAAGAAAAAAAACATTTCTAAATTGCCAGGATGTGAATAAATCTCAGCCTGTCTTTTTTTCAGTACCATAAAAAAGCAATACAATTAATATTCTCATACTCAAATCAAACAAAACTGTCCTACTGCCTCCACTAACATTAGGACTATTACCTAAACTGACAAACCTAAAACTGCACTTCAAACTTATCTATTTCAATAGGATAGTTTTGAATAAGAACCCAGCAATGTAGACAGATAACAATAAAGATTGAAATTAGTTACCAATCCCACTCGATAGCATCTCAGAACTAAGTCTGTTATGAACAAGAAATAAACAATGTTGGTTGAATTGCCAACATTCCTGCAATCTTAAAGCTTTAATCTGAGCAATAGTGGCATAAGATAAAACAATTAGCCTGATCTATCTAAACAAATGTAATACTGGGAGGATAGACAAAATCAATAAAGATAACTCATTAAAAAGTAAACACTAGAAAAAAGATAAGCAAAACTACAGATTCAACAAGAAAGATCGTTCTATCAGGATTTCAATATTGGCTAGAATCTTATTAGCAGATAAGGTGATAGACATTTACTTCGTTTATATTAGAAGAAACAATAACAAATATCATATTAGCAGGTATAATAATTCAAAGAATAGTCCAATCACATCAAAGAGATTTAAGCAGTAAACAGCAAAATGAAATTGTAAGCTATTAAAGAAGCTAATTCTTAATATAAGGCTTCTCTTGAATAATAACCAGAACAACAATAGCCAAAAGCTATCTAAAAGCAATCAACAAAAAGAGTAGGAATTACCAATAAGTACATCCATTCTGTTTTACCTGAAGAGATATATCCAATAAAAATTGAATTTGAAAATATATGATATTATTAATTCATAAACACATGGTTTTAATGTTGTAAAGATGAAGATAGTGTTATTGTTAGAAATAAAATGCATCGTCAGATAGTTAGTGGTTCAAAAATATTTGACATCATTAATAGCATGACTAAAAATAAAGTTGTCTATTCCTGATTCTTAGACCAATTTGAAGACAATTGTTTTGCCTTAAGTAAAAAAGGACTGAAACATCTATTGTCTAATAAATATAGTATAAGATTATTTAAAAGTATATGATGGAGTATTTTAATTTCGAGATTGCTATTAAAATTTAGATTAAAGAAAGGAAGCATTATATATATTTAGATTAAAGAATGGGAATCTTTCTGGGTCCTTATTTAAATAGAACGAATTAACTTTACTTGTTTTAAAGAATCTACTTTGAATTAAGAAGAATTGGATGTTAGATAATTTGGATATCCAAGAGAGGCATATTAAACAAATTATATATTGGACATCATATCAGGTTTAATTCTTTTAATCAAAATAATTCATGGTTGAATAAACTTAATTGTTATATTGTAGCAAAATGAAAGTGAAATAATAAATAAATATAGTTTCATTATTTTATCAAAAATGCTAACAAATTTTAATATCTATAAGATTAATAAGTCGATGGTAAACCACTTTTATTTTTGTATATATTAAGTTATACATATGTTCAATGAAAACGCTTGAACAATAAATCTATTGATTTTTCTGATATGATTTTTATTTTAATACTTTTTTGTGTAGTAATAATAAATTGTATAAAAGATTGATTTAAGGGGGAAATGCCTAATAACTTAGAAATCCTTTTTCAAGTATAGAGTAATTTTATCGGTGGAGAAGTAAACTCTTCCCATAGTTTTAAATCTTCAAAAGGGTTAAATGATTTTGTTAATTTTCTGATATATAAGTAATTAAATTTTGGAGGTAAATGAATTGTTGCTAAATACACTAATCATGGCTAATTATCGGGAGTGTAACCAATGTCATAAGGTTTTCAATAAGAAAAATTTACATGAATATTTAGAATAATTGTTTGTATTTTCATCATTTGAGATGCAAATTTAAAGATGCAAACCAATTTCAATTTCATCATAAAGAGATCGAGTACAATTTGGAAATATAAGTATAATTGGGTTTAGAGAATTTGTTCTTTTGTCTCGATTGAAAAAACTTAAGAGTTATATCTAGTTGGAAGAAAGAGTTTTGGTTGTAAATTAGGATGAAAGGGGTGGATTTCGAGGTGAAAATTATTGAAAGTCGTTGAGGAACAAATAAATGAGTGTTTTGGAGGTTCCTTTGTTGAAGAGAGTTTGAAAAAATCATCTAATTTTTCAACAATTTCAATTAAGTTGATTAATAATTATAATAATGAGAGTCTCTGTATAATGTGTGTGATGTTCGAGAGTATCAGAATGAGTTGAGAGAGGATTGAGGATGAAGTCTTTGGAAAGTAGGGGAGATTGATAGGGTCTGGGCATACTTATGGGGAATACCTGATGAGTGGAAAAGAAGAAGGGGAAATTCATTTTTGAAGGGGTTTGAAGGGTTTTTAGTTTGATTTGTAATGTTTTTGGTTTTCCTTGGGATAGTATCTTCCTATATATTCAAGTTTCTTTAATTATTAATCGATTGGGCACCCAAGAAATGAAATCAAGACCAAGACAGATCGATCCAACAAAACCAGTACTGATCTCCAACAGTCTAGAAGCATTCACTAATGCAGAAGGACAAGAAGCAGACATAAAAAACACGGAATAAATCATCACACCTGATCAACTCTTAAAAGAAAAGTAAATTGCACATATTCAATCAATTACCTATAAGGAGCAAGTAGAACAATTTCATACTACTTGATTGTTGTATTTAACGACTTGCTCCTCAATACCCGCCATATTTATTTTTATATTATACTCATTATTATTTAGACCTAAATAATTTGATGAGCCCACATTGAAATCACAGCTTCCTGCCAAATGTCGTGAAGATTACATCGCTTACAAGGCTCCTGTCTATCCTGATGGCACAGCTTACGAATTAACCGAAGAGGACATTCATTTCCTCTCAACAATCAATGAAAAACTAGTCAACCCTGTTCACATTGAAGACTTTGAGCAATATCTATCACTCCTTGACGCAAAGAGTGGCAAAGACGTGGAAATTGACTTCGCAGAATTTCTCAAGTTAAGGCTGCCCTTACCCAAGACCATTAATATACAAACATAATCTATTTAGGAATAATTATACGCCTACTTTAAAAAATAGAGATAACACTTCTCTCGCCCTCTAACCAGACATCTTATGCATCCCTATTATGAAGACAATAATCCTCATCTAGCCTTTCGTCCTCGTACACAACCAATGGATAGAACTATGAAATTGAGAAGGGGCAATCTTCAAAACACAAGAGGAGTTATAGAAATGGAGAATTTAGGATAGAAGATTGTTCTATTGAAAAAGGATCTATTGATGGTTTCCAATTTGATTGATCAAAGTATATAGAGAGAAAAGGCGATGGAAATTGAAAGGAGATTTAATTTTTGTAAATTCATCAAGGAGTTCTTGGATCAATCTAAAAGGGAAAAGGATGGTAATTCAGAAATCAAACAATGGCCGAAAGATTGTTTTGTTAGAGATTGTCCTGAAAAGAGCAACATTAATATAGTTGAAAAGGCTGAAGAGATGTTTGATCACATTACAAAGGAAATTTTGAGTTGGAAGGAGCATAATGAAATCTAAAAAAGAGATAAATATAAAAAGGAAGATTAAATTGCTAGATATGAAAAACAAATTGAAGATTTGATTATAGAAAAACAAAAATATGAAGAAAAACCCATTGTATAATAACCTCCTCCAATCCCTTAACCTCCTGTTGTCCCTCCACCTGCTCCTGTGATTCCTCAAGAACCTCCTGATGAAAAAATGGAAAGTGTTGCTAGGTTCTTAGCCACCCTATATTTAGAAGCCAGAAAATATTAATTAACTTTTGATTAGGTTCTATCAGATTCATTTCCAATCTATAAAATATAACATCCATAGCAACCACTCAACTCTAAAAGTGTTTTCCCCTTTTCATTGATGTAAATCGAAGGGAATGATTTAGTGTATAAAGTTAGGAAGGATAGTTGTCTAGAGAAAAAGGATAAGGCCTATTGGGAAAGTTATACAGATCCATCATTATCCAGCACTTTATATTATTAGAATGACTATTTTAGAGAAAAAGTTGATGAAATCATGGAAATGGCAGATATGGATTAAATGGTCTACGCTTAGAACTAGGATGATGATAAATAAGATGAGGATGATAAATTATTTAAAAAGAAAGTAAAAGGAAGTACCACCAGACTAACTGGTTCTAATGGAGGATAAATTAAATGATTAATAACTAATTTAGTATTTAAAATGTTAAATATATAAGTCATTATAGCTTTATTTCATTGCGATTATCTACTAAACACTTTTTATTATTATTATTAAGGTTATAATAATCTTCCTTATTATTAATTCTATTGTTTAGTATTAGAATTCTTTATATACTTCTTATAATTCTTATATGTTTTTAGCAACTTTAGATAAATCTCTATTATTTATGCCATAAGAGTATTAATATTTTAATAATAAATGGTTGAATTTTCTAATTTCTTTCATTCTAGTTAGTTAATAATTGATTCACTAATTATTTTTATCAGAATCTTTACTAATTTACAATTCCTTAATCTTTAACTTGCTTTGATCATAATACAATCTATCTAATTAATAATATATTTTAATAATTCTCTAACATTAAAATATGGCTTCAACTTAAAGTTTCACTTAGTAAATTCGTGTGATCTTCTCGCCAGATTATTCAAACATCTTTTGAAACATCTTCCCAAAAATAATTGTAATTAATTTATAAGATCGTATATTCTGCTCAATATTCTCAATGATAATTTTTGCCTATTGATTTTATTGTATTCAACATTCTCCATAATTTTTAATTTTAAGGAAGTGAAATTAGCTGATTCAAACCAATTTTACAGCCATTATCTATTAATTGTTTAATCTGAAAGCTTAACTCTTCTTGTTCTCCATTTAGGTATTCTTAGATATTTATTACTTCTAATACATTTTCCAACACCTAGAACTTAAATTCACTATGCTTTAACATACTCCCTTATGAACAATACTACTTATTTAATTATTTATATTGTATGTTTATGAATGTACATTGTAATAAAATCAATAGAAGAAACCAAGGATTTTACCTCCGATATGTCTTTATCTAGCCTCTTCATGAGTAAGAATACCAACATTAGTGGTTAACACAACGCATCCAAATTGTCTTGCTGGTAATATGTTATTTGCCCATCTCTCAAACTCGCCTAAGGTCACATCATAACGAGGTGAGATGACTCCACATTTATTGATGCGTCCTTAAATAAATGTAATATTGTACCCAATAATTCGACTACAATTTTTCCACTTCTGTGATCATCAACAATTTCAAACTCACCTATATATCCATGTCTCTACATCACTTGCAAAAATTTCACAACTAATTTTGATGTTGGTCTAATTAACACTTATTTTCTTCCTTGTCTTTTAAAATTAAATAATTTATAATACCTTTCAGCATTAACAATTGAACGAAGACAATCATTGAGAACATTCATCTTAACCATTTTAAATTAAAGATTTAAAATATATTAATATTTTTATATATTAATTCCTTCTTTCCCTCTCACCTACATTTCCAACTTCCTATAAATATCCATCATTTAACTAAAAGGATTCATATACAAATTTATGAATCCTTTTTTTGGAATCAAACCTATATTAGTTTTGTCTCTTTATTAATATAAGTATTTCAACCAATTCTGTGTGAATCTTAGGATATATTGCAAATACTCTTTAATTTATTAAACCTATTTGGATATCTTAATCTACTTGCAATGCACTTAATTGAATCAAAATCAAGATAATTGTATATGTTCTAATACTTTTCAAGACAATATAAAAGGAAAATTTAGTTATGATGTTAAAGTTTGGGATGTCTTGAATCGATTGTTCTTCCTCATTTTTAGTTCTTAAAATATATTTTTCAAATAAAAATGGATATCTATTGTAGAATCAACTTTTAACTTTAACTACTAAGTCAATTATGTAATTTAGAAAGAAAAGAAGAAAACAACAAATTTTATTTATGGGGATTCTTTTTTTTATTGAATATTGTTATTGGGGAGAAATTATGAGTGAACAGAATTAAAACTTTTATCAATATATAATTGATTCTAAAATTAGAACTTTCATTATTTTAATTCTAAATATGTAAGTTGTAATCCAGCAAAATGAAACAAAATGCCAAGTTCTTCACGATTACTTGATGCAAACTTATTCACCAGCACTAGTCAATCATCTTACTTAGACTGATTTATATTTAAAATAGGAACTATAAGATTTTCAAAAGTAAACAATTTATCTAGCAATAGAGTAGAAGAGGAAAGCGATGGGTTGGAAGAGTTGCTCTTGGAGCATAAGACAGCCATATAAAAGGTTGTGAAATAGTTGAACGAAAAGATATAATCAGAATAGGTATTAGATAGTTCTATAAATAGGACAAAATGAAAAAAGCGGAAACTTATAAAAAAGGAAAGAAGGATGAATTATCTGCCTTCTAAAAGGCTATTGACTCAGTTTCAACTGCTATGAAAGAAACTTGTTCGAAAGTATTGAAATATCTATAACGGTAGATTGACATTAAAGAGTTAAATAAGATTGGTCAGCTACCTTAAGGGATGGATCAATTCATGGCACAATTATTTTCAATTGTTTACAATGAGGATCAAGGTAAATTTAATTGGACTGAATTCAAGAAAAAAGTGTAAGAATTAATTATTAATTAATAGTTTTGATTAGGATAAAGGAGGTGATTTTTAAAGCAGATTAGCCAATTTTTAATTTAAAGGGGTCAGCTCAGAAAAAGAGAACCTATTATTGTAAATGAAAGCTGATCCTTAATTCCAGAAGGTCTTCTCGGATCCAAAATACACAAGAGCATTTTTAGATATTGCCGATTGGGTTTTGAAGTATATTATATATTAGATTTCTTTTGCTGTTTCTGGCGTGGATACTTAAAGAAGAAGGGATCTTGTATACGCTGAATTTGATAGAATCGATAAAGAGTTTAGTGCAAGAAAATTAGAACTTGAAAGTTATTATAAAACATTTGTAATTTTAATTAATAGTTTTAGGAATTTTGGAATTCATAATTAAATTATTCAGAAAATTAATTGATATTTCTCAATAAATTCAAACCAAATATCAAATAGACACAAAAAGATATTACAAAAAGCAAATAGAATTTAGATATCCATGCTGATAAATATCTAACCGAAGTAAGGAAAATGAATGGATTATTCTAATAAATCATTTGAAAATTAAATATCCTTATAAAAATCAATTTGAAATTCAGATATTCCATATCATCTTTTATTTAAATTTTTGGGTAACTCTGTTTAAGACAGCATTTTAATTCTACTTTTCGAAATCTATTGTTTTCTATTAGATGACTTGGATTGTGTTCTGAGACTCTATAAGATTAATATTAATTAATTACAATAAGATTCTATGTCATGAAGTGCTGCCCTTTAGGAATCTCTGGAATAGAAGAATCCTTGCCTTTCTGATTGTATTTGTAAGGAGTATCACTTTCATATATTCTTTCTGACATTAACATAGGAATCTGTACTTTTTACTAGATGTCATTTTTAATAGCAGGAAGATCTTTGCGATTTTCAGAAATTAACTGGTCAATTTACTTAAATTCTGATTGGGCATTTTAATTCTTATCAGTGTTGAATTGACAGCTCTTTTATCTTAATGATCTATTATTTTTTTCATTATCAGTTCTGTAATACTATGATGTACTTAATCTTCGTAAGCGACTCTAATACCTAAAATTAATTTTTACTTGACGTTATTCAATTTATTCTTTTTCTTACAACCTTCGTAAAATAGCAACTTATTGATGATCATAAGATTTCTTAGCTGACTTAATGAAGGCAGCCTCTTCCTAGTCGTCATCATTATCATCTTTTAACTCAACAACCTTATTATAGCATATATCCTCCAAAGATAACAGATTCTTGCATTATTTAATCTTCTATTGAGCATTTAACTAATTAGAGTTGATCTTTTGAATAAGTTCTTCTCTTAATACACAATAATTCATGTATTGAATCATGTTGGGAAAACTCAAGGGGATGAAATTCAATTCTTCTACTTTTCCTTTTTTTTCCGAGGATTCTCTTACCTTTCTCATGAGTTCGGCAAACACTATTGATTTAACAGGTACAACTTACTTTACAATGCTTCTTGGTTTTGCAAGGCTTATTTGAAATCATTCCAATTGAGTTTGTCTGAGATTAAATGATGAGTTTACCGTCTTCGTCTTGATCGATTCTTTTAAAAAACTCCTTCAACTTGGTTTTAGTGATGTTGATGCCGTATCGTTTGAACATATCATAGAGTTCTGACCTATCTAAGAATTCTAAACATAAGGTGAAAAAATAAAATGTAACTTGACTTGTCTCTATCGATGGATTTGAAAACAGCCTTCATCATGATTTGTTCCTTGAGTTCTTAGTCATTTAGGATATATTTTTCCCTAACCTAATTCTTAAATCGGTTTTTCAACCAATTCATTGTTTCAAAATTTTTGAGCTTTTTAGAAACTTTCTTATCCATGCTAAATTAATTATAAATTAGAGTTAAAAATCAAACAAATTAAATTAATCAAACCTATAATCCTTAAGTGTTTGATTCCTCATTCATTTAAAACGAAATGATTCTTTACTGTATATAGTATCTTCTCAAAAAAAACAAAACGACAATAAACACGATCAAAACTAAAGAAAATACAACATACAAGTAAATAGGATGATCTTCACTATCTTTAGGTTTAATTTCAGGGAGTAATTCTTAAGGTTCATCAGTTGGTTGTTCTCCCTTTGAATTGATAGCTTTTGAAGGTGTTCCATTGTTACTAGAAACATTATAAAATTTTTCTAAAGCATTTAATAAAGATGCAGCTTCTATAAAAGATAACTTATTGAAATATTCTTAGACGGTAATATTTTAGCTTTTTGCATTTTCAAAAAAATGTGCCACAATCATTTCTTCCTCGCTAACATTAGCATGTTACCAAGAGAAAGGAGAAATGTATTTAGAAGTATTTTTGTTCTTCTGATTGTTATCAAGAATAGAGGTTTAATTGTGCATTTGTTCAATTAAATTGGTTTGGTTAAACTTTGCAGGATCTGATTCTATCATTTGATTGATATTCATTAAGGCATATTATAAGATTATACTTTTGTTATCCTATAAATTGATAGAATAGGTGTTACATCTGTTTGGTTTTTCCATTCATCAATATAATTTTGAGTTGCTTGCCAACCTTCTTAATCTTATGGAATAATGTTTTAAAATTTATAACTATTGACAATGTTTAGGATAGATTTGTTTTGCTTTTGATCTGAGGTCTAATTAATAAACTTTTCAGCATTAACCCACAATTCTAAGGCGAAATTGGCATTTTCTTGGGCTTTTTGAGCTGTCAAATTCAAAGATTTTTCTAGAGCCATGAATTGAGTAAGGAAATAGATTTATTGCAATTTTGATGGGTTATTGAACATGGACAAATTAAGCTAGGGAGTTTATTGATGAGTTAAAGAGATGAATGTCAGAATTAGAAGATGAAGCATATACTTATTTTATAATTGATTTTATAATATTGTAATGAATAATTATAATTCAAATTTGATGTACCCCCATATTAGGATATTTTGGAGATTTAAATCTGGGGGTAACTGCTGAAATTCAAATAATTTTTTTAGAGAGTTTTCATCACATAGCACTTTAAAAATGAGAGAAGTCATTTCTATTCACGTCGGATAAGGAGGTATTTAAGTCGGTAATGCCTGTTGGGAATTGTTCTGTCTTGAACACGGAATCCAGCCAGATGGTCAAATGCCATCAGACAAGACTATCGGAGGAGGAGATGATGCCTTCAACACCTTTTTCTCAGAAACTGGTGCAGGAAAGCACGTCCCAAGAGCCGTCTTCTTGGATTTGGAACCAACAGTTATTGATGAAGTCAGAACAGGAACATACAGATAATTATTCCACCCAGAATAATTGATTTCAGGAAAGGAAGATGCTGCCAACAACTTCGCCAGAGGTCACTATACCATCGGAAAGGAAATCGTCGATTTGTGCTTAGACAGAATCAGAAAGTTAGCTGATAACTGCACAGGTCTCTAAGGTTTCTTGGTCTTCCACTCAGTCGGAGGAGGTACCGGATCAGGATTGGGATCACTCTTATTGGAAAGATTGTCAGTCGATTATGGTAAGAAATCTAAGTTGGGTTTCACCATCTATCCATCACCATAAGTTTCAACTGCAGTCGTTGAACACATACAACTCCATCTTGTCAACCCACTCTATTGTTGGAACACACTGATGTCTGTGTCATGTTGGATAACGAAGCCATCTATGATATTTGCAGAAGAAATTTGGATATTGAAAGACCAACATACACCAACTTGAACAGATTGATTGCTTAAGTCATCTCTTCATTGACAGCTTCATTGAGATTCGATGGTGCCTTGAATGTCGATATCACTGAGTTCTAAACCAACTTGGTCCCATATCCAAGAATCCACTTTATGCTTTGCTCATATGCCCCAATCATCTCAGCTGAAAAGGCTTATCACGAATAATTGTCAGTTGCTGAAATCACAAACTCAGCCTTCGAACCAGCAAACATGATGGCTAAGTGTGACCCAAGACATGGTAAATACATGGCTTGCTCCATGCTTTACAGAGGTGATGTCGTCCCCAAGGATGTCAACGCTGCCATTGCCACCATCAAGACAAAGAGAACCATCTAATTCGTCGACTGGTGCCCAACAGGATTCAAGGTCGGAATCAACTATCAACCACCAACAGTCGTCCCAGGAGGTGATTTGGCCAAGGTCATGAGAGCTGTTTGTATGATCTCCAACTCAACTGCCATTGCTGAAGTCTTCTCCAGACTTGATCATAAATTCGATCTTATGTATGCCAAGAGAGCCTTCGTCCACTGGTACGTCGGTGAAGGTATGGAAGAAGGAGAATTCTCTGAAGCCAGAGAAGATCTTGCTGCCTTAGAAAAGGATTATGAAGAAGTTGGTATTGAAACCGCTGAAGGAGAAGGTGAAGAAGGAGAAGGTTGATAAATCAATATATATACAAATCAAATATTAAAACATTTCACAATATTATTTATTACAACTCAAAAGTTTAATTTCATTTTTGTTTATCTGAATGCTAATTAAGAAATGTTTTCTTGATATTATTGTATTTAGAATATTGAATTCTTTGAATAAATAATTATTAATAAAAGATATTAAAGACATGTTATTAGGATTAAATCAAATAAGCATCATTAGTATTTCAATCTATTACAAATTATGATCAAAAAAGAGAATAATTCTAGGATTGATGAGAATTCATTAAATATTGAAAGAATGATAAAACAATACCTCTGATATTATCATATATCATTCTTTTTCTAGAGTATTTGAAAGGAGCTAAAAATTATCCTCGGAAGATAGTAATGAATCAAAATCCAAATTTTATATTTATTAGATATCTATACAAAAAATATATTGATATGCTTAGTTTATTAAATTATTTGTACTACGATATAAAAAGCATTTACAACTAATTAGATCTGCAGCATCCAATCGCTAATGGAAATATTTGAGATTCAGATGATAGTCTAAATAATAAAAAATTATGGATATATATAGAACAATAATGAGTAAAATAAATAACATGGTTAGAATGTACCAAAACTTAGATGAATAAATGTAAATGATAATCAATAATGAAGTAATATATAATTTATAATCACTATCTATATAAATAAAAACCAATTTGAAATCTTCAAAGCTGCCTTTTTTGAGTTTCAACCTCTAAATGAAACTCTTAAGGCAATTTCAAAAGAACCTTTGAAAAATGATTCTTCTTCAATGGTTGATTTGGTTATGAATACATCTTTTCTCTTGGGTTTGTTTGCCTATGCTAATTTGAAGTTAATTCTAACTACTCCTTTTTATCTTCATTTAAATTAATTTATTTTCCAAAACTCATGTTATATAAATTTAGCAAGTCACTTCTTTAATTTTCATTCTAAACTATCTACTTGTCTTATCTCTACTCTAAAATTCGTTCTGGTGTCCTAATTACAGGTAGTCGAATGTCAGTCTCCATCCTATTTCTAGCATCAGCCGATTTGGGTATTGATTAAAATGTCAACTAGGATTTAGGAGATTGTATTTTCTTTATTTTCTAAGCTCCATTACCTGATCCCAATAATCTATTTATCAGTTATTACTTTTCTTTATTTTCTTGAACTAATTCTTCATTCTTCCTTTACAAATATTCAATCATTTCGTTTTATTCCTTTGGCGAAAGCATTCTTGAATTTTTCTTATTCCCTTTATCCAAATGATTTGGGCATTCCTCATCAATTGTTTGACAGTTCTTAGGACTTCTATAAGATTGTATGCTCTCTTAAACCTTATGAAACAGTTTCTTAAGAATATTGTATAATTTTACTTAATCATCAGTTATCACAAGTAAGTTTTTAACTTTTATCTATTTTCTTTATTTTCCATCAACATGGTGTGAAAATTATCGGCTTTCTTTTTGAGGCATTTAAGATTTTAACCCTAATTTATTTGTTCTTGCACTTAACACATTCATTTTGTTATAGTTATCTTCAAATTATGTCAGGTTTGAATTCGTATGAGAACTTTTCATCAACTTAATAAATCTTTGTTAAATTATTTATTAATTGAAACTAAAGAAGACTCTTTATAATGTGTTAATTAAATCACTCTTACTGATATCACCTGCATATATTTAATTGATTAAGTGAAATTTTCATTTCTAACTACAAACTAATACGTTTAATATATTTATGAGGGATTTATTTTTAAAAAGTGTTTTAAATTCAAGAGAATTTCATTATAAAAATTCCCTATCGCCAGTTAAGAAATAGACTATAATAATTCCATGATAATCCTTATGAAAAGTAGCTAAATCACCAATCAAAATATGTTGATGCGAGATAAAATTAGTTCTAAATTGTTTAAATTTTAAATTTATTGAAACCTCATCATTACGACATAACGAAGTGAATTCTAAACTATTTCTAGATTATAATAAAGTGTACATCAAGATAAAAACAATATTTAAGTAACAATAAGTTTATTTTTCAGTTATATCCGATATGAATTATCTGGATGATTTGAAATATCATTCAGACAATCCTTATGATTTATAATATATTATAATTTATCAAAATTATGTTAAATCCCTAATCTTTTATTAAATTTAAGAGTATAAGTTAAGAAAATAAATACTGGACTCTTGAAAAGTCAAAAAAGAAAATTTAGTTAAATGATTCTGATCTACACTTATAATATATTTATATCAACATAATTTTAGTCTCAACTTTTGGCGACTTAAATATATCATAAATATAGATACGGTCTCTTGATTTTGGGATAAAAATAATTAATTTCATGTGTTAATAAACGAGAGAAGAAAAATTTATTATTAATTTTATGTTATAGTTAATTAATTTGATAAAATTGAGACAATAACAGCTATGTGAGCATTAGCCTTATGATCCAAAGATTGATAAGGAACGTATAAATTAAGAGAATTAATTACTCTAGATCTTATACCGTTTCTAAAGAGTTCATATTGATGAAAAGTAAGAGAAATTATGATTTAATTTAATCAGATTGAATTTCTATGAACAATCAGCTCAACTCATGAATAAACCTATTCAACCTTTACTTCCTATGCAAGTATATGATTTTATTGCTAAACTGTATATGGAATTTTTTCAAGAAAATCAATTTCAAGATAAAGCTTAAAAGATCTCATTAATCTTGGAGAATGAGATGCATAAGAATTAATCTTTCATCATACTTATGATCAAGTGGCTGCTCGAGTATTATAGATATTAAGTCAAACCAACAGAGCCTCAAATAAAACCTGTTTAAATAATGAGAAGAAAACTATTGATGACAATTGATTAAAATAAATTGGAAGTGAAAAAGTCATCGGAGTCACAAACTAAAAGGATTAGAATGCTAAATTTATCCAAAACTCCAGAAAATGATTATAACACTCTTAGTTCGGCTAATTAATAATCAACCTTAAGGAGAAACAAAATAAATTAAAGACAGTTATATAATGTAATACCAGACTTAGATTGGGAAATACCTTGGGATCGATCATATAAATTGCTATACAATAGAAACAATAGAATATCTAAATCTATATAGAAGCATTTCAATTGAAACTTACTATTATTACTCATTTGTTATATATAAAAATATCAATTTTAGGGGGCATTTAAAAATATTTAATAGAATAACAAATATCAAACAAAAAGTAACATTAAAATCTTTTTCATTATTCTGATTGATTCAAATATCTTATCAAATGAAGGTCTCTATAAATTATTATTATAATTAAAGCTATATCATTGTTGTTTAAGAATTCCAATAAAAAAAAGTTCATAGAATATTTATATATATATATAATCACAAAATAATCAGTATCAGGAACTTAAAAACTAATCTTCTTCTTCTGGAAAATGATCCTGCTCCAACTTATGTACTAGAAATCCTTCAATCTATCTTTTAATTGTTTTAAGATCTATAGTTGTGTGCAATTCAAAAGTAAAAAGATCATCAAAATCTTATTCTAAATATGCTTTTGTTTCTTAACTAACATGCACAAACCCTTTAACTCCATTTGATTCCATTTTATTTGCAATTAACACATCTGGTCCATAGATATCATATCTCACAATATCTGTACCCATGACTCCACCAAAAACAGACCCTGTGTGAATTCCTATTCTCATGTTTAATCCATCAAAGTTAATTTACTTTCTAACCTAGGTAATTATTTTAATCATCTCAAAAGCCAAATCGACAATATTCTTTGCTTCTTAATGAGGATTTCTATTATTAAAATCAATCATTCCAATAGCAACATAACAATCTCCTATTGTATATAACTTGTAGACATTCAATTCACAGCATTTTCTATCAAATTCCACAAATAGATTCTTTAACATAACCAACACTTCTTCAGGTTTCACTTTGCTAGAGTATTCAGTAAAACCAGCAATGTCAGCAAATAAGATTGTCAACTTATCCAATTTATCACAAATTCCTATGTTGTTGATTTTATCATCCAAAAACTTATTTAGAATGTGTTTTGGCAATAAATACTGAAGTAATTATGATTCTTTTTGTTATTGAGTTTTAAAAATGTTTTTTTAATTAAAACAACCTACTTATTGTTGTTCGATGAATAATATTAAAGTCAAATTATACATAGAACTAACGAAAAGGAAAAATATGCTAATCAATTAGGATCCATCAATGATAATTATGATTATTGAGTAAAAGTATGTAAAAAAACAAAATAATACTTTTACCCAAAAACTAAGAATTTATACACTACAAAAAATACATTGAATGAAAACGATCTCATAGACATGAACATTTTTCAATTCATCTCTATCTTCTAATACTACAACTACACCTGCTAATATAACCTAAAAAAATAACAAGATTTTTATTAGGATCTTCCATTTATCAAAGTAGGGTTTTCTATTAATTAAAAATTGAATTAAGTTCAATATGCAACATAACCATTGTAATACAATTAAGCCAATAATGTAATCACTGTAGAACTGTATCTAGCAAAATTGTTTTATCATATAATATAGGGCGTATAATCTTAAATTGTAAATTGTTTAACTCTTAGATTAAATTCTTACAAACTCCATGTACTGATCATAACTTATAAACTAATTCATCTGTTTCTTGTAATATGAAATCTCTAACAACTAAAGGAATGAAGTTTCTTTAATTAGGTTATGTTCTAGAGTGTACTCATTCTTTAATAAAATTACATTCTCTAATTAATTAAATAAACAATACCAATAACTACTCATAATCTATCATCTCATCAATCTCTGGTTCATAATTTTCTAATTGAAATCTATTCTAAAACAAAGTCACCAATCTTTTAAAAGTACTTGGCTATTAATTTTATTATAATAGTTTCTATTTTTCATCGGTACTTTGTTTCTATATAATTTCTAGAGATTATTCTGACTTCTCATCATATGACTAATAATAGGCAGGATCAGTGGGTTTGATGCCAAAAACATTGTGATTGCCATTATCTTAAATTGATTCCCTTTTTTGATTCATTGTATCTATGTATGTCAATATTGTCTTTCTTTTTTTCAAGTTTTTTTTCAATAATTCTGGATTCTTTCTTACCACATAATTGCTTCTTGCATCTCTACTTTACAAATCTTAATCATATAACACAGAGTGAGTATTCTCTTTATTTTGAATTTTACATTTAAATATATAAGTCGGTTTAATACCTAATCCTTTCATTTCTACATTTCTTATCTCAAATTCAATATTCTCATTTTTAATTTAATCAAATGCTTATTCTGACAATGTTATTGTATCCTCCAACCCTGTAGAACATACTCTACTCGTAGTATTTACAGTATCTCCAATTAAGGAGAATTAAGGCTTATGATATCCTATGACTCCACTAATGGCTCCTCCATAATGGATTCCTATCTTCCCAACTAATTATTGTCCTTGAGTACCCCACCTTAATGCTATAAATAAAATATTTACTATTTTGATCTAATGTAGTTCATCATCTATTCAGCCAAATTTAATGCTCTCTAAACAGGATCAACCTATGATAAATATGTTAATTCTTGTTCACATGCCTTCAATCCAGCTGAAGCCAAATAAGTCTTTCCAACTGTCTCTATCTTTTGTACTCCATAGATCTAGCAATATTTATCAAAGGTTCTAAAAATGTCATCTAAAAATGGGATAATTTTATCCTTCTCTTCTATGACCATTTAATCGAAGTTGCAAATATCACAAAATACTATTGCCACTAAACCTTAGTTTTAATGAATATTGTACTAATCAGCTAAAATATGTTGATAAGATACTATACTTTCATTTAATCTATCTCTTATAAATTTTGGCAATAGTATTCCAAGGATGTCATTAATTTTATTATTTTACTCTATGAAATTTAATTTGTTTTAAGCCTAATCTTCTTCTAATTGTATATACTAATTATGATTACTATATTATTCTTACATAACTCTTAATAAAATATTGAGATGCTGAAAATAAGACTATGAATTGCAATATTTAAATTAAGAAGGAAACATTTGATTCATTCTCAATGATGTACCAAATTATGTATCCAATTATCGTGATTAGAGCTGAGCCCAAATAAGTTCTATAGTCATAGATTGGATGAAATTTGATGGACAATTTATAAGTGATAAAATACTACATAACTAAAGCAGAACCAATGTGTTCTTATGTATTTTAAGTAAATAGTATCGACACAGTGGCAGCTGTTGCAATTATAAATTTAGCGTACTCTAAATAATGTTATCTATTGGTTGGTAATTGAATAAATGTAAACACAATGAATACAATAGATTGGAGGCCAAAAATTATAAAATAATCTACCAAAAAATAATTGTTGTTGTCTTGGTAGAAATACATTATTAACAAAAATGAACAATGATAAAATAGTAATTAAAGACATTGGGCTGTTTATTTTTATTTCCATTATAAAATAGTCTATGCTTTATGGAATATTTCTTAGGTCCATTAACCAAATCTACTCTGATAATTAGGCTCATTAAGTAACACTAATAGTATTAGATAATTAATTACGTTTTTGAATGCTCAAATCAACTTGCTCAATATTGTCAAATAGATCATTTACTTTATTCTATAATATAGTCACAGTTTTCCTTTTTTAAGCTGGAGCACTTATTAAATGAATATAATTTAAATATGATAAAAACTCATCTTCACTTGTGGGTAAATTATTTAAACCATCATTTTATAGATAATCGGATAAAATGTTTGTTATTAACAAAAATGAGACGCCTAAAATAATGGAAAACACTTCTTATATGTTAATCGGAACCTGCCATTCTTCATCTTTTGAGGAGTCTATAATAGTGTAGATGTAAAAGAGCAGTGGAAAAATGCATGAAGTTAATACTCGAAATTTCAATCCAAAATTTATTATTAAGTAGAGCCAATCACTAATGCTTATTGACATAAAGATATATAGGTAAAATCCTTGAAAATAGATATCATATTGAAATATGCATGAAACCAAAATCCCTTACAAAATATTCTTGATTATAATTGTTATCTGTATTTCAGTTTCAGATTAATGCTTAGAGTATTTTTATAGCAACAATGATTAATCCTTATTGTATTATAGTTATTTTGAATCATCAAGAAACTAATAATGTTAAATACCAAATAAAAAGAGTTGATAAATGTAAAAATAGAATATGATTTCTACTGAATAATCCTATTAATCTAAAGTGTTCCATGTATAAAGAATCGATGAAAAAGTAAAATAAGAGATAAACGTTATTGTTTTATAGACAGTTTATTATTGTAATGATCGAAACAATATTTTTAAAAGAGGACTCTAAAAAAATAGTAATCTATCTAATTCTTTGAATCCTTGAATAATCACATCTGTATTTGAATTGATTTACAATTCATTAAAATAACATTTCTCATAAATTAATCTCTATCTTAAAGATAAACTCAATTTTTTAAAGAAATTCTTACTGCTTACTTCACCAAATAACTAATTTCTAAATAAACTAAATTCTTGCAATTATAAAATTTAAAGTTAACATCCATTAATGCACCTTAACAAACTCTAATTCTCATATAATAAATTAATAGTTTTTCCAGGTATACACCATAATTCTTAGACAATATTCAATTAATCTTGGGTTGCTTAATACAAAAATAACACTTTAGTAAAATTGAGTAATAATTTTAAATGGTTCTTAAAGTAAGTATTTTCCATGATTTATTAGCATGTTGAATTGTTCAACATAACAACGACTTTTTTTGTTCTTGATCTTTCATCAACATGATCTGTTTCAGTAGCTTTCTGAGCACTGTGATTAGATATTTTTATAAATTGAGAACTACTTATGCTGGCATGTGAAAACTAGTTAGCAAACTCTTCCAAGCATTATTTAAAGTAGGCTCTTAAATCTTCTTCGTTTTATTGATTAAAATGAAAAATCAGATCATTTTACTACAATAATTCAGATTAGTACAAAATAGATGTAGCTGAAATTTCCTAATTTTAGGTATAAATGAATAATTGATAGTCTGATTTCCTTATGTTTTTCATAAAATCTTGGCAATCCTATTTTAGTTCATAACTCAACCCGAATATTATATTCAATTTAAGTAACTATTCCATTAGAGTATACAATTAGCTTTCTGAAGTGTTACTCTCTGCAGAAGATAAATATAAATTAGCTTCTTTTTGACTTAAAAAACAATAATAATAGTATATGTAATGTAATGAGTCTGATTGATGTTTCATAACCTTATCCTCAATACTTTCATTTTTTCTCACATTAGCTTCTCTCAAAAATAAAATGAATTGATAATCAGCTTCTTGGAATTGGTCATCCATTTCGAATAACATGTAGAGTCTTTGATTTTGGATGTGTAGTTTAGTATTAACCAATTTAAATGTATAAAGTTCCTTGTTGATTTATATAATATAATGTTATTGTTATCTATTAAATATGATTAAAATATTACTAAACATTGTTAACACAGATGAATTCATAACCCATAATTTTGGCCATATTGACTTACTTTTAATCAAGTAAACCTAGATATTTATTCTTTACTTTCTATTCTTTTTTTTCTGTTATCAATAATTTTGAGAATGCAAGATGATTCATAGCCAATTATAAAAGTAAAGGATTAAGATCATTTTTAGAATTGTTTTGAATCATGGATTTGTATAGAGTATTTTCATCAATTAAGTATTTGTCTTATCTTGATTAATCCTTAGATGATTGATATATTTTTGAACTCTTTTATTAATTAGATTAACGTTAAGCTGTCAGATGATCTCCAATCTCTTAATTCTCAAATATATTCTTGTCATGTTAAGTTTATTCTTACAAAATCAGTTGTCCTTGAATCACATTCAGTTCAGTTTTATAATCTTATTAATAATCGTGTGTAAATCTACATTCTACTGATTTAGGAAGTTAATTAACTATACATTCCCTTTAACTGAACAAGATCTCAGAACTTGACCTTTACATATCATAATTTAAGACTTAAGAATTTAGTTAATTGTTTATTGGTTCTAAGTTAATATAATAAATATACTTACCTTAATCTTATTTATTCAGACCCTTCTCAGCAATCGCCAAAAATTGTAAGAATTTCTATTCTTCAAAATCACAATATTAACTATTATAGATGATTCTTTTAAGTTTAAAAGACTATTCTATAAAGGCTTCTACACTAAGTGTGAGGTATTACTTTTCTAAATATTTATCTATATGACAAGACATAATTTATTTTTAATCAATAGTTCCTATCATTTGCAATTAAAACAATCCACAAATATTATAATAGATCTTAAAGAAATGAGGAACCATCAAAATTAAATAAATGCAATTATCCAAGATAATTTGTGTTATTGATCTCAATTCATATAAATATACGTTCTGATTGAAGACTATGATTTATATCTATGAAATGATATATATCAATATTTACAATCATAATTAGGCAAATTACTAAGTAAAATCCAAAGAATTAATGATTATCAAATCTCAATTTTCCTTATAATTTTGTATAGCAAAAACAACTGTTGCCCACTTTTACAACAATCCCAAGAATCCAAGGTGTGGCCAATAATTTCTCTTGACAAAATATAAAGTTTTCATATCCAAGCATCTTAGATTATGGATCTTTCTTTAATTGAAAGAATCCTTTTATTTAAGAATTCTGCTCATGGAATACGATATTTCCAGTCAAAGACTTTTTAAATTGAGCCAAGGTTTATGAATCAGCTACAATTATAGATTCAAATTTTACATCTATTTTAGACCACTGGCTTTCTAACAGTTGATTATGAATAATCACATAATTATTATTAAACACAGAAATTTTCATCGTTACAATGCAAAACAATTATATCACATGGTGCTATTTCATTTCTTTGTAATAAAATGACATCTCCTATTTTAATATCTTCAGCATTTTGGGATTTAATTAAATTCATTTTATCCTTTTCCATTTTTTTCAACTTCTCATTTAATGGTATTTTAGTTGTAGTTTAAATCAAATCTTTTGGAAATATGCTTGGAACCAGCTTTTTAAATTGAATGATCAATGGATCAGTTTCCATGATTTAGATTTACTATAATTTCAAAGCCATATCTTTATAAATTAATGGACTCATTTAATTGTATTTCTTAACATTTTCAGAGGCTTTGATATTTTTGTTACTTTATTGTTATTTGTATTGGATTTATTAAAATGGAATGGAATCATTTGCTACACAAATAGATATTGTATATTACATAGAATTGATCTGGAAATTCCTTTCTTTTAACTCTGTGCATAATCAATTTTCTTATTTTACGAATTCTTCTCAAGTTATGACTTACTCCTTAATTTTTAATTGCTCTCACTTTAATCTTACTAATCTAATCTTTCCTTTATTTTAGAAATAATTTCCTTATTAATAATACATTCATCCCACTACTTAATAATTTTTGCCTCTTACTCTTTTATCAATTAATCCATTTTTCGTATTTTTAAACAATTATGGAAATCAACCAGCCACCCTTGTAATATTAAGGGAATCGCCACAAAATACAAGGGCTAAGCAGAAAAAGCTTATAATATAAGAAGTAAAAAGTAGAAGATGTTATCCTTAATTACTCTCCAAGGAAAGAGAAAAGTATAATTAGCCCTCTAAATTTTATTTTCATTTTCTAGGAATCCATCAGATGAAACAGTCTCCCCATTTCTAAATTGAATCTTATTAACTATATAAATAGTACTTGATATGTATTTTTTCTCATTTCATTATTGTGCCTATAATTCAGGAATAATTATTTCATTTTAATTTATAACAGAATGTCAATCAATTAAGAACTTAGTTTTGATTTCAAATCTCAAGTCAATTTTGATAACGACCCCCAACAATCCAACTATTCCAATTTTGCAGAACAATGGCAAGAGAAGATCTCTAGTCTCTAACAAAACATATAGGAAATGCAACAGCAAAAAGAAGACGTCAAGAATGCATTATTATAAGCCTAATCAAGAATCAAAAATAAGAAGTCCTACATAGATGAACCAAAAATGCAATAAGTGGAAACGAGGACCTTGGAAACGAATCTACCTATTTAAAACACCTCAATTAACCATTTATTAAATGAATCGATCAACACATAAGAATTTCAAACTCCAATGAACTAAATCAATTAAGTCACCAACATCAGATAGTAACCAATTGCAACATTTCTAATGGATATTAGATTGAATGATATCTACTTATAAAACTTTATAGACTTAGGCATTTATGATAATGTAAGTCTTTTGAAATCATTGCCAGCTCAAAATAAATGCAAATTTCTATTAAACAAATACGGTATTGATAAATTAGGATATCAAAGAAGGATCTTGGCTAAATTAGATGAAGGTATTTCTGTATTTAATTAACTTTAGAAATGGGTTTATTTTCAAAAAAAGGTTTACTGTTAAATATTGAATACTGTTAGGAATAAATTCCAAATATGGAAGAATGGTTAAAATCTATTAATCAATCTAAATATTATCCAAATTTTGTATTGGCAGGATATGACAACTTTGCCTATATGATTTATCAAGAGTAAAGTCAATACAAATTAAAAGTTCAAGATTTTAAAGATTCTTTTTATATTGAAAGTGAATAAGATAGATAATTGCTTATTGCACACGTAGTAATCAGTATTATTACATTCTCTATTTATTAGTTTGTGATAAGATGATGAATTGTGATTTATGGACTGTTTAGGGAATAAAAAAGAAATAATAAGAATCAGATTTTAATTTAGTATAATGCACTCTACCTTCAAATTAATGTTAGATCTTTTGAAATAATATATAATTAATTAATTCATGTTCATTTAAAATAACGATTCCTTTTTATTAAATCTAGAATCTCTTAATTTTCATAGAGTTAACTCAAATCCTAAATAGTTTTTCCATTTCTTGTCGTCACATTTAATTTTGCTCCGAATTTCAATAGGAGTTTAAACAATGATACATTTTATTTCTTGATAGCTATATGGACAGGGTAGAATCCTTTCTAAAATGATTATTATAAGAATACTTCATCAGCTGAATTGATTAGAGAGAAATCAAATGATTTATCTTAAAATAATAATGATAATCCTTTGATGTCACATTTCTAAACTAAATTAAAGAATGATTTCTATTCTGGAGTCAAATCTATAATTTTGTATTTTTCAACCAATTATTCGATATTTGCCTTTGATTCTATTAATCTTGAGGACATGTAATCCGTAACATCTTCTATTTCCATACTTTAAATTGAGTATTATTTGCAATATTATGGATTTAAAATACTAGATTGTCTTTTGAACGATTTGGTTTTTTTGCTAATTCTCTTCTAAGGTTCCATCCTATGAAGCATTTGAAGATATGGTTTAGAAGTTTAGCTTTTCTTTGTTAGATCGTTGATGGATGGATCAAGCAAATAAGTTCCATTAAATAATTTTGAAACATTCATTTTAGTCTTCAAACATTATTTCCTATTTATTTTATAGATCATACAATTGTTCTTCAATTTAATAGAAGTTTAAGTCGTTCTGATTGGATTTATTTTCAGATTTTTCGTTAAAATATGAATTCTTAGGAATTTGTTGTGTTTTAATCTTTTTATTACAGAATATATTATACTTTTGATAATATTTATTAAGCTTATTCCTATTCGATCCTACTTGTGGAAGGTTAGGAATAGAAATCGTTAAGAATTGAGAGATCCGAATTCTTCAATTTACTCATTTTGACTAAATTCAGTTGTATTATTCTTTAATCTATGACTCCTGACTTTAAATAATCTTGAAGTGCTTATTTGCTCATTTTATACATGATATTATCACTAAAATGGAACTTTTTCTTATTTTCAGTTTCTATCGATGTGTTTATTTATGTTTTAACACTTTTACTAGTCAATCTTGGCAAAGAATACATTTGTTTAGATAATAAATAATTATTTATTATTAGAATATTTAACAAAGAATCCCTTGAACATCTATGTTATTTTCAACAATAATCTAAAAATAAAAGTATACAATTGCATTCATTTGTTTGCTAATAAATAAAATCACAATTATACATAATAATATAATAAATCTAGCTATAATAAAATAATTATAAGAATGGGTGCAACTTGTTCCAACATGAAAAACCAAAATGTATTTAACATTATGGAACTCCCTTATAAGTACAATTATGATGAAAGACTTAGTATTCATGTGATGGCATATATCTGGTCTGATAATGGACATAATTTATTTGATTATGAGAGCGATTCCCTTGTCAGAAAATCTATTGACTTTGATTTTTAAGGTACTTCCCATAAATATATAAGGAAGAGTGGTTTAATTAGATAGAGACATCTTGGCATTAACCAAAAATGTAAAATTGCTCCCATAATCATTATTAAGGAAGTAGTAAGGAATTAAAGAGAAATATTTGAGTTTCGCAGTAATCAGAAATCAATTGAAATATATAATTCTAAACTAGAAAATGCATTCTGGAAAGTCATCAGACCATTATAGGCATCAGATCTACCTACCTTAGACCGTCAAAAATTAGTGATTAATTCAACAATAAAATTAGGAAGAGTCAAATTAACAGTACTTGATTATAGTTTTGCTTATGAATATGATGACGGAGGAGTCCCAGATGAATTTGATGAAAAAAATAAATTAAATGATAGTGGATGTGTAGAAGGATAAGTGTAATGCAGATTTTGTTTAAGTAAACTGGCGACACTTGAAAATCCCTTCATAAGTCCATGCAAATGCATTGGTTCCATCAAATATATCCACTTAAAATGTTTATAGAGTTGGATAAATAGCCAATTAAAAACTAAAGCATAGAATGGGGTAACACTATATTATTGGAAAAGTATGAAATGTGAACTATGTAAATCGATGTACAAAAGTAATGGTTTAATTTACCGTTTATAGCTTCCTTTAAATTTAAGTAGATTCAATATAACATATGTGACATTAATAAACCAAAAGAGCCTTATTTGTTATTGCAAATTAATCACAGTGATAAAAACAAAGAATAGGGTTTATATGTAATTGATGTCAAAACAAGGGACACCATTAAAATAGGTAGAACATAAGATTGCGATATAAAATTGCATGATATTTCAGTCTCGAGACATCATGCCAGTATACTAGTTAACCATTAAGAATAATCCTTTTATATAGAAGATAATTGTTCAAAATTTGGAACTTTGGTTTTAGCATAGGATGAAGATTTGTAGATATAATTGAATTCCCCAAAAAGAGTAGCCCTACAAGTAGGGAGGATAGTAATTGTTGTAACAATAGAAAAGAAAATAAATAAAAAGAAGTAAATTATGATGTGAATGTTAGAATAAATAAATATAGAGTGCCTGCGTAATTTGAAGTGTTTAGATAAATTAAATAGCATGAAGATGAAGAGGAAGTGCAATCTGCTGATCAGTAATAATAATCGGATGTTGAAGACATTTTAATAAATGATCCAGCATTTGATAGGGATTAAGATATGAGTAAATTTAAAAACATGAACTTTTTAACTGGGAGCATTATTTAAAGAGAGTAATAGTGATTTGATATCTTAAATTGATAATGTTTCAAATCTTCTTTTATTATTTTTTCATAGCTATTTTTTTTTTCGCTTTTTTTGATAAATACAATAGTTTAACCACAATTTTCAAGGCCATCTAGATATTTAAACTAGTCAAGGCTGATTTGATATCCATTTCAGTAACACCTACATATTGGATGTATTCATTCTGCAATGGTTATTTACCAAAATCAGTCAACCAATCATCTAAAATTATTTGATCTATTTTATATCTCTTTTCAGGATTCTTCTCTAGCATTCCTTATAGTAATTTAAGAATTGAAGGATGAAATCCAGTCGGCTAAGAATAAGGAGGACTTTGAATTGATAACAATAATCATTTACTTGTCTTCCAATATTTATTATCTTAATTCCATAGATTTCTAACTTGGAAAGGGTAGTCTACCATAAACCATCTAATATAAGGTCACTCCTCCTGCCCATATATCAACAGGTTTTCCATCGAAATTCTATCCTTGAATTACGTTATTATTATAAAGTACCTTTAAATACTTCAGGTGCCAAATAAGCTTGAGTACCAGTTTAATTGGAGATTCTTCCATCTTATCCATCTTCCATGATATGTGAAACTCCAAAATCAGCAATTTTCAATTAATCCTAGATATTGACCAATAAATTCTCAGGTTTGATGTCTCTATGTATAACATTAACACATTCATGTACTTAATTAAATTTAATTTAAAATACAATAATCTAATCCTTTAATGAAATCACTAAAGTAATGTCTACATTATTCTTCAGTCAATCTTGAATTGATATTTTTATCATCAATTTCATCCAAAATATTGGATGTCTATTTGTTCTTCTTAAAAAAGCCTTTACTAAGAATGCTGCCTTTCCCCATAAATTCCATAACTAGGTACAACTTATCTTATTTAGGATCATCAATGACTTCATACAATTGAACTACATTAGTATGTGAGATCTATGATGAATATTAAAATAAATCCTACTTTTTTCATAATAGCAATTTCTCTTTCCAACATTGTATATGCATTTGATTTAGATAAAAGTTTCTTTTTCAGTTTTTTTTTGTTTGCTATCTTAATTGCCTAATAATATAGGAAATATCAATACAAATTATTCTCCTTTAAAATTCTGAGCCTTTTTAACTTTACCAAATGCTCCCTGACCCAAATTTTCAATTACTGTGTATTAATTAATTTATGCCATTCCTTCAACATTTATACTTTTTTCCAGACGAGATGTCTATACAACTTCGAGTGTGTTCTAAACAGCTAAAGATTTGCGAGGCTTGAGTCTTTGGGAACTCAACATCTGAGATTCCTTAATGTTGAGATATTTTTCCATTGAAAGTTCAGCTTTCTAGATATATTGAATATAGAGACTTCCATCTTTTAAGATGATCTAACAAAATGAATGAGATTTGTTTGAGCATATTCAATAAATGGTTTCTTTATACCAGGGGATTTAGAAATAACTCCACTAACACGCATTGGAGTTGTATTCACCTTTTTCGGTTTATTACGAATCATTTCAATGAGATTAGTTTAAAACTTGAGTTTATTCTTCTGCGACACCATAGTTGTATCCTCTAATCTATTGTTAAATTCACTTTAGTCAGCCTTTACTTTATCATTTTCTAAAGACTTCTCTTAAAATAGAGATAGCATTCTAGACTCTAGAAATTACACCATACCTAAAGTTATTGATTTGATTGTTAGACAGTCCACTTCCCATTTTATTTAACAATTAATTAATCACATTTTACACCCACTTTCTTTAGTTGAAAACGAGATATTAGCTTTAGTATATCGAACTACCAACGAATTGACCCAAAAAATTACTATCACATCAGAACTACTCAGAACATTCGCTCACAATGTACCTACAAACCTAAGAATAATACTAATTAAACATATGATACATTATTAATTTATAGGTGTGAATTAATGTCTGATAGTCAACATATAAGAATTAAAAGAATAATATTTAATTTTACAACCATATATGAAGAATAATCACATGGTGGTCGGATGAGAAACCGAAAATATTAGACATTAATATTCATTTTATGAATAGGATTCATTATTAACCAACGTTAGATCTTGGAGCCTATTGTTATTATTGGGCTTTTGGTTATTATGGGATTTGTTATGGTTGGTATTACTATGCATATTATGGAGCATAGGTTTGAGCAAAACCTTAAGGAACAACTCTGGAAGCAACCAATGGTTATGCATAAGTAACTGGCTATTAAACATACTAGACTGGTTATTGATAAACTGGTTATTAATAGACTGGTTATTAATAGACTGGTTATTAAACAACCTAGACTGGTTGTTAGACGACTTAAACTGGTTATTAAACCACCTATTAGACTGGTTAAACTTATTGATGGACGACTTGTCTTTCAACTGGATAATACTCTACTCTCTCTTGATATCTGTCAACTGGAACGTATTCTACATTATTCAATATATAGGAATACCTGTGTACTTCTCTTAAAATACTTAAGGAACGTATTCGGTTTAGTACTCAACAGCATAATAATCGGTCACCTTTCTCTCTCTTGGCACATATTGGACAACCTCTTATTCTTCATATTCTACAACAGCCTTTTAATATGGAACATATTCAATTCTTGATTCTCCTTTGATTGATTGATGCTAATTTGAATATCATAACATTATGTACTTAAACTGATTACACTACTGGTTGGACGGGTTATTGAACATACTGAACAGGTTGTGGAACATATTGAACTTGTTAAGGAACTGGAGCATATTAAACTGGTTGGATATATGATTATCTAATTGGGGATTATTACAATGGGACAGCATACTATAAATTAAAACACAATTTTTACTTAGGGAACTGGTTGTTATAATGTTGGTTGACCGAATTTAGGAGCCTAAGTTGTGGCCAAAGGTTAAGCAGGGGGGGCATTGCTGTATGGGTGATTAGACATCTGATTATTTAAATAATAAAGATATATATATTTATATATTTATTATCAAGCAAAATAAAATGAAATAAAAAATAATCAAATTTATTAATAGCATAAATATTTGCACGATGATATTCGATTTCCTTTCTCATTTTCAGATAACTTAAGAACAAGATAGAATATTATCTAATGTTCTACATCTCTTCCAAAATTCATGAATATCTTAATTAAATTTCTTACTAATTCTTTTTCTCTTAAAAATAAAGTTGTTCCTTAATAATCCAAATCATTCATTTGTAAATGCATAAACTATTCGAATTTGATATATGTTCCTTAAGTTTAATCTTCATAATAGCATTAAGTCTTCAATTTAAACTAATTTTAAGTGGTCTTCGTTTTCAGAATGTCTTAAATGAATTTTCTTTTAGGTTGTAATAGCCTATTTACTCCAATAATTGTTGCAAATCCATTTATATAAATTATTAATGTTTATAGAAATAAGATCCTTAATTAATGAAGCAAGTGCTCAAATTCCTAAAAAGAATATTGCTTTAGTTCACAAACACAATTAATTAAGACAAATGAATTTGATATAGAAGAAAACATGCGCTTCGTCCATCCAATATTCTATGTTCCAATCAGATTTTGGCACTTTTGATTATTAGATTGTCCCTTAAGAGAGTTCAGATTCTGAGTCCATCATCTCCTCGCCTTCCTAATACCCTTCCTTGCATTTAGTTGCTTCTTTATTCTTTCTAAATGCTTAATATTCTTAGATACCTTGTTCAACTGTTCTACAGGATGGATTGAAATCAAAATTGATTGTTAAAAACATAGATAAAAATATAGATTTAGTTAAAGTTTAAGAGTTTATTGAAGCATTACCAATTAAGGGATTTGTCTTAGAATTTAAACTTATATATTATTAATCAAATCCTTGTATTATATTTTATTTGAAAACCGACTAACCATTAATTGTTTTAAATTAATTTGTGAATAAGTCAAACTCTAAGATTGCTAAATCAATTTTTGGTTACAAGTTTAGTTGTGCATAATTGATAAAAAATAATTAAGAATTTGCAGCAGTCATCATAAGAGGATTAGATGATAATTTAAATGGAAGTCAAATAGAAAAGATTATTTGCTATACTTTGAATATGGAATAAAACTAATGTATCATTGAAGGCTAGAAAACAATTATTGAAATTGAAAATGTTGGCTGCATGGTATTTGTATTGAAAGATCTGGAATATTGTGAACGAGTAGTTGTGTCTTTAAATGGAACTAATTTGAATGGATTATAAAAAAATAAAATATTAGTTAATGTTCATCCTGAGTCTGTGAAAATCAGAAAAGTTGATTTTGAATCTTCCATCTAAAAAGGGTTGCTGTAGGTAATTTAAATGTTTGATAATATAGAAATATACAAAACACAACGATAAGGATATGAAATGAAATTAATAAAATTATTTATTATATTTTAGTCATTCCCATCCTCAGAAAGCAACAATAGGATGAAATATAACTGAAGTAATTTCTAAATATTTTAAATCCAATTTATTATTATTTATTTATAATATAAATATGACAGCCAAAGATGTGATTATGAAATTGAATAAAGATGCTGAGTACAATGCACTCACTGCTGAATTTTAAGGAAATGACACTAAATTTGTAGGAGAATATGAAAATGTTAGGATTCCATCTGAAAAAAAGGAATCTATTAAGGATGCATTTAGAAAGGCATCCAAAGCATGTTAGCCTACATTAAAAAAGTATGATTCAATTTTACATTTAGTCTCTCATTGAGATAGAATTGGTTAGATCTATAGGATAGAATATATAATAGAGCATAATACTACACAAGTATTAAATTGTGATCTATGATTCCTAGCTGATGCAAATTCTTGTATTAGTGATGCAAGAAATGTTGCTGAGGTTAATGTTTGTTGCGATCATTACATCCAAAGACTAAACAATGACTTTTACAACGATGTCTTACAAATATTAAAGGATTATTGAGATATTGCAATTATTAAAAATATGCATAAAACCCTTAATATTATTTTCTGTTAATTAATCAAAATGTTCTTCGATAAAGATAGAATCATAAAGTTGATGCAAGCAAACTAAATAGCATCTCCTTTATCATTTAAAATAGATTCTCCTAGAATATTTTCAAAAACACCAAATTCATATTCAACATTAACTTGTGAACTTACTTCACGAGGCAAACCTAAAATAAATTTCTTAGCAGAATTATCAGACAATCGATCCCTGACGAATCGTTATATGTTGAACTCAAAAAATAAAACGAAATAACAAAAAATACAGTTTTGTAAGGAGAATAAGGTTGTTGAGTCATCACTTAAAAAAAGCTAATTGCATCCATCAACAGATTCCTTACTTCAAAATATCAACATATAATCTCCTGCTTCTACTTTTAGTTAAGAGTTCATGAAAATCAATTCAAAATTCAATTCAGTTAAAAAACTAGATAATCATGATCAATATCTACAGAGAAAGTAGAGTAACTCAGTAATTTAATTAATGAATAAGAATGTATCTTCAATTGAACCATGCAAAAACAAGTATACACCAATATTGAAAACTATTATAGTTCAGCGATGAGATCAACAGAAAGAATTAGATAACAATTTGATGAAATTACACTTTTGGATTTGAAAAGTCAAAATATTTATTTGTAAGTAAGAAATCATTATTAACATTTATACAGCAAGAAAATGCAACTCTGAAATCTCAATTGTAATCAGTACAAGATAATATCAAACATCAAAATAAGGAAATTGCAAAGCTAAAACTTAATATCCAATAACTTGAATAGTAATATGTATCTTAAAACTAAAGATAGATTTAACCTCTAATTAAAGGAGAAGAATGAGAAATCCAAATCAACTATTGAAAATCTTAATTCTTAGTTAGAATTTGAAGGGTCCATCCAAGATGATCTCAGAGAACGAATGAATGAAAAATCACAAGAACTAAAGAAATATCATCTAGTAATTTCAATAATTATTTTAAAGATTGAATAGTAAATTAAGAAAATGGAGGATTCTCATTTAGAAGGTTTAAGTAAAATATTTAAGGAACTCAAAGAATAACAGGTTTCCCTCAAAATTCTTAATCATACTATTCTTTGTCTATCATAAATTTCAATTTTATTATCCTAAAAGGAGGAAATTCCAATTGAGATTTTGTTTAAGTATAAGCAAATCCCTTAAATCTCTCAAATCCTATTGGATTAAGATTAAATAGAAAATATCCTAAAATCTAATTCAAAGTTGATAAAGGAATTATATGATTTGATAGGTAAATCCTTCGAAAAAATATCATACAACTTTGTTTAATAATTTTCATAAATCTTGCATAAGTCATGAAGATTTGAATATTCAACTATTTTAATAAATAAATTAGACTGAAATAATATCTATACTGAAACACTGATGATGAATAATTATTCTATATTCAGCAGTAGCTTTGTCTAATTAATTTCTTTTTTAGTTCTATCACTAAATTTATTGTTATTTATGTGGTTTCTAAAAATTAGATATTTTCATCTACTCTATAATATTATTATTTTTGTTTGTTATCTAAAAAAGAGGATTGCCTGTAATATCACAACAAATAACGGCAACTTCTAAAAATCTCATATAACATGAAAGAATTTCTCTTGATTATTGTTATCCAGTAGAAATAAAGTCTAATAGATTTTTTAATAGGCAAATAAATAGTTAATTATTTAATCAATAGACTGAAGTGTATCAAAATCTAACTTCTTTTCCCATGAATTTAATCATAAAGTGGGCCTTGTCAATTCAAATATATGTATATACTTCTTAATCCTCAAAGAAGATGCCAACAGTAATCTAATAATAATGAAAGTTTTTACAACAGAATCATCCCTTTCAAAATCGCCTTTGATTCATAGATCCGCCCCAATTAAATAATTTCATACTATATTTTTATTGCAATGTTTAAAGTGATGAATTTTTAGAATCTGAATGTAAAGAGGGGATAACAATGTTAAAATATTATCAAAAATTTGTAATAATTTTATAGAAGGTTTAATAATAAATTAAATAAATCTGTTAAATATGTTTCAGAGTCATTAAACGCCAAAGTAAACTTATAAGCAACAACCATAAAAAATATACTAGCAGATTCACTAAAAGACTCTTCCTTGTAAATCTTTATCACCTACTCAATTTGGCAATCAAAAAAAGGGAATGATTGAATTAGAGGAATAAAATCCTTCCACTCCACAGAAGTTGAATTTATCCAAAGGACTCAAGTTGCTAAATGTGCCTTCACAAGGAAATGAGAATAGTTTTAGAGGAAGCAATTAAAAGAATCTATTAGTCTCTGATAGTCCATTAATGTCAAATAATAAAGAGAATGGGGCATCAAGTAGGAGATTGAATACAGACTCGACTCAGATGGATTTAAATTCCTAAGTGATCTTATAAGAGAATAGGAAATTGAATGAAATGATTCAAAGATTATTCAAGGAGAAATAAGAGTTAGTTACAATAATAGATAAATAAAAGAATGCATAATGTATAATGAGTAGTTAAGGAGGGGACAATTTGAATTTGAATAGTTTAAAGGAGAGAATTGAGAGATTGGAGGGAGTCATTGATTTGTAGAGTGAAGAAATTCTGTAATGGAAATAAAAATATAAACAAGCTTGTGAATAAGATGAGAGAGCATATGCAATAGAATAAATGGTAGATTATATATACTTATTAGTTAGGAATCTCAGATTATGAAAGTGGTGGAGGAGAATGAGAGATTAAATAATTTGGGAAATGATAAGGATAAGCAAATAGAAGATTAAAGTAATGAAATAATAGCATTGCAGAAAAGATAGTTTGAATAAGAATAAAAAATGAAGGATCAATCAAATTTAATTATCGCTTATGAAGAAGATACTAAAGAGTTGAAGAGACAATACAAACAGAAATTAAATTTGATTGAGAAACTAGAGTAATAGTAGTAGTAATAATTACAATAAATACATTAATTACAGTAATTGTAGAATTATAGTGAAATATCTTCGCATTCTTCATTTCATGAGAATAGGGATCACTCTTAAATTGTTTTGGAATAGATTCAGTTTTTAGAACAAACGTTATCTGAATTATCTACTTAATATACATCATAAACTTTAGAAAACCAGAGGTTGTTGAGACAAAATAATAATTTGAAGGAGGAACTGATATTGCAGTAAAAAGCTTTGGATGAGATACGTAATTGTAGTAGAGGAGCTGTGAATCCAAAATTTCAAGATGCTACTAAGTGCTTAAAGTTAATGAGGGAGAAGATTGCGAAGTCATAATAGAAATGAATATATATATTTATAAAATGAGATATCCTAGATTGAAATGGGCCCTCTTTTGTTTGCCTTTTTTATTTTTTAAATAAAATGATTTAAAAGAAAGTTTTAAGCAGCAGCGACGAGAGCAGTGAAGATGAGCATGTTGAAGATTTAATGGACAAATAAAAGTTGGTGTAGGCTAAAGCTAATAAACCAACAAGAACTTCTGTGAGCGCTGAAGTTTATGGACAATTCAATAAGAAAGTATTTAATCATCTTGATTAAAGGGTCAATTCTAACCTAAGAAAGTTAATAAAAGCGAAGATGCCATTAAAAGAATTAAACAAAGAATGAGCTAAGCATTTATGTTTAGTGCTTTAGATGAACATGAATTAGCTATTGTTATTGATGCAATGGAAGAGAAGAAATTTAAGTATCCAATTCTTTATAAGGTTGTTAGAGCTGGCGATTTTGTGATCAAACAAGGTGATGATGGTGATGTACTTTACGTTGTTGATCAAGGATAACTTGACTGTTTCAAAGTATTCAAAAAGGGAGAACCTGAAAAGCATTTGGTATAGATTTATTTGAGTCTTCCATATAGAAAGTGTATCAACCTGGAGAATCATTTGGTGAATTGGCTTTATTATACAATGTGCCAAGAGCAGCTACAATTAAAGCCAAAACCGAGGCTATCTGCTTCTCATTGGATAGAGAAACATTTAATCATATTGTCAAGGATGCTGCTGCTAAAAAGAGAGAAAAATACGAAGAATTTCTTAGCAAAGTTGAATTATTGAAAGGTATCCATTTCCTTTGACTCTCTTTTAGATATGGATCCATATGAAAGATTGTAAATCGCTGATGCTTTGAAGGTCTAAAAATTCAACAAGAGTGACTATATCATTAGATAAGGAGAATAAGGAAATACATTTTATTTCATTCAAAAAGGTGATTGCATAGCTACTAAAACTGAAAATGGTAAATCTCTCATTCTATTCCATTCTAGGAACTGAGAAGGAAGTCTACAGTTATAAGGTTGGTGATTATTTTGGAGAATTAGCTTTAATTAAACATGAGCCAAGAGCTGCAAATATCGTTGCATAAGTAAATATCATATACATCTCAAGAGTGAAGTTATTGTAGTATATTTGGATAGTGACAGTTTCAGAAGATTGATTGGACCTGTTGATGAAATTTTAAAGAGAAATATGAGTAGGTATGAAAAATATGTAAAAAAATGAGAAGATATTACATATATATTTATTTGCAAAATATTTTATCTTTTTACTATTACTTATATTATACTACAAATTATAATATTATAAAATTCATTAATTTATGTAGCACTTATCGATATATACATTTACTAACATAGTCAAATTCCTTTAAGTTGAGGAAATATACTCCAAATTGACACTCTCCAACTCTCTTATGTAAATAGCTATTCATCTAATTATTAGTATTTACTTATACAATCCTTATGTATAAAAAGTTATTCTCTCTAATTATTTTCCCATTGAAATAATCGAATAAATTCAGCCCTAAAACTATTCTTAATGCATAAAATCATTAAAAGGAGGGTAACTCAAAGAAATACCCTTTTGGGGAATAGAAACAAACGGAGGATTAGCAAATAATAGTTTAAGATTTTGGATCGGAAAAACCTTCATGAAAACCAGTGAGCCTTAAGTCGGTTTAAGGAAGTTTGAAAATGCATTCATATCAGGAACCTTATCTTTTAATCAAGTATAATTCAAGAAAGCCCTTCTAGAATATGCCCAAAAATTCATAGAAGTAATGGGTTAAGAAATTACAAATCATTTCTTTCCTGATTGGTATGACATCAATAATAACCTAATTGAAATCTCATAAATAAAAATATTTGATATTTTCAGAAGCTTCTCAATATTTCAATTTTATGAAAACGCATAAGATTGGAAATGTGTCTAATATTTAAGAGATTATGCTTATTAAAAACATGAGTAGATAGATAATATGTTAGAGGTTGATCCATATCATTTGAAGGATGAGGAATATGAAATGTATATTATTAATCTACTCTTTAGTATACCTTCTGCAATTGCTTTGGTAAAAGAAATAGAGATAAATAGAGGAACTTAATTGACTTAGACAGCAAGATCGTTGCTGATATTTACAAGTACAGAATAATGCATTCCCAATCATCCTAATGAAATATATCAATGTTAAACTCAGGAGAAACTATATCAATTTATTTTAAACCATCCTCAATTCACCCCTTCGTAAACTAATATCAAATTATTATTAAATATTGATCCTAATATCGTTTATGAAGATAACCATTAATTAAATTATTTGTATTGCACATTCGAACCTAAAAATGATAAACAACCTTTAATCTGGGTAGAATTTGTAAATGAAAATGTTGATGGAATATATTTAAAACTTGATAAGAAAACTCAAAGACTAGCTAAATCAATTCAAGTGAGAGTACTTGATGTATGCTTCTAAGAAGATCCACAGTTTCTTGGATTTGGTTTAGCTTATGTTAGTGTTAAAGGGTTAACCTTAAATTAATAGGATTGGACTGTAATTTAAAACCTTCCAGATTGAATTATTATTATAATTTATAATGAAAGTTTTATTCGTTTTAGTCATCTTTATAACAATACAGTGTGAAATGTTATTGGTTTCCTAGGATGATAAATTTAGTGATGATGATAATGATTTTGTAGGAGGGGTATTTCCTACGACAGATTCAAATTCTGATGTATTATATACTTATTAATCTAATAAGACTTATAATAAAGCACTTTAGTATGCATAAGAACATTATGCTGAGAGTTGCAAATTGAGTGATCTACAGTGGGAAAGTTTAGATGGTTCAAAGAATTAGATGGTTTAAGGGATGCTGTATTATGTAAATATATAGTATATCAAAACAGTTCAATGTAACATTAAAGGGAAAGGAGAGACAAGAGAAATATGAGATTCAAGTGTGGATTTAGGCAAATTAAGAATAAAGTGCTGAAATCACTCAATGTAAACAATTATGAATAGTAATATTGAAAATAATATTTATATTCAACAGATGTTTTATGATCTTTTCTTTCTTTGAAAAATATCCATGCTGATTTGGATGATGCTATTTTGACTGTTTTATTTATGAATAGAGTTGTTATTGAATTTTATTGCTGAAGATTAACGAAAAGGCTTTATTTTTTATGAGTGTGAGAAGGTATTTTCTAAGAATTTGCCTTGCTGTGAAAATTAAGATTGCGATTACTTAAGAGGTGATTATTATGATGGGATGTTCAGATAAGGATTTTATGAACTAATTGGTCGGACTATTTCTTGTAATGGATATCTAACAGATGATTTTTTGACTAGTTTTTCAATTTAACCACAATTATTTCCACAATGGGGAGACTCATAAAGTCTATCAACTACACTTTGATTGATTCTTTTTTGGGAGTTTACATTTGGGATGAAGGGACGATCTTGCATAATTTCTTTATAGATGGATTCTTTGAGTTTCATCCTTTTCTCTTCGTACTTTTTGCCATACTTAAGAAGTCTATTCTCTACCTTTGGTTTTGAAGGTTCAAGGATTTCTTCAGGTTCCTAGTGAGTATAATTACTTATTTTACTCTTTGGTATAACATGAATGTTATTTATTATTATTAAAAAATGATTATAAATGTGTTAGTTTATGATAAATTAAAATTTCAATTGGGATGCTGATTTGAATTTTAATTATTGTTATTATTCTTTTCATCAAGCATCATTTCTATTTGTCTGTCAATGCTTAATGAAACAGGTGGAATCTCTTTGCAATCCTTAGGGTCCACATTCAAAAGGAAAGACTCTTCTTGTTGTTTGAATTCAAGTAGTCGAGTCTTTAATGGCTGGTTTAATTCGTCATTAGCTAAGGATGGCAGTAGTAAATAGCCAATCTTTTTTAAACTCCCCATTGAACCTTATTGTGAATTACTCTAATAAAAAATGAATCAATACTTTTTAGATTAAGTCAATTTAACATTTAGAAACTCCAGCAATTGAGTCTAAGTGAGGATTCTGTGAACATCTTAGATAATGAGATAGTTGAAAATGGAAAACACTGCAAAATGCAATTGATTGTTCAAATGGAATAAGGATGTTAAATGCTATAAAATAATAGAGCAAGTAGATACCAATAGATAGTCAAGGACTTTGTGTTGGAACAGGAGATCTATCAATTCTTAATTATGGAACCTTATGATGACATCTATGGATTTGACCACAATAAGGTTATTATTTCCAAAGAGGTACTTGTAATTTTCATATTAATGATTTTGGAATAGTTCTAGATTTGCAAGATTGGATTAGATTGCTAATTAAAAGGATGGGATTTGAGTATTTAATTATGTAATTTATTTGAGCACATTGTCGATTTGTAGATATTATTATACATTTTGTTGTGTGAGTAATTAAGTGTTGAGGATTCCTAAGAAACAGATTGAATGGTAATATAACTTATAAACGGCAGATTCTTTTGATTTGTACTACAAATATGATATATTCTAAATACAGCGATTTCGTAATAAAATGCAGGTTTTATAATAAGATCCAACATTTCATTAATATGTTCATACAAATGACCACCGAATTGAAATATGCAATTCAAAAATTCAGAGACACTTTCAAGGAACTGATATTTATATAATATTAGGTATTACATTTAAGCTGTCCTCCCATTCTAACAAACATTCGAAGAGACCTTGAACTAAATCTTTTCTTTATTTAAAATGATGACTAAAGTTCTTTCTAGAGGGGTGGTCCATTATTATAACTTTTGCAAAGAACTCTTGAATTTATTTAAACTTCAAATGACTGATTATATCACTTATTATAGATCCACAAATCTTAGAGAAATTCCAAAACTGATTAATATCATTTAATTATTTACTTCAATGCAATAATTCTTGGAAATAAGATTCAATGCCTTTCCAAAGTATCCAATTTAAGTCTCGTTGACATTTGAGCATTTAAGAAAAGAGAATAGCTTTTATATTAAGTAAAAGGCATCCTAATCACCAAGAATATCAGTAGTATCAGGTAGAAATTTAACTACTATACAAATATGGTGTTACTTGAACTTTAATTTTCCTCAGCCTCTTCTTGACTCTCCATTGTATCTTAATTGGCTGACAAATATTACTCAAGGGTTGTCTATTTAAGTTGCATCTCTTACCTTTTTCTCTATTCTTGCTTATTTGGGTTGTCTTCCAGCAAATAGATGTTCTATTAGTGTCGAATGCTCAAAAATTTCGCTCATTATAAAAGGGTAATTGCTTTAGCATGTGGTTGATGTCAGAAGTACTATCATCTCTTCTATCAAGTCCTTGTTTTTTAGAATACTGATTTGATATTAGTTATCACAATTACTAATCTATAAATGCATGCATCGCCCCTGCTTTCAAGTCGTTCAAAAAATCATCTCTCTTCAGCAATTCTTCTAAGGTTGGTGTACTGTGTTTTAGAATTCTTATCAAATCTTAAGATTGCCCGAATGTCTAGAATTAACTATCTATTTTAGAATTGGTACCCAAAATTCATTAATACTTAATCAATTAAATATAAGTAATTGTTAAAATCAAAACTTATATTGAATAATACATTAATAATTAATTGTATCTTATAATTTTATTTTATAAGGTAGATAATATTATCGATATCTAAATTAATAATAATAACAATGAATAATAAGCTAACACTATACGAAGAAGAGAACAATACTATCTCTGACCTTTTTGATCTTGATGATTATGCATTCTCTCAAACTCATCGATACAATTCCTATGACAATACAAACTAGAAAATTTAGAAATTTTAAATATTCAACCCACAACATTAGGCTACTCTAGGCTTCATTAAATTGGATGGCAAAATTACCTAAGACATTCCTCCATAAATAAGCGATAAACCCATAAAAAAATAGAAATAGACTTCAAAAAATGCTCCTATATGCCATCTATGCTCTAAATCATTCGAATCACACAAAGCACTTGGAGGACATTTATCAAGAGCTCATCCAAATTAATCAGAAAAATTCAAAACAAGAATTGCAAAAGCAGATGGACGTAAACATGAACTTTTACGGACTAGATAACTCTAAGCAATAGCACTTAGTGACTTAAAACTTTTATGATATTAATTTTCAGTTAATTTTAAATAAAAAACTTAAATTTTGTCATTATTAATCTTTATTGATAATTTATTGCTGTTCACATAATCCAGCAGATTTTGTAGGCTGGTAATTTTCCAATTCATGAATCAAAATCACTTCCTCCTTATCGAATCTACCTCCATTAACTCAAATTTCTACTCAGATTACATCTATTTGCCTCCCTTTACCCTTCTATGTTACTACTTTCTTAGTGATTTTAATTTAAATTAAATTGAACTTTATTCACTAAGAATTAGCTGTTAATATTTAATATTTAATTTATAATAATAAATCTTTGTATACACCAAAAATTATACTCAAACCTAATTACTTTCATTTTCAGAATAATAAATTGCTATAATCTGAATATGTATGTTTATAAAATCCCAAAATATTTATTATTGCATTTAATTTCCATAAATACTACTTTATATATATATGAAATTAATCAATTAAAACGAGTCAATTGATTCAGATTCAAATGACACAATTCCACAACAGGAATAACCACAAGCACTCACTCATCCAAATTTTTTGGCATAAATTGCTGCTTAGAATTGTATTTTAATTCATAATTCACAAGAATCTACTGGAGTATTACTCTTAAATAGAAGAGTCAATGTAAATTAGAGATTACTAAACATGAAAAGAGTAAAAACAATATGATATTTGTTAGAGAAGAATATCTAAAAAAAAATCCTAAAGTAGAAATGAACTACTTAAGCTTATTGTTGAATAAGACCTAAATGATTTATTTGATATATGAATGAATGCTGATAGATATCAGAAAAATGACAAGATTAATATATTTAATAGTCATTACAATAAATATTACAGCTAATTACAATATACATATTGTTTGACTATTGTATCTGAGATTAATATCATTTAAAAAATAAGTAGATTTATTTATTTCCCTCTAAAACACAAAATGAAGTTCCAAAAAATGTTTAATTTCATAATATAAAGATTATTAAATATAAGGAATATATATATGAAATAAAATTCATTATAAAATTATAACATTAATGTCTAATAGTGATAGCCCCCTATGTTTGACACCAACAGATAAAAAGAAAGTGAATGTAAAATTAAAAGTTCCTGATGAACTTCTCAATTATACTCCTTTGGAATAAATTTCAATACCTAAGAATCCCAAAATTCGCTCCTCATTCTTTAATTTTCTTAGTGGAAATATTAATGAAAAAGAATTCGTGAAATTTAAATGCTTTCCCTCTCATTAGGATTAAGGAGTCTAAGTTATTACAAAAACAAGAAATAGACATCAAGATTTTACTTTACATTTGAAAAAATAGGCAGCAATTGATAAAGCTAGACAACGATGGCATAAATTGGCAGAAGTATTGTTAAATTAATTATAGAGGTGATTCGTTAAAATATCTAGTTACGAAAATAGATGGATACTAATTATTAATCAAAAATTATCAGTAGGATAGAATTGGGACTCAAAATATAGAATTAATAGGCTCATTAATCTATTATCACAGATGATCTAAAAAATCATCAATTAAGAACTATGACAATTATTAAAGAAAAACAATAAAAATAGAATCAATCTTGTTTCATCTCACCCAAACACTATCATTATTCTCTATAGGGATATTTATAAAATCAATCAGATGAATATATTTACATTTACCATCAAAATCTTCCTAATACTGCTAAATTGACAGATTAACAATATAATCAATTATTATTGACTTATCTAAATAAAAAATAATTATTTGAGTAATTTTAAGAGGAAACAAAATAAAGGAAAATAATTAGATGGAAACCTTCAAAGAGCTAAAGTACTTTTTATAATTCAAGTTTGAGTTCTAAATCATTCGGGTTGAATGTAAATAAACCTATGCAAAGATTGTCAAATCCGCTTTAATCCTAACAATAATAACGCTAAAAAGAATATCATTTGATCAATAAGATTAATGAAATTGCAAATCCAAGGATATCTAATAGTGTAAAAACTAAAAAATTCTTTAGGAAATAATAAATTCATTCAAAACTTAATGGAGTTGTTAAACATAATAGAATATTCTCATTTAATTAAGTGGATAAAGAAGAAGATGATATATTGGATTTATCAAATGCTTCTATCACTGAAGCCTTACTAGATCAATTGTATTTGAGTTCATAAAAGTTATAAACTAAATTGAAGTAACAACCCTCAGTCCAAAAGAAGGTTAGAGATATCCTCAGATTACAAGAAATGAAAGCCAATACAATTAATGCAAATTATTAAAAATTGAATAAGTACTAATAATAGCCCTAATGATGATTCTGTTTTGTTTTTTTACTCAATTCAAAATATACTCTAAATTTATTAATTAAATTAATATAAATTATTAAAAATCAGATGGATAGCAAAATTAAAATAACCACTTTGGCTAATGAAAATCTATATGTATTAAATTGCTTGTATTCAGGTAGATAAAAGCATAATCCTTGAATCTCCTATTTTGAAAGAGGCTTATGACAAATCAGAGAACGGTGAAATAATTATTGATTTTCCTTTTGATATTTTGGAAATAGTCTTTGCCTTCTATGAGAACCATAAACATGAAAAGGAAATAGAAATCAAGGCACCACTAAACAAATAATCTAACTTCTAAAATTTTATCGACAAAAAGGATTATCAGATGCTTGAAAAACTATGCTTAAATAAATAATAATAGTTAATCCAAACCTGCAATCATTTACAATACAATTAATTGATGAAAATCACATGTGCATCCTTAGCCAATAAATTATAATGTAAGAAATGATTCTAAATTATATAGACATGGACACAGGAGCAATCCGATAAATGTTTAATATTTAATAGGATTAAAGTAAGGAACAATTAGAGAGAATTTCTATGGAAAATAAATGGTTGAAAGAATGAATTAGAGTTTATTTTTTAAGAAATAAATAAGTATAAATAAATTATTCAAATTCGAATTTAAAATGCATTATTTTAAAGATCATCCTACAGACCAAGAATTAATTGTTAATAATCTTAGATTATTGAATTATGATATCAAAGAAGCAAATACTACTTTTCGATTAAACATTGAATAGTTAACAATTGAAAATATGAAGGCACATCCTAAATTAACAATCAGCATTATTCACTTCTTCGTATCTAAATTGTTTGATGATGACTCATTTATCAATTCATTCAAGACTTTGTAATTTATCAAATGAATTATAAAAAGGTACCCTCCTAGAACTTAGATTGAATAATCAGTTTATAAGTAGGAAATTGCTAAATTTTTAAAGAATTCTAATAAAATACCAAAGAACTTTTTAATAACCAAAGTTATGATGGATTAAAGAATCTTTATTTTTCTTCGATATATCAGTGAATTTGCTTTAAGGGCATAATTCCTAAATTTATTTCCTACCAAGTAATTGAAAACCTTTTATTTGGACCCTAAAAGATTGTTGATTGAAGATAGACCCTGTATTAACGATTGTAATGATATGTTTATAATATCAAATTATCAATTTGAAAACTTATAGAATCTAAACATACCAATACAAATAATTAAAATATTGACTGGTCTAATTGGACATTAAATCTTACTTTAAGTAAAGAAATTAAAGAAATTACTAAAAGAAAATTGCCTATTCATTGATTCTATCTTGCCGACCATCGATCAAGTATCGTCACAATTGAAATCTGAAAGAGACTTTTCTTTAAAATTAATCTAATAGCTCTGTAAATTAATATATTATTTAAGAAAACTGTAAGAATTAGATCTCTCCATAATATTTAAGCAAAGAAAGAAAATTAGATCGTAAACCATAATTGGATCAGTCCTATAAAGTCTTTAATGGGATTCAAAATATTATTAAATAATTTTAAGAATAAAAAATGGACATAAATATGAATTAGATTTAATCCACAATAAGATTAGATAAATTTTGTGAAGAGGATAATTTAAATAAACTTCACGAAATTCACAACAATAAAATATCAAATTTAACAAAATAAGTTGAGAAAATAGAAAAAGAAACTTGGGTTAAAGATAGGGGTAATAAATGTATATCATAATCGGAAGATACTTTAAATAAAATAAAGGAACTTAAAAGATTAGTTCAATCTAAAAAAACAAATAATAATTGATAAGTATTTTTTTTAATTATAATTAAATTTATTAAATTTCAATTAAAAATTAAACAAGATTTCATTTCATCTAAATCATTATTTATTATTCCTTTTATAAATTTTTAGATGTTTAATAATTACCCTGAGCATAATTTTTAATAATCATAGACTACATACATCCATAATATACACTTCTATATTTGATTTTTGATATTCTCATCCTAAGTTTTGAGGGAATCCTATTTTAGAAATTGCATTTTCAAAAATAATTAGTCTTAATATAGTTGACTGTCTATAAGTTTGCTTAAATTTAGATTTGCAATTGATTCTATATTTTGATAATTATCTTGTAGGTTTTGATATGCAAAATTATTGAATTATTTGACATAGTCTATATATTTCTTTTTCATTTTATTTTTTTGATTTTCAAGATCATCAATCAATTAATATACACTATTATTGAAATATAAATTACGTTGTGTCTTCGTAAAAATGCATCCATATTTCACTACCAAATTCAATCTTAATATGATCATGCTTTCCTAAAATAGCCTTTTATTCAAGTCGATCTCTCAATTATTACATCAAAATAGTGGCTTATTTCAAAATATAAAGAATTTCGAATCGACATACTTATTAGATATTATCATATAAATAATCTGCCAATTACACCATTAAAGTAATTCCTGCAGTTTTATCAAGAATTCCTTCCTTAATGCTAGCTATTCCATTTTAGATGAATTGATTCTTTTTCTGGATCAATTTCACTTTTTCTCGCTTCCATAACTCTTCCTCCTCCTTCTGCTTTTTTCCCACCAAAAGGAGTATCATCGTCCTTACAGTATACTTGTCTATTCAACTTTTTTCATCTTAATTAACAAGATTCCAATTTAGTTATTCTGCCTCGATAATATTTAGATACCTGGGATCGTGTTTACAGAAATCAAATATAGGATCTGCTAAGGCTTCCTGTGCAGATATTCTCTAATAGCATATATATTGAATAAATACTGCATTTTAATCTTTATTGACCATTTTGCATAATAAATTCTTTAATTATTCAGAAATCTTGTACTTTTAATCATTTAAAAGATATGGCTTTGTTAATATTTTTTATTGAATATCATATTGACTTTTACCTATATAATATAATTCCTTGAATAATATCTCATGTGTAAGAAGTCCCAAGGCCCATATATCAACTTTCGAATTATATGAATCACTATTGAAAAACTCTGGGGCCATATATGGATAAGTGCCAAGATGAGTTTGATATAACGATTTTTAACTTGCAAAACCAAAATCACCTAATTTATAGACTCCGTCTTTAATTAAAACATTTTCTGGTTTGATATCCCGATGAGCTATATTATTATTAGCAAGTAAGGAAAGGGCTTAAAGTAATTAAAATAAAATGAAAATGCCTTCTTTTTCTTCTATCTTCTTAACCTTCTTGATTTGATCATACAAGGTTCCTTAATTACAGTACTCTAAAACAATGTAAAAGTTATTTGCAGTTTCTAGGAATTCGTATATTCTATTTATAAAGGGACATTTAGTCTGCTTTGAGAGATTTGCTAATTCTTTTAGAATTTTGACTTCTAGCTGAATTTATTGCAAAATGTCATCACTAAAATGTAATTATGAGGATAGAATTACCCATATTTTTCCAAAATAGATCGTTTGATTACTTTGATCGCTACAACTTCATCTGTCAATTTATTTTTTCCTTTGACAACCTCTGCAAATGTTCCAGATCCCAGTTTATCATTTAAGCAATATTCATATTTTTTGCCTACACACTTTCTATCAGCCATATTGAATTTATAATATATAATTTAAATATTTAATAATCAAATATTCTCTCTCATTAATTTATTAATATCTTATTCCATTCTCAAATCATATTTCTAATCCCTTTTTATATCAAATAAAGAAAGTTTAGCTGAATTGTTCATTATTGTTTCTTACTTCTCATCTTTCTATCTTTATGTTTAAGGATCTGTTTTATAATTGAATTTATTTACTTAAATGTTTAGGATCAGCTTATTTAATTTATTCATCATTTTTCATCCTACTAATTTTCAACTTTTACTTTTGACTAGTGTATTCCAAAAAGAACCTTTCTGATTATAAACATTTTGAACATATCTAATGATCTTTCTATTTACATTCAACATGAATAAAATGGCCACACAAATACTTGTATCCTTTATTCTCAATTTACTCATTGCAAATATCACAATAATTCATAGTAAAATATCCTTGGAGATGAGATCTCAAAAAGTTCTGTGATTCCAAATTAAAAAAGCGTTGAATCATAAATTTTGCATTTTAAATGAAATAGTGTTGATAAGAGAAAGTATTAACCATCTTAATAAAGTTCCCTTTATATTCCTTAATATTTATGCTGCTATATTTAGTACCTAATTGTTATTCAAACAAATCTAAAGGAGTATGAGTTGATATATCCTATTATATATAATAACTGATTACTTCAAATAGTTGTCCAATTTTTTTCACCAAAATTTTATTCAATTTAACTTCTGCAATCTAATTATTTAACTCGATTAGATTATCTAAAAAATAATACCAACTTTTTTCTGGGTTGTCTGAATGGAATTGACATATTTCTGAAATCTCATTCATTTTTTTTTCTATTTCATCATACTCACGTTATTCAACATTATCAACATTCCTCTATTTAGCAACTACTTTAGATATCAAATTTTTTAAAATCACAATTTACAATTATACTGCATCTCCAATAAATCCTAATCTACAATACACATAAGCAGATGATTCAATGTTCTAAAATTTCTTACAAATTTCCAAGACCTCTTCCAAAGGGTAATGAATTTTCTACAATTATATTAATACTCTTTCTGGTTCCAACTCGCACAAAAGCTATTAATATTATAACAAATAATGAAGATACTTCAATATGCTTAATCAAAAGTATATTACTCAAACCAAATTCTGAATTCATATCCTTGTTAATTACTGTTTCAATGTACTTTAATTATAACTTTTTATTCTGGCCTAATTTCTCTATAACTAAGAGTTCATTATCTTTTTAAAATTAACAGATCAATTCCCTAGTCCTTTAGATATCTAAATGTAGCAGATCTTGCAATTTTGATACAATAATCCCATTTAGTTATGCATATGTTTCTTTGCCATGCTTTAATAGATAATAATCTATACCATCAAAATTAGAGTATCATACAAATATTTGAATACTTACTTTTATACTAAAATATTATTTGATCTCAAATAAATAGATACAGGCGTTTGATACTCCCCTAGATAATAGTAGAGATATGCTTAAATCAAAGGTATTTACTTTAGATCCGTAAATCCGTTTAAAATTTCTATCTACTCTTTATGTTTTGGTGTTTAGATTTTATTAACTAAAATATCGACCAACTTAAGCATCAATCTTTACTGAAAATACTCGATAATCTCTGAATGACTTTGATGTTATTCTAATTAAGCTAATTCATTTTTGTCTATCACTTCCGCATATGATCTATAATCAATATAGAAAAGGAACGACTTATTAAATGTGCAAAACATCAGTATATCCATCATTATATCAAATTCCACTTCAAATTTTAAAATAAAGATTAACTTAATGATAAAAAATGAATAGGCAGTTTGAACATCGTAATTTTCGTATCCGCTTATATCATTAAACTACTATTGAACTTCAAATTCTTATTATTAAAATTTCCAGCGGTATGTGGGATTCATAAACATTTTCATTACTTTTTAAATCACATTCCTTTAATATATCAAATTAATACATATTTTTGGAATGTTCTAACTCAATTTAATATAATTTTGTAGTTGACATAATTTAATACAAGATATAAAATGCCCCATAGGGATCTACCCATATCATTCTCCTTAGATTATTTTCTTCAAAAATCCATACAATCATCATATCAATCGTGCTCTACATAATTGTTCAAATTTTCTTACTTTCAAAGTAACTATAGGTATTTATTAACCATCCTATAATTTCCCCTAGAGAATATATTCTATAAATGAAATCACTTTCCTAACACTTAAGATTTCTTCTTCAAAGTTTTCTAATTATGATTGCTTCATGCTATAGTTCCATATCTAAAATAATGGAGTTAAAAATTCATTCTTAGCTGAATGAGTACATAAATAAATCATAGGAGAAAATAATTAGCTCTCCAAACAAGCTTATAAATAAATTGAGTAATTAACTCTATTTAGATCTAATTAATTGAGGAGCAAGAAGACCTTTGCTTTCTGTCCTTTTAGCAAAGAAATAAGCTTTAATAAAATTTCATCTGGAATGAATTTGAACTATTTATTAATAATAAAGGATTCGACAATACTCAAAAAGAATTTTGAATCATCATTCAATGTTTTTGAAAGCAAATCACATATAGAATTTAAGTATTGTTCAGCTCCGATATCAATTATGAATTTAACTAAAGAAATTCCTCTTTTCTATGCTTCTTCTGTTTTGCCACTAATTTACAATTTGGCTATCTGTTTGCTATACAAATCAATGATCTATTACACAAATAATAGTAGCTTCGATCTATCGAATTCCATAAAAACCTTTTTGTGTATGCATAATATCAACTAAAAACATAATAAAAATTATTAATTTTCCATAAAATGTCTTATCTTATCTTCAAATTTATAGTATTTTAATACTGTAACATTTTGACTTGTTAAAATATAGATTTCTTAGAGGATTTCATTGTTCGATATACATACATTAAATTAACTCTCATATTTATTATCTTTCCAATACATAAGAGGCAAGGGCTCAAACTATTACATTTACATAATTTTCTAAGTCTTATAATTAGTAAAGTTGCTTGTATACACTGCCCCCTTTTCGGTTAATAACAACACTAAATCATTATAAATAGAATTCATATATATAAACTAATAATGTGAAGAAATTTTACATTAGCAGGCATCTTGATTTCTTTCAATAACTTAAAATTCGCTCTAATTTTACCTTCCACATATTCGGATCCTTAAAATATAAAAGATTTCGTTTAATTGGTCCAAGAAATTCCTAATACTAATCTATCTTTATCTTCAAGTTTAAGAATATCCCATTCTAATATGCATTAATTATTTTCAGGGGCATCATTTTAGAAATCTGCCAATATAGTGAATTGAGTGACATTAGAATCTTGAATCCTTAAGACCCAACATTTGTATCCATTACCTAAAGCAACAATAGTATATTCAGGAAAATTAAATAATGGTTTGCATTTGACAGGAATTGACCTAATAATGGACATTGGTTGTGACTTTACAATGAATTGGGAGTCCAAATCATAAAATATTCTTCCTTTAGCACATCTAGTTATGAAACAATTGCCTTATTCATCGCCTGAAACAAATGTGTTTTCATTAACATATCCCAACGAAACTATTCTAATCTGGTGTACTTTAACCCATTTCAAATGTTTCATATTAATCAAATCATATATTCCTATGACTCCGTTGTCAAAACCAACAGCGAGTTGTGATTAAGATAGATTAAAACTTAATTAGTTTACACTACCATGTTCTGTCTAACATATTTCTGCAGCATAAAGCAATTGACTTTTCATTTCTGTATACGATTTATTGGGAGGATCAGCCCCAATATAAAAATTAAGCACTGCGCCCAAATTACTTCCTACTGCCAAATACTAGCCTCGAGATATCAAGGATCTTATTCTGCCGAATTTTCTTAAGATTGTGGCATTTTAAAACAATGCTTCATTAAGAGCTTCAGGATTAAAGCATTTAAAGATTTCTGCTTATTCAATCTGCAGATTTGTATCAATTGTGTATTCATTTTCTATTTGCACTTAATCAAATTATTCATCTATTTTGTCTTGTAAATCTGCTTTTATTAAGGGTAGTTGATATGTGTTTCTTTTAAAGCATGAAATTAAATTAGGATATTCCTGTTTGTATTAATTTTCTAAATTTTTCATTCAAAATATATCTCTAATATTAATTAATAATATAATCATTGTAGTATTTTAATAATTTTATGATTGACATATTTTAGAGGATTGTTT